GAGCTGCCCCCCAGGACACGGCGCCCTCCTGGGGGGCCAGGGCCTGCAGGCAGCCCCCCGTCCAGGCCGCAGGACCCAGGGTGGGAACCGGAGGCCGCAGCTAGTTAGCAGCCCTTGAGGCTGGGCCTCCAGGGGCAGAGGCCTGAGGGGCCCGTGGTTCTCGGGAGCAGGGGACGACCCCCGAGAAGGCAGGGCTCCTCCGCGGCCCCCACTTGGCCTGTGTGTCCACGTTTCCCGTGGTGGAGAGAAGCCAAACAGGGTCCCCGGAGGCCCTGCCTGCACCCAACGGGAGGGCCTTTGGGGCCCAGCGACCTCACCCTGACGCTGGCACCTCCGTTCCCACCTGGCGTGGGCGTCCCGGGACGGGGAGGCTGGATCTTATGAGACAGGAGGGGCTTCCCAGCCGCTGTCATTTTCGGGGATGTAAGTGAGGGACAGAAGCAGGGAGGGCAGGCCCTCCGCCCCCGGCCCGTGAGGGGGGATGGGGCCCTCGGACCCATGAACCAGGACCTGTCCATCCCCGCATGCCCGGACGCATCCATCGCCTGGACAGCGGACGTGGCTGTCCTGGGGCGTCACCCTGCAGGTGGGGGTGGAGTGGGCCTGTCAGCTGGGAGAGGGAAAGGAAATTCTGCTTGGGAAATTCTGACGTCGTCCCCGGCAGAGCGCCGTGGGGTCTGGGGGTCCTGTCTTGAGGACCCTTGGCATCCGCCTCGACGCAGCTGGACACCGGCCACCCCTCGGCCGGCCGGGTGTGAGGTTAGGGGAGACGAGGGCTGGGGGCTGCCACCCTGCCCACCGCGGGGACACCAGGAGCGTTAACCGAAAATCGGCCCCGTGCCGCTGTGCACAGGCTGGGCTCCCTTTGAAGAGCGAGGCCGACCGCCTGACGACAGGCTCGCGTCTGCAGCCACTGTCCTTGTGTGCAAGCTGGGGCGGGGGGGGGGGCTCCGGACGCGGGGCGCGGGCTCTGCAGGGGAAGGGGAGGGGTCGGCATCGAGCCGAGGCACACGCCGTCCTCGGTGGCCCAGGCCGCGGCTCTGGCCGCTCCTGCGCAGAGGAGGCTTTGGGTTGTCCAGCGGTTTTCACAGTGCAGTTGGCCTGGACCTCTCCTCCCCGACGCCCCCCAGAGACCCTCCGGGGGGCAGGCCCGCTCTGGGGACTGCGGGCTGCTGGATCTACGCCGAAGGGGGCAGGGGTGTCTGCGGCAGTTCCTCACATCGGCCCTCGGCCAGGCCCAGCTGCTGATTCGTGAAGGGACCCTGGGCAAGTCCCTGGCTTCCTCAGGCCTCGGTTTCCCCGGTGGCCCTCCGAACTCTGTCAGCCTGCGCCTGACACCACGCCAGTGGAACCCAGCTCCGTAGGACCAGGTGCCTGCCCCTGTGGGGCAGACACTGGCCCGGCTCCAGCAAGTCCCCGCCGACTCTCACAGCTTCCCCGGGCCTGCCCATTTGGTCTTGTTCTGTCCAGCGTCCACCCGGCCCCCGGCCTGGGCCGGCCCCAGCCCGCGTGTCCCCGGGCAGCAGGGACGCAGCGCCGGCCCCCATCCATCTTCCCCGGCGCCCGAGACAAAGGGCCTAATGTGTGTGCAGCTGGGGCTGCCCTCCATCATCCCTCACAACCAGCGCCGATAATGGGCCTCCAACGAGTCCCCCGTGGCCACCTGCTGACCAGGGGTGGCCAGGCAGTGCCGCCTGCAAACCCAGGGACCCGAGGACAAAGCAGGCCTCTCGGGGGCGGGGGTGGAGCAGGAGGTGTGACCGCAGCCCCACGGCGATTCCCATCGCTCATTTCTGACGTGGATACATTACGCCTCTCCAACACCACTTGCCCCTGGACACTGAGCTGCCAAATTAATTGACAGGGGATCTGCGGAGGCAGCTACTACAGGGCAAGCCCTTGTCCCCAGAGGCCTGGCCCAAGGAGCCGTCATCTTCTGTGAGGACAGAATCATTCCCTGCCAGGGCAGAGCGCGGTGCCCCTCTGGGCCGACGGAGCACTCACCACCGCGGGGTGGGGAGGGTACGCGTGAGTGTGCGCGTGAGTGATCGGGGAACATGGCTCTCGGGGACAGCGCAAAGGCTCCAAGTGACAGCGGGTCCATGAGGTGGCACCCGGGGCTCCTGACTACCTCCTGCCCTCTCGCTCTGTGGGGCTGCGAGGTGCAGCGGGGCCCCCTGGCCCGCAATCTGTCCTCTCCAAGCTTCCCTGGAGCTGGGCCTGGCGCCCTCCCTTGCTGAAGACCCGGATGGCAACGTCCTTCTGGAAGCAGTTACAGAGCAAATGGGGCGTGGCGGGGCGGGGGGGGGGCGGTGCAGCAGCCCTGGAGTCATGGGTGGCTACTCCCCAAAATCCCAAGGACCCGTATCGAGGGGCAGGGGACCGTGGACAGGAGTGGACATCGGGGGCCTCAACTCGCACCGGCTCTGCCCCAGAGTGCACCTTGTCCGGCGGCCTGTGGGGTGGACGCTGCAGGGTGGGCACAGCCGTGCACTCTGGGGCCCAGCGGGACGCCCTCTGCCGCGGCGGGGTCCCTGGTGTGGACCTCGGTGCCACAGCAGATTCTAGGTATCGGTCCACTACAGCAGGCCGGTACTTGAAACCGCCGCCGGAGCTGCATGAACACCCCAGCCGTTGGCACGTGCTGTGAACCAGGCTTAGCTCTTTTCGGGGGTGGGGGCCTGTTGGTAACCCTCGGCGCGCGCCCCGCAGGAACCCCGGTCCTCCTCCCTGCGCTCCGGCGTCCGCACTTCCACCTTCCTCACCGCCCCGCCGCTTCGCTCTCTGCAGACTGCGGTGCGCGCTCACAGCTTCTGCGCCCCCGGGCCGCCGCCCCGCTCCCGGCCGCCCCCTCCTCCCGGCAGGCCGCCTTCCCGGCCTCTGTGGCTCATTGGCATGACTTTGCTGCTTCCTACGTCAGCAGGTAAGTGATGGAGCGGCCTGGAAAGTCACGGGGGGGGGGGGGGGGCGGGGGCCTGGCTACAGCAGGATTCTGTGCGCTGCTGCGCGTGGCCGGCCCAAGCCCCTCCGGATGCACAAGGCCTGGTCCTCCGCTGCACTTGGACTCCCCGGGGCTTGTGACTTAGTGTCCCAGTGTAGGGTGGCTCCTGCCCATTTTCTGGGCGTTTGGCCTCCATTCTCCGGATGAGGAGATGGAGGTCCCGGAGGCCCTTGCCTGGGGTCCCATAATGACTCAGCGGCAGCGAGCCCCTGCCTCGGAGTCTGGAGGACCTGAGGGCGGCGGGTACCAGCCGCTCCCCATCCCCATCCGCACGCCCCCGCCAAGTGACCAAGAGCGGGCACAGACTGCCACCCTGTGGCCGTCCGTGGTAAAGCCCCAGGTTGGTGGCTCCCTTGCTCCGACTGCCCAGCACGCAAAACCAGTTCCAGGAGCTTCTCTGGCTCAGCCTCCTGGGCTCGTTGCAAGAAGGAGCAAAGGGCACCTGAGTGTTTGGATTTGAACCCGACTCCCGCCTCTGGCCCCCTTTCCTTCCTGTGACCTGTTCCCTTCCTTCCCCTCTCCTAAACCTGTGCAATGGGGAACGAAAAAACAAATAGCCACCTCCCACTGGGACCTAGTTCCCATCCTTTACCTGCTGGCTGAGTGACCCTGGAGAAGTCCCCGCTTCCCCCTACGGTCAGTTTCCTCTTCTCTGTAAAGCAGGGTTAACCGCGACGCCGAGGTATCGTCGCCAGTGCCCTGTGTCTGTACGGTCGCTGCTGTAGCTCTCCAGATGTTGAAAACCAAGGCAAAACTTTGGAGATGCCCGCGTCTCCCAAGCGGGATCGTGTACCCCACACGGTGAGCAAGACCATCTGCTGGGGTACGGGAACAAATATTAGACCCTCTGATTCTATTTATTTTTATGTCACCCTTTTAAATTCTTTTGTATTTGCTTTATTATATATATATGTATTAGCAGAGTAGCACATGCACATGATCTACAGGTAATATACAGTATGCATGTCTAAGTAGTTTAACAACATGTATGGGTGGTTAGGGTTTTGAGGGGGTCCCCTAACGTTTTTCATCTATGCAGATGTGAAACAGGTGTTGTCTTTGCTTTTTGTTTTAAAAAGGATGATGTGCCTTTACCATTCATGATACACTCTTACATCTTATATATTTTTTCGTAACCTAGCCTATTTCTTTTGGGGGAGATAAATAATTGAATTTTTAGTTGACAAAAGCTGGCTTAATACCTAAGACAATTTGCTTCAAGTAGAAATTAACCGTAGCAGATTTGAAAGCAAGCGAACAGAGGGTGAAAGCCTCAGTATTCAGAAAACAATAGAATTAAAAGGCGTAAACGTGACCGATGTGCTTTTAGAATGATCTGGAGGTGGGGTATTTACACTTGCATTGATATCTGTCACGCTAACAGTTTGTGACTTGCATTTTTTAAAACAAAGCTCTATTTCTCTGAAAATTTTTAATTTTTAAACAGAACCCGAGAAGTCATCAGGCTTAGTCTGATAGCAGAGCAGAAACGGAGAAACCGGATCCCACGAAACCGCACCTGCGGCCACAAGAACCTGAACCTGCGCTTCGAGAGCGGTTCCCGCGGCCCCGCCCCGTGGGGGGGGCGGAGGACGGGCGGGCGGGACGGGGCGTGGTCTCGCGCCTGTCCCCGCCCACTCTCCCCGGCGCCTTGGCGTCGGCAGGGGGCACTGCGGCGCGCGCCGGCGCCCTGGGGAACCTGCGAGATGCCACGCCCCGTCATGAGATCATCGCCTTGCGTCGCGGTCGCGCTGAGTGCGTCAGACGTGCGCCCGGGCTGTGCGACGAGCAGAGAAGCGGTGAGTCTGGCTTCCGGGCCGGTACGGGTATCCGTTGTTGGGGCTACTGATTGCCCAGGACGGAGGGCGCATGAGCCAGGATGGGCCGGAGGCTGCCCCCAAGGAGAACTGTTCCAGGCCGCAGGCCCCAGGTGGCCTCTGTGACTCCGTTTACCTTGCTGCCTCTCGGGGTGCATCCGGGAATGTTCGGTGCCGCCTGCAGATGGTGTCTCTGCGGGGCAGATCCCTGTCCTCGTAGATGGAAGTACCGCCCTAACCGAACTTTTCCCGGGAAGGGCCACCACTGTCTCCCTAGGTAGCGAGCCCCCCCATCACTGGACAGGTCCAAGTACAGCCGGGTTCTCTGTGCTTCAAGTCCCGTGTGGTGTCGTGGGTCATTCCCGCCTGAGCGCTCCCACCGAGGAACGAGTGGTGCCTTTTGGAGACGCAGGGGAGCGAATGTGAATTCCGCTTGGGGAATTGTGAGAAAATTCCCCAAGGAGAGAAGAGGGCAAAAGAGCTTTAGAGCCCTCTACCCTCTATGGTCAGATTTGGGGAGGACAAAGTCTGGGGTAGGGGTAGTAGAGTCCCTGGTCTCCAAGGGACTTGTGGTGGGAAGTCCTGGGACTCACCTGTAGAAAAGGGCCAGGGCAACTCTGGCAAAGGGTTGCCTGATTTCCTCAGCCAAGGGGAACCTCCTGTGGCCCCCGCTGTCCTGCTGACACCCCCTTACTGAAACCCTGGTGTTGTTTCCACAGAGCTGTCTGGGCTTCTGCCCTTAATCCTCGGCTAAGGAGATGACCAACCAGGTAAGGCTGTGGCAAGGAGAGGACACTGGTCGGTCTCTGAAGGGTGGGGTGGTGGCACCAGCGAATGCACACCCGTGGAGGGGGATTATGTTATCTGAGTCTCACTGGGATATAGAGGAAATGGGGAACTGAAAAGAATTTGTCCTCAAAAACAGAAACAGGTATAAAGGTCAGAAAAGGAGAAAACATACCTTTATAATAAGAATATGGACAAAGCTAACAAGTTGTTCTGTAGGCTGTGCGGTGTTATACAACCACAAAAATTAAGCTGCAAAGTGGACTCAGCTTCCTGGTGGTCAGAGCAGATTTGTTAGTCTGTTTCCTTAGAACTAATTTTTTCTGGTACAACTACAAACCTTGCATGAGCAGGAGCCCAGGAGCCGGCAGGAGGCGAGGGTGCCACCGTAGAGACCGTGTCCGCTGGGGCAGGCGTTTCAGGGAGGGGATGTGACCCGTCTGGACCCGGGCCATGGATTTAATGCGGCTTCTGTTCCTTTTTAGTACAGTATTCTCTTCAAACAAGAGCAAGGTAAGCAGCCTCCCTGTTCAAGCAAATTCACCATGAAAACAGTGTTGTCTCTGACGTCTCTAAGGTTTTTGTCACGCTGACCAGACACGCAGTTCCCAGGTATACTCGCTTTGTCGGTAAATTGGCAGAGGCAGTTGAAGACAAATACACTTAAAAACATAACAAACAACAAAAACCAAACAAAAGAGTCAGATGACTGGCTGAGGAGGGTGTGAGCTTCCCGGCTGCCAGGTGAAGCAAGGAAACACCGCGTGTCAGCTCGTCTGGGGCGGTGAACTGGAGCCTGGCCCTGATCTCAGAACTTGCTTTGGGGGTCTGTACTTGGCTCACAGAGAACTTTTGACTCTAATGACAGCAAAGAATATGACAGTGAGGTGGGGAGCTCCAGGGACTGTGCAGCACTGGCAGTGGCAACGGGAGCAGGGGCAGGTCCAATGGGTCCAGGCTGGGAGTCGCTGGCCCGTGACAGTGGGCGTGATACCTGCAGAGGGGTGTGTGTGTGGACTGTCCACACAAGTCTTATTTCTTAGCACAGTGTGGGTGCGTTAGAAAAAACCCGGAGGAACGTGTGGAAAGCCTAAGGAATCCTCTTCCACTCTAAGCAGGTGACGTTCAGATTGTCTGAAGCTCAAGCTAAAGCACTCTTCCATCTTAGTTGGGATGGGTAACCAGGGGCGAACCAGGCACCCAGTCCGCTGCCTCAGGTGCAGCCAGAGCCATGCAGGGGGCGAGCGGACTGGCTCGAGTCGGGAGGGGACTGTCATTGGAGCCATGACGCTGTGTGTAAGTCACAGTTGTTGAATTCACCGCCCTTATAGTCACAGCTTGCAAAGGTGTCCCTGGAGAATTGCAGCCAAGCATGAAGGAAGATTCCGTGCGCATGCCTGCCAGGTCTGCAGACCCCCCCTTGTGGCCCACAGGGGGCAGCTTCCACACTTGGAATTCAAGGGGGAGTTTAGTTATTAGGTATCTTGGTTTCGATTCCCAGCTCTGTGCTTCTTAGCTTTTGAGTTCCAGTGAGCTACTATGCCTCTCCAGGCCTTTGATCCCTGGTCTGTAGAAGGAGGGTGACGTTAATGGTGCTTCCTTACTAGGAATGTGGCAGTGATGCATCATGGTGGTGCTTCCAGAAGGACTGATGCAGTAACTGGCCCGCTGAGCATAACGCACCCTTGTGGCAAAGGCTGCTCTTGTGCAGGCTGCAGCAGGTGTCCGCGTCCTGACCTCTGCCGCTCACAGTGAGCTGCCTGCTGGTTGCCAGAGACCTCTGAGAGATTGCTCTTAGGAGGTTCGGGTCTCTTCTGGGCAGTGGGGGAAGGGCTCCCCGCTGGCTGCTCTTGTTTCTGTCCAGTGGTGGTAGCCGTTCCAGGTGGACGCGTGCTGGACAGCGTTTCAGTGCACTGGTCTGGTCGTCAGACTGCAGCAGGACCGCCACCCACCTAGGAAACCTGTGCTGGGCAGGTGGCTCCTTCAGAACCTGTGGTTCCCACCTGTGGCTCTGCAGCTGTGATCAGAGCCCTCTGGGAAGGCGCCCTGCGAAACGAGGCGCAGACGGGCGGATGTGCCGGAGAATCGTTGGGGCCGCCCTTATCTCCATTTTATGTGGCACATCAATGGACAAGTTGCATGAAAATTTTTTAAATGATTTTTTAAATGATTTCTATTCTAGCCCATGATGATGCCATTTGGTCCGTGGCCTGGGGGACAAACAAGAAAGAAAACTCCGAGACAGTGGTCACGGGGTCCCTGGACGACCTGGTGAAAGTCTGGAAGTGGTGAGCGCCCTCGCCCCTGACATGCAACCTTGGAAGCTGGGGTTTAGGGATTTGCTTCCAGGCTTCCAGGCGAAGTCAGGAAAGCACTGCCTGTCATCTGGGCGAGAAGGCGCGGCAGTGCAGGGGCGTGGAAAGGCAGCTCGCTCCCCCCGTCTTCCTGTCGGTCAGCGCTGAGCCCATCAGTGTTTTAGGAAAAGGCCCCCAGTGACAACGGGGCTGTCGTCAGTATCCAGTGGCCCCTCACGCCTCTCCGGTTCCCCACCTCACAGACGCTGGTGAGGTGTGGTCAGCTGCCGGGTGCAGTTGGCTGTGTGTGAAGGAATCCATTTCTTTGTCCCCCACTGAAGGAGCGATGAGAGGCTGGACCTGCAGTGGAGTCTGGAGGGGCACCAGCTGGGCGTCGTGTCTGTGGACATCAGCCACACCCTGCCCATCGCCGCATCCAGTTCTCTCGACGCTCACATTCGTCTCTGGGACTTGGAAAACGGCAAGCAGATCAAGTCTATAGACGCAGGACCCGGTAAGAGTTCCCGTCAGCTGTCGGCGCCCAAGTGCCCCCGCTCAGAGGCAGCGCTCCACGGCTGTTCGAGTAAAGGCTGTTGTCCTTCAGGAGTAAAGCTAGATGTTGAAAGGCAGCTCTTTGATTAATAGGCCGCCTTTGTTAATTGAGCATTTTCAAGTTACTTTGTTTTTAAAACAAACATTTCATAAGGTATGTGATAGAGCTAAATGCTTTATTATTACTTTGAAGGTGTGGATTAAAATTTGCAAGAGACGTTAATTTTACAGCTCCCCCCAGAATTTGGGGCTGACTCGCCCGCCCAGAGTCAGGCCTCTCCTTCACCGTCCTGTGGGCTGAGAGGGCACGGCGTCCTCGAGCCCCAGGATCGGGGCTTGGGAGCCAGCCTGCTCTCTCCTTTCCCTCTCACCTCACTGGCACTGCCTCTGGCGGGCGCCGGAGGGCAGGGCTGAGGGCGCGTCCCATGCGAGAGGGTCTGGGCAGCAAGTGGACAGCTGCGTCGTTCTCGCGTATGGAGAGCTTTCTGTGTCGCTGAGCAAAGAAAGGCTAATGCAGCATCCGTGGCCCACTGGGAGGCACCGAGCACACCCGCAGGGGCCTGCAGCCTGTCCGTCCTGCTGGAGGACAGAGCTCTGAAATCAACTGAGTTGGACCTTGGCACTAGCTGATCTGCTTTTCTAACAGTGCCTCTTCCCAGCCCTTTTTTCTGTAAATTTGTGGAAAACCCTTGGTCACATTGTGGTTTTATGTAAGCGTATTTATGGTATATCTTCCTTTATTTACAGTCTTATGGGGGTAAGTTTCACCTCTGTGATTACACTCTGAAATTAAGCGTGCAGCTCTAAGCTTTAGGGACACACTCCATTCCCTTTTCGTTCCCTCGTGGCCATTTGTGGTCCATCCGTCCCACCCTCAGCCTCAGGCGGCTGCTCATCTGCTCTCTGTGCCTCTAGCGTTGCCTTTTTGAAAAGTGTTACGCAGGGGGGCGGTGTCGTCTGACGCAGCTTCAGCCTTCTCGGGCACGCCATGTCTGGTCCCTCCGTGTTGGGGTGGGGGGTCACTGGTTTGTTCCTTTCGGTTGCGCAGACTGGCCCCCTGTGCGGACGCTGGTTTCCACAGTAGCTGTACCATTTTATGTTCTCACCGGTGTTTTAAAAGTTTTAAAAATTAAGGTCACATCTTTTGTCATGGTATGTTTTTCCTTCTTTTTTTCTATTCAGTGGATGCCTGGACTTTGGCCTTTTCTCCTGATTCCCAGTATCTGGCCACAGGAACCCATGTGGGGAAAGTGAACATCTTTGGTGTAGAAAGTGGGAAAAAGGAATATTCTTTGGACACGAGAGGAAAATTCATTCTTAGCATTGCATATGTAAGGAAACGTGGCTCTCCTGTCTCCCTGCCTCCCCCCGGTCACTCTCCCCGCCTGGCGTGTTCTCCGGTGCGGGTCCTCGGGGCTGGTCAGGCAGCTGCCCTCTCGCTGGTGGGTCCGCCCGCCGGCCAGTGAGACCTGCAGCCCGTGACGTGCTTGCATTGGGTGGGGCTGGCCTGACATGGCGTCTCATGCGTCCTCCACGTGTTCTGTGCACAGAGCCCTGACGGGAAATATCTGGCCAGTGGAGCCATAGACGGAATCATCAATATTTTTGATATTGCGACCGGGAAACTGCTGCATACGCTGGAAGGTATGGCTCATCGTTCCGTTTTGTGCAGACTGGGTTCCAGATCACAGACGGAGAATTTTTTTTTTTTTTTTTTTCACAAATGGCAGATGAGCGTTAGGTTTGCAAGTTATCAACCTGAGATACCTGAAGTGCCTGTGAGTTTTAGTTCTGTCACTGTACTTACCACCTGGACTATCAGCTGAGCAGAAGTAGCTCCAGGAGGAGGGGCCGGGGTTACATGGATGTTTCTAGAACATGAGGAGGCAGGGTCCAGTTCGTCCCCTCCACTCTGACTGAAGCAGCTCAGTGTCATTAGAAGGGACACAGCCAGTGGGAAGTCCACGGGAGGGGACGGGCCATAGTGGTCGCCGGTTAACAAGGGCCTTCGTGGATTTCAGGCCATGCTATGCCCATTCGCTCCTTGACCTTTTCCCCGGACTCCCAGCTCCTCGTCACCGCCTCCGATGATGGCTACATCAAGATCTACGATGTGTAAGTTACCCGTTGAGACACAGGCTTCTTGCTTAACACTGATGGCTGCTTGTCTCTCATTGTTCTTGTTAAAGACTTGTGTTCAGAACGCATGGCAGCCTCCTCTCCCCAGTCCGGCCTCCCCCGCCCGTGAGTGTAGAGTGTCCTGGAGGAAGGTGTGCATGCGTTACCTGCTGGGATCCGAGCCTTGCTCCTGCGTTTCAGGCATTCTGTCTCTCGTGGGGTCACTGGTTGTAAATTCTCCGGGGTAGGGAAATAGCGTGGAGATGGGGAGATAGGGCCCTTGGGCTCTAGCTGGCCAGGGAGGTAGCCCGGAGCGTCCTGGGGTGGGCCCCAACCCAGGACGCTCGGGCCACCTCCCGCCGCCACTCCTCTGCCCTGGTCACGGCAGGTTGGCGCCGAAGCCTTTCGTGCTGGATTTTGGCCCAGGTATAGACAGGAGCCGGTCATTCTCTCCAGTTGGCGGTTCTCCTTTGAACCTGGTGTTTGCCCATCCCCCTCAGTCCCACGCCTGCTCCCCCAGGTCGCCTTCTGAGGCGTTAGATGCGGGCACTGCAATGAGCACGCCTCTGGTTCCCAGCCCCAGAACCTGGCGTCCTGATCGACTGGGCGTGCGCGCCGCGGCCACAACCGCGGGAGTCGGAGCATTGCTGCTCCTCGCTATTTGGGGAGGCCTGGAAGTAGAACCGCAGCTTCTGGAGACCTGCACAAGGATGTTCGGGCCCAGAGGGGTGGGTGGCTCCCCGGCCGTGCTGCCTGTGGGCGCAGCAGGCCCTTAGGGCCCAGCTCGGGTTTATATAGGCCCTCATTGCTGGGTTCCATCCATGCTCCCGCCAACCCGTGAGGTGGCTGCATGATGGGCGCCCCCACATTGCAGGTGGGGGACCCAGGCCGAGGTGGGGGTACTGAACGAAGACCCAGAACTTCCCTTGGAGGCTGCATCCTTGCACCCTCTGGGGTCTGTTTGCAGGAGTGAGACTGCGACCTCGGTCAGGCCCGAGGGAGGTTCTGCTGTTGTAGGTCATTTGATTTCACTTTTTTAAAAAGTGAAAATGGCTGTAGCAATTAAGGTGTTCTGGGTCAGTGAGGAAAGGTCTGTGCCTGCGCCTTGTAGAGGCGCGGGCCCCGTGTGGAGCCTGCTGCTGTCCTCGGCCTCCCCGTCTTCAGGGCCACTGGCTGGGGCCCTGGAGTGCGGCTCCTCCTCTGTTTCGAGCTGCTTTTCTGAGCTCTCCGCGTGCCGTCGGTCTTACTCTTGGCTCTTGCTGGCATTAACACGCTTGGGTTAATGCTGCTGTGAAACTTCCTTTCTGCAGTGCCTGAGGCTCCTTCCCTGCAAAGGGGGTTTTCGTGTATTGATATTGTTATTATAAGGCTAGCAGATTTGGTCCAGTTAAACAGGCAGACTTACTAATGTGCCTTCAGTGACTTACTCCAAAGCTAATGGCATCTCTATTTGGTTCGACACTTGCTCATTTCAGACAACACGCCAACTTAGCCGGCACGCTGAGTGGCCATGCATCCTGGGTGCTGAACGTGGCGTTTTGTCCTGACGACACTCACTTTGTTTCCAGGTACTTATGATGCTTTGCCCTTCCTAAAATGTGTGAATTGCCTTAAAACTTGAAGAAGGTGTGACCTTTTTTTAGCTCAGATTCCTTTGTTTTCTGCAGCATGTTTTCTTTTTAAGTTGTGGAGTTACTTGTCCTCAGCTGGAACCGACACAGATCCCTTGAACAGTTCATCTCGTAGTTTTTCCTTCTGAATCTAGAGTTCCGCCCTCAGGGAGTTAAGGGATGTGAGACTCCTGATGAGAACGCTGACGGTGGGGCCAGGCGGGTCACAGCTCCCGGGGACGGCTGCTCTGTGAGCCGACAGCCACCCGGCGGAGCCGGCACCCCGGCCAGCGCCTGGGTGAACTAGGCAGAGTGCGGCAGAGCGAGGGCGTGGGATTCTTAGTCAGGAGTCCTTTCACCTTCAGGCCAGTCTGAACACTTCTCTGATACTTATGTTTCCTTTTTTAAATAGTTCATCTGACAAAAGTGTGAAAGTCTGGGATGTGGGGACGAGGACTTGTGTTCACACCTTCTTCGATCACCAGGATCAGGTACGACATCGGTGACACTGGAGTTTTTTGCGGCATCGCCGGGCAACTGCACTAAATGCCCCCCCTTTCCTAGCCTCGCCACCTGAGTTGGAGGACAAGTGGACCCGGCGCTGAGCTGCTGCTCGGGTGTCCTCCAGCCTGTGTCCTGTGCGCACTGCCTGGGGCAGCGCTGGGCACGTGTAGGCCAGAGAACGTGGTGCTAGTTGCACAACCTGTAAACGCTGTTTGGAAAATGCTTTGGCGGTGTCTGGGGCCCTTATGTGGGTGCAGCCTGGCTGGGGCCGGGTTGGGAAGGACCTTCTCAGAAGCTTTGGCTGTTTAAACAGTCATCACTTGTCATTTTGAGACCTGTCCAATGAAATGATTTCCTTTTTAATTTTGTTTTTAGAATTTAAAAAAAAAGATTTTATTTTTAGCGAGAGGGGAAGGGAAGGAGAAAGAGAAAGAGAGAAACATCCATGTGTGATCGCTTCCCTGTCTCATGTTACGGGCTGTGGACCTGGCCCATAACCCAGGCCTGTGCCCTGACTGGGAATCGAAGCAGCAACCTTTTGGTTTGCAGGCCGGTGCTCAATCCACTGAACCACACCAGCCAGTGGAAAGGAGAATAGAATAAAGATGTTTGTTCATAAAGAATAAAGGTGTTAACAGAACTTTTTTCTTTTTACTTTATTTATAGGTCTGGGGAGTAAAATACAATGGAAATGGCTCAAAAATTGTGTCTGTTGGAGATGATCAGGAAATACACATCTACGATTGTCCAATTTAAACATCACTGTCTTCCACGTTAATGCTGCAGAGAGAATGTACAGATCGAACATAACATTCCTTATCTTTGTAGCTTGTTTCAAAGAAATACAGCGTTTATTATAGCAGGAACATAAATTTTGTAGGTACAATATAAACCTTTTCATGTTTTATTGGAAATGTTGTTCATAATGTGTTCTTAGTGCAAACACCAGATTCTTGAACATGCAGCTTTTCCATGTGCCGTTTTACCGGCGCACAGTGAGTAGAGGCGGCATTGTTGCCTGAAAGTGTCTGCCTGCCTCCCACGGAGATCCAGGTACCTACTGGTCCGGGTCCAGCTTAGAAACACAGGCTTGCCCCAGGGTTCCAGCGCACTGGGTCGTGCAGAAGCTGTGACAAGGACGATGATGTATTTCAGAGCAGGGTCCTGAAGGAAATGTCAGACTGGCTGGGGACGTCCTGCGGTCCTTCCTGTCCGGGCATCTTTCTGTTTCGTTACCAATAATGATATCTGCCACACTCTCTGTTTCACCCCACTAATTCCAGAGAAGTCTCTAGCTCGCTGGTGGATATCGCTGCCTTAACAATGTATAGGCTCCCACCTGCACCCACTGTTGACTGCTGCCCGGCCTGTTGTCCCCATGTACCTATGCCTGAGATTGGTCTGCGTATGAATGGCAGGTGTAAGTAGCTGACACCTGAGTTTGCTCTTTTCATTGATCGTAACCTCACATGCCTGAAAGTCAGGCCCTGTGCCCCTGCTTCTCTCTCCGGCCTCCTTCCCTTGCTCACTCCCTATAACCACACAGGCCGAGCCACCTCCTTGGCCTGGAATGTGTCCTCCCTCAAACTGTATTCAGGCAGCTGCTCAGGGACGAGGCTGCCACCTCTCTGGCAGCGTTTCCCATTCCTCTTCGTCTTCATAGCAGCTGTCACCGCCTGCTGTTTGCATCCACCCCCCAGATGAAGCTCCAACGGAAACTTCATTCCGATGTATTGGCAAAAGCTGGCACTTAACACTGGTTGTTTGAGGTCTAGAAAACAAAACACCAAAGCTCTTTGTCTGTCATACCAGCTCAACTTTAATTTTAAAGTGACAGATGTACAGGTGGGATAAATGTGAAGCAACACCCTCCAGATGCCATTTACAAGACAAGGAAGGAGCTGAGTGTAACTTTGCCCCGTCATCAGCTAAACAGTTCTGTAGCAAGAATTCATGAGGAAGCCACAGCACAGAAACGGGACACCCTGCAGTTGTGGTCCGTTTGTAAATTGATTTCCACGTGAGCTTTGTTGGAAGAACAGGTTTTGTGTCTGTCCTGACCGGTGATCAGCGTGGCACCAGTGGGCTTGTCCGCATCTTCCACACCCATGTCCAGCAAACTGCTCAGCCTACCCGACGCTCCCAGGGGAGGCCCCTGGTCTGCGCCACACTCGCAGGTGCTGCGTGACCCAGTGAGTGGATGTGACGAGTGGCCTCTGCTTTAACACAGCAGCTCAGAAGGTAGTTTTTCCTTGTGACTGTTTTGGGAAGGAGAGGAAGTAATGGCTAAAGGTTGAGGTAACCCTAAATTCAAACTGTGGCCTACCTGCCAGGAGTGAAAGAACTCGTGAGCAGGGAGCCCTTATTTATGGCTGTGTGGTGAGAGGCGCGGCCCTTTGGAGGGGCTGAGTCTGGGAGAAGGAGGTGGAAAACACGTCGTGCGCCCCTCCAGACCCCTCAGTTGTCCAGGAAGCGGCTGTGCCGGGGGCAGACCACCTGCATTCTTCGGTGGCTGCGCTGAGGCTGCTGGGGACATGGAAGGTTTCATTTTCTTCACAAGTAAGCACTTTGGTGGGCAAGCATTCCAAAAGTTGTCAACGGAAAATCATTAAAACCACAAAGAACAAGGTGCAGGGGGCACAGGCAAACAGTTTCATCCGCGTTTCACTTCAAACACAGGTTTGTCCTCACCACGAGCCTTGGAAGGTTCAGGAAGCCTCCAAGACAGGTGATCAGACACACTCACACTCCGCTCCATGCACTCGGGTGCAGAGCACTGGGAACCAGGGTGGCCCTGTGGCCCAGGCAGCGTGAGCCGGGGGCTGCGGCCAGGGCCAATCCACGGGTGTGCTTTTACTCTTGAGGCCCAGCAGGAAGCGACTCAAATGTCACGTTAGCAGCCCTGAGCTCAGCCCTCAGTGCCCCTGCCTGGGAGGGAGGGAAAGAGACCCAGACCAGAGGAGGCCCAGTGGTGCTGGGGGCCAAGGGCTGCAGCCTGGGCTGTGCTTCCGTGGGAGGGCGAAGGCAGGCGCAGCCACAACGAGTGCGCTGCCTCAGCGCGGTCCCTGGCCTCGCCGTGGATCCTGAACGTGGAAATAAACTGATTCCGTGTGCAGACTGGAGGTGGTTTACACTTTAAACATTTAAATATAAATTAAGCTATAACAGGTTACAACCAAAAGAAAACCCAAAAGACACTCAGCCATCGAGAATGCTGAACACATACACAGGACACCCCGAACAGGCTAGGAAAGTGATGCCATTTTCATTGTGCCAACTTTACATTCATCGCGTGCTCGTGCAGCGGGGCCGTCACGCCGTCTGGCACTGCACCCCGGCCCGGGGCCCGTCCTCGTCCTCCTCGTAGGCCTCCCGGTGCTGGCGCCAGCTCTGGTCGTTGGGGTCAAACTCCTGCAGCTCCGCTTGGTCCATGTCATCTGTGACCCTCACTATTTGCCGAGGAGGGAGCAAAGCTTCTAGCTGAGGAAGCCTGTCTTGAGGAAGCCAGTGTTTTTCGGGAAAGACTACCTGTAAAAGGTGAGGAGGGAAAGAGCAGTAGTTGATTGTCTCCTTCCCAGTTAAGCCATTTATTATGTCCCAAGAGGACCAAACACACGGACCTACCAGGAACTGGATGATCAGAATGCCTTTCTCCAGGGGCGCCTTGTAGATGGGCATTCCCTCGTTGCGCACACACTTCAGGTCCCCGTGCTTCACCACCTCACCTGCCGCAGACAAGGCTCGGTCGTGAGACGCGGGTGGAGGGGGCCCTGCAGGGCCCGTCTCCCACCCTCTAGCCTTAACTCTCAGACGGCCACAGGAAAAGTCACTCACACCTGGGAAGGGGTCAAGGGTGCCTGCGTGGCGCGGCCACCGCCACACCTGTACAGACGTTCTGCGACCGGGACAGTGGCCTTACGTGCTTCAAGTCAAGGCCCTAGCCTGGCCTCCCTTTTTCAGTGTGCTGCCGTCCCTCAGCCCTTCCAGGCAGGGGTGCCGGTGCCCCGCATTCCCTCGTCCTCCGGGGAGCGGGAGCCTGGTGTCCACATGAGCCCCAGGCTGAGCAACTCAGAACCTTTTTGGTTCCTCAAGTAGCTCCCTGAAGTTCCTGCAGGTGTGTGCCAGCCGTTCTGTGGGTGCCTGCAAGGAAAGGCTGAGAGGCCTTTCTTCAAGAAAATCCTATTTTAAAATGTCTCTCGTGTATTCAACAACATTGAGGCTGGAGGGATGTGTGGATGCATCACAAATAACCGCTTGATAGAAAAATGCCTATTATTGGCCGTGTCTTCTTCATATGCAAAAATTAACGTTAAAATGTAAGTTACATTGGCAGTTTCCAGCTGGAATCTTAGACACACAAGATTCCTGTTTGAGGTTCTTCCTCTACTCCCACTCTGAAATGTTTTTCTAGGAGAATATTTTAAAATTCATAAATTTCTCAAGCCCTTAGTGATAACTTTAAACTCAGAGAAAATCCAGTCACTAAGTTGTGTAATAGAAGTCAACCTGAAATGTGAAACCAGGCTAAGTGGCCAGTAGTTTTAAGCCAAACATACAGAACGATGACAACAGAAACACGTTTGAAACATTACCTGATTTGGATGTAATAACAAGGACCCGATCATCCAGTGTTTTTATTGTCTTCTTGAAGCCACAAAGGGCTTCAGAAAGCTGAATTTTCAATTTCATGATCAAGTCATGGCCTCGCCTCTGAAAGACACTGTGATCCTTCTGGTCCAGCACAATGATGACGTCGCCGGGCTCCAGCTCGGGCTCCTGGTCGCCTTCTCCGTGGAAGACTATCTTCTGCCCGTCCTTCATACCTGCGGAACATTTTCCCCTTCTGATGAGCCATTCCTCTCAGAAACCACGCTGGTTGCAAAGCTTCTGAAGAAGGTACGGAGCACGAGAGGCACTCCGTGCAGCCTCACCTTTCTCAACGTGCACCTCGATAAGCTTCTTCTCCCGGATCACCTTGGCGCCACCACAGCTCTCGCAGCGGTCCTTGGGGTTGATGCGCTCGCCCTGGCCCTTGCACTCCACGCACACGGTCTGGATCTGCTGCACCATGCCCGGCCCGATCTGCTGGATGTGGATCTGCATCCCGCGGCCCTTGCATAGCGGGCACTTCTCCACAGAGCCCTTCTTCCCACCGACACCTGCAAGTAGGGACGGGGACAGAGGAGAGCTGTGCTCTTGCCCGAGAAGTTTGGCTGCTGCATGACAGCAGCAGGAATGAGCCACTACTTGGACTACTAACAAATGCGACAAGCGACGTGAAAGTAACTGGGTGCTTCTAGCTGAGATAACGGCCAGGTGTTCACATGGGATCTCAACCATTGCGTCCTTGGTGGTGCCAAGCCAAATTAATTACTAAAGCTCCATCCACTGTGGTTTCTTCCACCCCAGGGTGGAAAAACACCCTTGCCTACAGGTGACCGAGTGGGTGGGCTGTGGAGGACTGGAAAACACAGCCCTGTCGTAGGGGGTGGCTACCCGGCTCAGCCAGCTCTCGGTGGGACAATGTGGACCTCACTGTTCTTCAGAAACCAGATTTTAAGAAATTGTATTAATTAAATTTACATTTAAGTCAAGGGTCCATAAATTACAGCCAGCTGCCTGGTTTTGTAAATAAAGCTTTATTGGAACAGAAGCATGTCCATTCATTTATTATTGTCTATGGCCATTTTTGCACTAAGAGTTGAATAGTTAGGACAGGGACCACATGACCCCCAAAGCCTAAAATATTTACTATCTGGCCCTCTACCAAAAAGGTTTGTTGACTCCTAGGTTGGGTGAACCATCTTATTTTTAAATTTTTGAAATAATTGTCATATATTAAGTAAATGTGCAGTCGACATGAAAAAATGTACAAATGAAAAAAATTTGTTCCTCAGGTCACCTGTTTTGCAATCTGTGTTTGACCCTCCATCTGAAAAGATAAATTAATTTTTTTCTGAATTATAAAACACTTAGAATTGTTTCCAGAGCTAAGGGATCCGAGCTTTCAGAGTCATTCAAAAATTGACTTTTACCTTCACATTTCTCACAGATTACATTTTTCTGCAGGGCCAATTTCTTTGTGACTCCGTTATATAAATCTTCAAGAGTTACAGACAACTGATGTACAACGTTCTTGCCTTACCATGGGGAGAAAAGAAACAATTAGTAAAACGAGTAAATATACCACTGTATTAAATGCCACCCACATGACACTCATGTGAAGTCTCTCCAGAGACTCGGAGCTGCGCCTGTGCCACCGTCCCCTCCCCTGCTCATTCCTCTGGCTCTCTGCCAACGATGAGAACTAATACCCCATCTAGCGAGGACCTAATTAATCATTTATAGATGTCAACACAAAGACTTTCCATCTTTATTTCCAAAACAAATCTGAAGACAGAGATCCCCGAGAAAACCTAAAGCAATGTTCCAGTAAACTTGATTAACTAGGTTCTCCCTGCGAAAGGAGCCCCGTGCTCACCGATGCGCGTATAACGACCATTCTCTGGACCTTTAACTGAAACTTCCCTAAGCCTAATGCACTTGACCCTTTGAGCCCTTCTGTGATTTGTGGGCAAGTGGGAACTCTTTCATCTGTGCATTCAGGACACTAGGCCTTCTGTCCCCAGCGGGGGAGTCTGTCTGCGCTGGCGCTGGGCCCGCCTGTCAGGACCCGGAGCATCGGGGCCCTTGCTGCTGCTCGCAGCCCCTGAGACAAGCTGTCCTTGTTTATTGGCTGTCAGCTTTGAGAGATGACTGAATTAAGGGCAAGAAGTGGTTCATCTCAAGGCAGTGAGAGAGCTGGGCAAGAGATACCCAAGGTTTTAATCACATCTACGTTGTCAATTATACGAGCAGGCAACATAGCCAGACAACAGGGTGGGGATTTTTTTTTCCCTAAAAAACACTGCAATTTTCAGCATACCGTTCACAGAATCGACAGTCAAGCTTTTTGAAGCTCAAAGTCCATTATAATATGAGAACAAGTGCAGCCTTATTTAGGGGCCTCTTGTGACCCCTACCACCCTCTGTAAACCCCAAGGCAGAGCTTTTTTGTTCTGCTTTTGTCCAGGGTTCAAACACTGGTTACCCATCTGGTTTCAGGGTCCAAAGCACTTTATCAGCAGTAGGCTGAGCAGGACAATGAGGGCTATTAGAGATCACTAGCAACAGTCACAGGTGACAGCTCACAGCTTGGCAGGAGGTTAAGAGGTAAAAAAATTAGTAGGAGCAAACCCTACAGCCATTCAGCTCAGGACTACTAAATCCCCCGCCATTTCATGGGGGTTAAGCTGCTGATCTTAATGCATGCGGAAGAGGGAGGCAGGTAGCTTCTGTCATCGAGAGGTTCAAACACAAAGCTGCTAAGAGAAGGAGGCCACCCTGCACACGGCAGAGCACCAGCCCAAGCCCAGGGCAGAGGCGTGCAGGAGGGAAGAGGCGCTCTTGTCGGAGGCATCACGGATAGCCCCGGGAGGTGCCACCATGTCCCTCAGGACACTCAGGAGCTTGACCCCGACGACAGAGAAAAGAGGGCAGGATGAACCTGACCTTCTTCTTTCTACTCACCCCTCCATCTGCTCCTCTACACGTGGTGTTTAGAGGGTGGCAGCTTATTGCTAAATGTGCTAAGAGATTCCAGGAAGCCTGGATCCTAGACGAGGGATAATGCAGTTAAAACTAATGGTGCCAAATCCTAACAATTGTACCCTTTGATCTGTCCTGATTCCGATAATGAACAGTTTGGAAACTACACAACCTGCTTACGGTCTTTAGAAGCATTTACCTCTTCTCTCTCGAGCCATCCGCCCTCCGCCACCGAAGAACATGTCGAAGATGTCCATGGGGGAGGAGAAGTTGGGGCTGCCCAAGCCGCCCTCCTTGATCGCCTGCTCGCCGCCCTGGTCATAAATCTCCCTTTTCTTTGGATCTGAAAGCACTTCATATGCCTGGGATATGAGCTTAAACTTTAAAAGAAAAAGAAAAAAAAAGAGCAATTAATTAAAAAGAGATAAAGTGCCCTGGCCGGGGAGCTCAGCTGGTTAGAGCATCATCCCCATACGCCAAGGTTGCAAGTCTGATCCCAGTTCAGGGGACACACAAGAATCAACCAGTGAAAGCATCAGTATGGGGTATAACAAACTGGTATTTTCCTCTCTCTCCCCCTTCCTCTCTCTCTCTCAAATCAATCAATAAACAAAATTTTAAACAAGGTAAGGTTTGGATTGTATTACTAAGCAAACCCACCATATGAATGCCATGTTGGAGGTATGCTGCACCTAACCCCCCCAAACTAGCTGGCCGGTCCCTTCGCTGGAACTCGACGTTTCCGGTTCTCCCCCTGTAAGGTGGGAAACGCGAGCAAACACGATTCGGGGACTAGCAGCAGGGCCCGGTTGTAGAGAAAAAGTCAGAAAACCCACACTGAAGGGCATTTTGCAAAACTAAAGTACAGGAGAGATCAATGCACTCTGTGATCCTGGAACGGCTATTGTACAACTCTTAAACTTTCACGAACATTTTATTCACACTAAAACCTACAGTGACATCGGCCAAAGGAACAAGCTCATCTCAAAAAGCCAGTTCAGGTAACGGCCGAGGCCACAGCCCTGTCAGCGCCCCTGGAAGGGACGAGCCAGCCGGGGTTCCCCACAGAGACCGGCCGCGGGCAAGTGAGCGCGGACGCGTGTGCGCGCCCCGCGCTTAGCAACGCCGACAACAGGGCCCAAAACAACGACCCACAGGCCGGCGGCCGGCTCAGCTGTCCCGGAGCAGGCGGGGAGAGGGCCGCCTTAATCTATTTTTGAAGAGACATTAATAATACAGTGAGGGACTTGGGAGGGGAAAAAAAAAAAAGGTTCCACCTATGACGGATAAAGCGGACGAGAACTGCACACACACTTGCACAAAAAGAAAAGGTCTACGCCGTGTGCCCGGCACACAGTAGGACCAGCCAGGAGGCGATGGGGGGACGCATGAATGGCGGACGAATGAGTGAACGAGTTCGCTTTCGGGATCCTCGCAGCACTTTCTGTCAGCCCCTTCGCCGGCCCACCCAGCTCCCCGTGATCGGCCGGCTCCCCCTCCGCGGCGACGGCTCCCCCTCACGGGGCTCGCTCCTCCTCCCACGCGCGCTTCTCGGGCCGCGCTCTCGGGAGGACGCTTGCGCTCAGCCAGCCGGCAGGCGCTGGGCGCGTCCGTGGGCGCGCGCCTGCCTACGCGGCGGGGGGCGAGCGGGCTGAGGGCCGGGGCAGCGGGGCAGCCCGGGGGCCGGAGGCAGCCTCCGCGAAGAAGGGCCCGCTGAGGAGGAGTTTCCAGGGCTCCCCCTCTTGTGCAAGGCGGGCCCATCGCCGGCTGAGAGGGACCTGCCATACCTGACCCGCAAGAGCCTCCCTCACGTGACACCAGTTCAGCGCCCGGCTCGCGACAAACCACAGGACGCGCTCGGACAGCTGCGTCCAGGGCGACCCTCGCGCGGAGGCGGCGCGCGGCGACCCCGCTTTGAGGAGGCCGCTTTCCCACCGGCCGCCTCCGACGCGATCACAAGCGGCCGGCGGGCGGCGCGCTCCCTCCGGGAGACCCTCAGACGCGGCGCCCAGGGGCTGGGCGGAGCAGGCGCCGACGCCCGGCCGCCACAGGCACCTGGTCCTACAGGGAGGCTCGTTAACTTGTGACAGCCCCCGTCGGCACCCGTGGCTAAATATAAATATTTTATCACTGTCGCCACCCCGCCAACCGTCCTGAAGCAGCTGCCTCCAGCTTGGCAGACAGGCTTTTTGATATGAGCGTCGGTCGCCCCGACTAACTGCTGGGGGGATAATGTGCGACTTCAAAAGCGGCCGGGCGTCCCTGCTCTCAGCGCCCCAGAAGCCCCCCTCCCCCCTCCCCGCCCGGGACAGCCGCATTTTATAAGAAAACGACGCGACGAGAAGGGGGTGGGCAGGGCGGCCGGCTTTCAGCAGGGACCGAGCCCGGTCCTGCGGGGATAAAAAGCAGCCTGGGAGCCGGGTGAGCAGGGCGAACGTAGGTTTCCGGGACGCAGGTTCCCGTGTTACATGAGTGGGGCGCCACTTGTCACGGAAAAGCCTGGAACATTCGTGTAAGATGATGTCCCTGTTTCACAAGGGAAACGGGACCACGCCGAGTCTGACCAGGTTTACCCGGCCGGAGACGGGCACAGACCCCACTTCCGGCCCTGGCACCGCCGGAGCCCGGCTCCTGCGTCAGCCCCGCCCCCGGCCTGCGGGCCTCACGCCCCTCACGCCCCCCCACCCCCCGCCCCCGGCCCGCCCCCCCACGTCCCGGTCGCGGCGCCCCTCACGCCCCTCCCGCCCCCGGCCCGCCCCCCCACGTCCCGGTCGCGGCGCCCCTCACGCCCCCGCCCCTCCAGTCGCACCTTCTCGCCCTCGTCCGGGTTCTTGTCCGGGTGGTACTTGAGCGCCAGCTTCCGGTAGGCCTTCTTGATCTCCTCGGGCTGGGCGCTCGGCTTCACCCCCAGGATGTCGTAGTACTGCGTCTCCTTCACCATCTTGTCCCCGCGGCGCCGGCGGGCGACGCCGCTCAGGAGGCCGCTCCGCGCCCCGCCGCCCGCCCGGCCCGGTCACCTCACGGCCAGTCCCTGTCCCGTAAGACCCGAGCGCGTCACGACCACGTCACGGCGCCGCCGCGTCTCGTCGCAATCCCGTCACGGCCTCGGTCCCGTCAGTCGCGCTCCCGCTCGCTTTTGGGCGCCGGCGCCTCCGCGGCGGCTTTTATTAGGCGCGGGCAGCAGTTTCCGCGGGGACGGTGACGCCACAAACGTCCAGAACTTTCCGGGGGTTTCGGCGGCCGCCTCTTCGGACCTCCCGCTCGGGCGCGGGCCGTGCGGGGTCGGCGGGGCCGGGGACTCGTCCGGGGGCCTCTGTGCGGTCACGGGCGCCGGGCTGCCTGCGGGGACCGCGCCTTGCGGGGCCTCCTCGGGGCACCGAGCCGGCTGCAGCGCCGCGATAGCGCCAGCCGCCGCTACGCCCAGTTCTGGGCGCCGGGCACCCCAGGGAGCGGGCCGGCCTGGGGAGGGGGGCCGCGCCGGCGCCGAGATCCCCGCCCGCCGAGACCCGGCCGGGATGGGAGCGTGACCTGCTTCCCGAAGCGCCCCGCCCCCGCCCCCTCCAACCACTGCGCACCCCCAGGGAACCCCTGTTCTGACTTCTAAAGCAGGTTCATTGCGCGTCTTTGTGCACATTGGGTTGATGGAGTCGCGCAGTAGGAATTATTCTTTTGCGTTTGGCTGCTTTTCTCGATGTCAAGTCGGTGGGAGTCATCAGCGTCGCTGCCTTGGACGAGGTCGCTCAGGCTGCTGTTGGGGGGCCGTTGAGTTGCTCGCAGGACCGCCTGTGGGGAGCGGCCCAGGGTGTCCTTGGGGGCGTGGATGCGACGGTTCCGGGCGGCTATCCGCCCAGCAGTGGGCTTGCTCGGTCGGGTGGGAGAGACTCGCCGCGCCGGCCTTCCCCGAGCCCCCGAGCCCCACCGCAGAGGCGCCCACCTGGTGCCCCGAGGAGCCCCCTGCGGGACCCCCCGTGCGCCCAGGAGACCCCCAGGCTGCACTCGGGGGAAAGGGGAGCGGGCAGAAGTGGGCACAGACCGGCTGCGGCCAAGGGCCGCCCTCAGAGGTGCTGCCCTCGAGCCACCGGGATGACGCCCTTCAGAGTCAGGCAGAAGGCCTGTCGCTGCCGGGTGCGGGGACTGGTCCTGCCCAGGCTGCTGGTTGGAGATAATCGCTCACCTGGCTCGGCCTGACCCAGGTGGGGCGGAGGGACCGCGGCGCGCAGTGTAGCTCCACCCAGGGCAGGCGCCGCGTGTCTCTTTCCCACTGTCCCCCCAAGGCCCAGCGCAGTGCCTAAAAAATGGAACGTGCTTGGTAAATGTGTGGTATTTGATCCAGCCTTTTTTTTTTTTCTAGGACTTTTATTTATTTTTAGAGAGAAGGGAAGGGAAGAAAAGAGGGAGAGAAACATCCATGTGTGCCTGCCTCTCGCGCGCCCCCTGCTGGGGACCTGGCCCGCAACCCAGGCCCTGTGCTCCGACTGGGACTTGAACGGGCGACCCACTGATTCGCAGGCCGGTGCTCAGTCCACCGGCCGCCAGCCAGGGCCAAAAGCTTGATTTAAAAGCAAGCCCGATTCCACTGCTAGGAGATCTGAGGCTGTAACCCCTCCAAAGAGGGTCGTCCCCTCCCTGTGCCCTCAGGCGCCGCCCCGGCACAGTCACGGGCACTCGCTGGGCTGTGTTGGAGGCCTGCGGAGATGGACACATGGCGCCGGGCTAGGCAAAGCGGCAGTGCAGCGGGCAGCGGTAGGGAGGCGGTCTCCTTGGGACGTACCAGAGAAAGATGGGGAGTGCAGGGGTATCTGGCAAGGCTTCTGAGAGGAGGTGAGCAAGGGAAGCCGGGAGGGAGGGCAGGCAGTGAAGGTCCAGCCTCTGTACCTGGGTCCTCCCTGCCCCCTGCCCCTTCATATTGCATCCCAGGCTGTGGTGTGAATGTTCTCTGCAAGCTGTGGCAAAGCCCCAAGAGAAGCTCCCCGGGCGACGCGGGCCCTCAGAAAGGGCCGACCAAGGCCGACCACAGCTCTTCCCCATCAGCCAGGGTGAGGCTCTTCCCCGTGGGGCTCACTGCCTGCGTGGGGGGTGGGCAGTCAGGGTCTGCCTGAGTTCTGGCTCAGGGAGACCCCCATAGGGAGTGGGGCTCCTGGAGTTCTTTCTACCAGGCAGGAGTGGTGCTCAAATTCCTGTTTGGGAAAGGAAAAAATACAGGTGTTTTTAGATTGTTGGCAACACTAGAGGAAAGAGCGCCGATTCATTCACATGTGACTGCCTGGCACTGTGAGTTCTGCTGGGTCCCTGGGGACACGCAGGGGGCCTCCATTCCCTGGTCGCTGCAGCCTCCACACCCCTGTGCCCTGGTGATCGCAGGGCCACCTCTGATGGCCCGCCCGCAGCGTGGCAGTCCGGGCTCTAGTCCCATCTGTAAGGGGCAGCTGTAGGCCGGGGCGTGTCCCAGCCCCTCGGATGTCCCCCTGTAGGACAGGGTCACCGCGATGAGGCACATGGATGTGGACGCCTGGCACGGCTCCAGGGGCAGGTGGCGCCAGGGTAACTTCCCTCCTGCCTTTGTTTACAAGGCCAGGCTCCCAGCACTGTCAGTCCAGGAAGCAGCCCTTCACACCTGATAAGAACTTTCCTGGACACTTGTTTCTTCCCAGCAGGTGCCCTCTGCTGTGAAGGAGCAGGGCTGGGACAGGAAAGGCTCCGCAGAACCGCGAGGCCCAGCCCGGCTTGGCTGAAGATGCTCCCTCTTTACCCCCTGCCCCTGCCTGGCCGTGCAGGTTTGTCATGAAGTAGGACACGGGTCTGAGCAGGGCGGGTGCCCCGCGCTTGCATGTGCGGCTCCCGTGGGGAGAGCGCTGACCTGCCCGGGCCTGCCTCAGCCCTGCTCCTCTGCCTGGGCCGCTCGCCAGCACTCGGAGGCCCTGGCTGGCTGTCCACATTCCCCATTCCCGGCTGTCCCCTGGGGGATGTTACAGATGCAGCCAGCCCAGGCAGAAGCGGGAGAGGTCCCCACAGGCCAGGCCCTAGGCTCAGAGGAGGACTTGTGGGCCCCCTGCTCCAGGACACCCCTCTGTTCCGGCCCAGGGCCACGGCCTTGAGGACAGAGGGCTGGCGCCGTGGTTTCCAGGTCCTCCGGGTCTGGTGTCTGCAGGCCTTACCTGGGGTGAGTGCTCCCTGAGTTTCTAGTCAAGGAAGCTTTGGGGGCTCCCTCGGCCCCTGCCCAGGTGAGGCCCCTGGGAGACAGGTGTCCCTGTCAACACGGTCACTGCACAGGTGAGGAGTCGGAGGGTCTGACACACGAAGGCTGGGGTCCTGCAGGCTGGAAGAAGTCCGGTGGACTGTCAGCCCGGTGCTCTGCCCCCGCCGCCGCCCGCTCCCCAGCCGATTCAGGGGCGGCGGCACCCTCCGCCCCAGGAGAGCCCCGGAGAGTCGTCCAAACCTCTGTTTTGCTCGTCATGGCCTGCCTGTGTCCCAATTTAGAGCATTCTAGGGTCCCAATGATAAAAATAACAAAGACCAGCTCTCGCTGGAAGTGCCCACACTTCTCTAAGTGCTCCCTGTGTGTTTACCCACGGCAGCCTTGTGAGGTAGCAGTCGCTGTAATTCTGTTTCACAGATGAGAACATTGAAGCCCAGAGCGGTGAAGTAATATACCCAAGGTCACACAGCTTATAAGCAGCCGCTTTGTCCCAGGTGTCCCTAAAAACAGCCCACAGCAAAGCTTATGCCCTGTGCCCTGGCTGGCGTGGCCCAGTGGATTGAGCGCCGGTCTGCGAACCAATAGGTCGCCAGTTCGATTCCCAGTCAGGGCACAGGCCTGGGTTGCAGGCCAGGTCCCCAGTTGGGGGCCTGTGAAAGGCAACTGATCGATGCATCTCTTGCACATCGATGTTTTCTACCTCTCTTTCTCCCTCCCTTCTCCTCTGTCTCAAAATAAATAAAATCTTTTAAAAAAAAAAAAAAAAAAAGGTATGTTGGGAGTGGATCCCAGGGCACAAAAGTGAGGGGGGAAAGGGAGGAAAGCCAATACAAGGTAGTGAGAGTATTTCTGAGCTGCCTCCTGTTTCAAAAGAAAATACAGGTCTTTGCAACGTCACATAGGACATCTAGGCAGGCTGGTGCTCTGCACTTTGGACCAGTGTGTTCAGGGAGGGAGCCGGTGTAGAGTGAGGACAGGGAGGTGGCAGACCCAGATCCGTCCCAGTCTGTACCCCTCGGTCTCCCATACTGAGTTGTTAGCCTCATCTTGGGTCACATGAGTTGGTTTGTCGTCCTTTTTGCTAAGCTGTTTTCAGATGGGTCTCTGGCCCTTGCAACCAAGACTGTGCATTTTACAGATGAGGAAACTGAGACCCAGAGAAGTGAGGTAGCTTGGCCTGGGTCACGTAGCTAATTCAAGAACCGTTGTGGCCCGGGCTGATGCGGCTCAGTGGACTGAGCGTCGGACGGCCTGTGAACTGAAAGGTCACTGGTTCGATTCCCAGTCGGGGCACAATGCCTGGGTTTGGTGGCCCGGTCCCCAGCTGGGGGCATGGGAGAGGCAACCAACTGATGCATCTCTCCCACATTGATGTTTCTCTTCCTCCCTTCCCCTCTCTCTAAAAGTACATAAATAAAATCTTAAAAAACAGACAAACCATTGTGTTCTTCCTGTGCCCGGGGCCATCCAGATCCACACGGCACGTGGCCCTGAATCCACGAGGGAAGAAGGTGCCTCCTCAGCAGAGGGTGCTGCCTTGACTCTCTCCTGCCCGTGTCCGCCCCCAGAGGGCCTGGTCCTAGTGGGCGGGTCACCCGCTCCCAGCCCTGTGCCCACTCATGGGATCCCGTCTGCGCCTGCTTTCTTCTGACCTGCTTGCAGGAGAGCTGTCCTGCTGGCCTAAATCTCTGAGAATCGGAGTCCCAGAGAGAGGAGTGTGAGCCTCAAAACTCCCCGGGTTCTGTGTGGAGCTGGCGGAACAGGCGTGGAGCTGGGACCCAAACGCCACCCATTCAGTTCCGAAAGGGACGCCAGAGGACGGGGCGCATGGCCGTGGCGGGGAGGAGGGAAGGAAGGTGGCGATCGCCAGGTCTGTGAAAACGTTCCCTGGACTTGGGCCGGTGGGGGGTTCCGCAGCCGCCAGGGGCCAGCAGAGGCACGCAGTTCTCCCGCGGGGGCCCTGGCCCCCGCCCAGGAGGCCTCCAGCCAGAGCCCCAGGCTGCGTTTCAAAACCTGCAAAAAATAAAAATGACATCTTAGAAATGCATACACACAGTAACAAAAAAGTAGGCCAGAGGCTGCTTTTCAAAGTACACACCTGTCCTCCATCCCAGCCCCCAAGGCACCTTTTCCTTTATTTAACCATTTCTATTCGGAATACCTCTTTCTTGAGGGCCGCACAGTTTTCAAGGAGAAGCTTATCTCCAGACCTTCAGTGACCAGCCTTACACCACACGTGTGCGCGGCGATTTAGCTCGTCAGCCATGGCCCCGGCCCATCGCTGCGCGGTCGTGTGCTCTCGTGTTCGAACAGCGTGATCCCATGCCTTTCCTCCCTCTCCATCGGGGTCCACAGCACCTCGCCGCCCTCAGTGAGTGAGGCACTCAGCCGTCCCTCAACTTTCTCTTGTTAACATGGATGACATTTACATTCTTTTATGAAAACAAAACTAAAATCTCCCAGCGTTTCCTATAACAGACTCCAGAAGTGTCCTGTGATCAAATATGAGAGGCGGTACGTGGATATTTGATAGAACAGTGTCATATTCATTTTAATACGCATTGGGAAGTACCTTTGTGTGTATGTGTGTATATCATGAGCCCTTCAGTTTGTGGCTTTACAATCTAATAGCTTAGGATGAAGCTAGAGTCACTTTTGAAATTACAAAAGTGAGTCAAGGTGAAGAAAGTGATTAAAGGATGTACAGTCCCAGAGGCAGATACGGCAAAAGTCATGAAAGGGGGTCCCAAGATGCACCGGAAAATGGGTCTCGATTGTCAGAGTCGGAAGCCAGGGAGCGAGCAAGGACTTGGCTGTGACGGCCTCTCGGCCGACGGCAGGGGTGCCGCCCCCCGCCCCCGGGAGGCCAGGACACAGAGACAGCCGTTGACAGTCGTGCCTCATCCCTTCTGGTCCCATGATTTCTTTGTGCACATTGTTTTCCTTGGTGCTCCCTATGGCCCTTTTTGTCGTCGTCGTCGTTGTCACTAACCAGGCAGCATATCTGCAGGGCGAATCATTGCCCAGGTTTTACCGCCTGTTGCCTGGAGATACCCGGGAACCACTTCCAAAAGGAGCCGCCACAGTGGCCGGCGTCCGCAGCCGAGCCCCAGCTGCACTCTTCGGTCACAGGTCGTCCCTCTGACGAACGTAACGCAGAGAAGGAACTACGGGGACAGACAGAAACGCCTGCCTCCCGGGAGCCCGCATTCTAGGCGACAGACATGATGAAGCTCACGGTGCCCGGGAGCGAGATGAGGGCGCAGTGATAGACGGCGCGGGGGCGGGGTGGGGGGGTCAGGGAAGGCCTCCCTGAGTGGGTGGCATCGGGCGACGACAGGGAGGTAAAGGAGAGTCCAGGCCGAGGAACCATCTGTACAGAGGCCAGAGGCAGAGGAGCGGGGTGCAGGCCAGGGCGGCTGGGTGAGGTCACAGAGGCTTCCGTCAGTGGGGGCCTTCGTGGCCGCGTCCGCACGGCGCTCAGGGTGCCCACTCGCGTCCACAGCCGATGGAGCGCAGGGCTCTGCCCTCAGCCCACGCTGTTTTCTGGGTGCCTCCCAGCCCCTCCCCTCCCGTTTCAAGGGCTCCTCTCTCTTCCCCGCCCCACACGCCCTCGTTTCCCTTCTCACCCACTTTTAATCTCCTATCTAATCTCCAGGAGTGGAAAAACTGGCTCTGGGTGCACGCGGTGTGCTCCCGTTCCAGGCCAGCTGCTTCTGCAATCTTAGGCCCAGGAATCTCTGTTCCTGCCTTTGTGCGGATCAGCAGAGGGAATGTGGTCCCGACCAGGCACCAGCAGAGGGGAGGAGGCAGGCAAGTGCGCAGCAGCCAGAGCCAGGGTGCTCCCTCAGCATCCCGCGATGCCCCAGGGGAGCCCTGCGGCCCCGGCTCTGTGCCGGCACCTCCCAGGGTTCCTAGCTCACTCCTCACCCACCCCTCCAAGAGGCACCCTCAGGTGACACAGCTCAGGTGCAGAGGGTGGAGTCCCTTCCCCAAGGTCGCTCAGCAAATAATCAGAAGAGACAAGAGTTGAACCAGGTCTGTGTGACTCCAGAGGCTGGGGCTTTCCACTTCCGTGGGTCCTCCCGGGTGCATGCAGACGTCCTCGAGGATCTGCAGAGGCCGGCCCCCCCCCCAGGAAATACACACACACACACACACACACACACACGAAAGAAAATACAGACAGACACACAGACACATGCACACACCCCACACACAGAGACACACATATACACATAACACACAGGAACCCATGCACATGCATGTACACACGACACAGAGACACATTACCAGTGACTTCAGGGCTGTGCGGTCTCCAGGTAAGCATACCTGTGTCATCCATGGACTGTCTCTGGAGGGCAACCTGGGGGCTGGGCCCCACTTGCCACACTGCACTGGTGCCCAGGGCACATCTGGTTACAGCCAGCCACACTTCCGCACCCAGCGGCCCAGCTGGGCTCGCCCCTCGTGGAGACGTAGGCCTCTCCACCGACATCTCCCGTATGCAGTTACACTGCGTAGAGTCATGTCCCGCCAGAATTCACATTCACCCAGAGCCTTGGGATGTAAGCTGATTTGGAAATTGGGTCCTTCCAGGTGTCCTTACTTAAGACATGACAGGGAAGAGGGCCGTGTGAAGATGGCAGCAGAACTGGAGTAACACAATTGCAAGCGGAGGAATGTGGAGGTGGCCCGTGGCCACCAGCCAGGACCCTTCCCTGGAGCCTCTGGAGGGAGCGGGGCCCTGGTCATGCTGGCCTCCAGCCGCCCGCCCCGCGCGAGCCTGCGGCCCTGTAGCTGTGAGCCCCCGCGCCCAGGAGCTGACACACAGCGCTCTCAGGCGGAGGGCGTCTGGGGCTCAGAGGAAGCCCTCTGTTCTCCCCGCCCCTCCTCGTCTGTGGTCACCAGCACATCGGCCACTGACACTGCACTTCCCGGCTGCTGAAGGACAGGCTGTGCTGAGGTTGTAGGAGCCCTGGATGGTCGCCTTCCAGGTCCCCGACCTCCTGTCACCCATGTAAAAGCCCTCATTGTTGGCAGTGTCTCCCGCAGGGCAGCACCCAGGGGTCCTCCTCGGGCTGCTAGCCTCTAGTGTGGGCCTGGCGGGGGGCGGGCCGAGTGGGTGGAACCGGTTCCCGGGGGCCTCGTCCAGGGACGGGAGGCAAGGCCGCAGAGGGTGGGCAGTGGGGGTGCGGCTTGAGGCTGAGGAGGTTTTCTGGGGACCCAGAAGCCCTGAGCCCATTGGCCAGGCTTCCCGGGAGACCGGGAGCAGATTTGCATCAAAAAGAACAGAGGCTTCATTGAAATTCTCCCCCTTGTGAGAGGAAGAAAACCGCCAAGGAAAGGGAAGTTTTCATTCAGAGCGACTGCACCGCTGAGGAGCGTTGTGAGCTTCCAAAGAGAGAGAGGAAGCGGCCTCCTCGGGCCACTCCAGGGGCCGCGCCCCCGCCCCTGCTGCCCGCGCGAGGCCGGCCTCGCGCGCTGCGAGCCTGAACCCTCTCCGGCAGGTTCCTGCAGCGGACGGACGCCGCGCGGCTCGAGCTGCGGGCAGCGGCCCCCCGAGGACCCCAGCATGCCGGACCGCAGAGCGGCCCTGCAGGACGGCCAGCCGGACACACGCTTGGGGACCACGCAGGAACACTTGGGGACCGGGTGAGTCGGCGGTCAGGTCTCCGTCCACTGAGTGCGCCGCGGCCTGGGCTCTGCTGCGTGACCCTGGGCAAGCCGCTTTGCTCCCTGAGCCTCCGCTTCTCTGTCTGGGCGTGAAGGGAGGCTCTGGACGGACGACGTGCTGGACTGAGACATGGGTTGTGTGCAGCTGCCACTCCCTGTCCCCCGCTCTGTGTGGCCAAGGGGGGCTTGAACACGACACACATGCAAGGCTAAGGGCGCGGCTTCGGCTCGATGGAGGGAGAACCTTCCGGTCACTAAGAACATCCCCATCTTGTCAGGCGCGTGGAGCCTATGTCAGACGAGGACTGGGAGGGCCAAAGGGCCTGGCTCCAGCTTGCTGTGTGATGCTTGCCGGTCACTGCCCGTCTCTGGCTCCTGCCTCGCGGTCTGCCTGAGTGCAGGGGGTCAAGGCTCCCCACAGCCTTTCTGCTGTGTGCGTCCTGCTAATCTGCAGTCCCCAGGGAGGGGCCCGGGCCCTGTCTGTCCAAGCTGTGGGGGACCCTGAGAAGGTGGGGCCCAGTCTCAGCCCTGGAACTCCCCAACCAGGAGCAGGGAGAAGGCAGACACGTGGAACCCCAAGAGCCCAGGAAGGGCACTTGACACAGGCCTTGGATGGTCAAGGGCGTTGTCAGCAGGAGAGGAGAGAGAGGGCGTGCGGCCAGGGAGAGCAGGCGAGAGGGGAGCGTAGGAGGACAGGAAATTCAGGGATGGGAGAGGTCTGGGTGGCCGAGTGCAGGATGGGGGAAGGGCAGGGTCTGAGCCCTCTGCAGACAGGGGCGGGTTGGGATGGAGGGCAGAGGAAGGACGGAGCCAAAGGGAGTCCATAGGCATGTGCCTCAGACACAGAGGCCCCCCGAGTGGGGCAGAGGGCCCAGAGTGGGCCCCAGCTTCCAGAAGCAGGGGCTCCTCCCCTGCAAGGCCCCCAGGAGCATGAGGTCCGCACCGTCCCTGCACAGGGAGGCTGCGGCGGTCGACCGTGCCGTCTGTCAGGGCTACCCATGCGCTGTGTCCGGTAGAGAAGGACCCGTGCCTGTGGGCCTGAAGAAGGGCTCCAAAGGGCCTAGAGGAAGGGGCAGCTCCTGCTGGGCGGGGAAGGTGCGAGTGCCTGGGGGCGGGCGGGCGGGCGGGCAGGGGCGCCGCGTCGGCTGAGGGTGTGCTCACGACGGGCAGGCTCCGGCCGGGTGAACTCCCAGGTCTGGCTAGGCTGGCATGGCCAGATGAGGGCAGCCATGCGTGAGGACATCCAGGGCCACCCGAGGAGCAGAGAGGAGCCGCGGGGTGCGAGGCGGCAGCAGGAGCCTGGACAGCCTGGCTGGGGGCGGTGAATCTGGCAGCGGCGTTCACTTGGGGTGGGTTGGAGGCAGGAGGCCAGGAGATGGGAACTCGCGGGGTCAAGCCTGGCCCGGGGGAGGGTGGTGAGCTCCGAGCGCCGCACCCAGCTCCCTGCAGCCTCCCCGCCCCGCACGGCCCGCACAAAGGCTGCACGCCAGAGGAGCCCCCTCCGAGCCAGAACGCATTTCTCAGAGCGTGTCCCGTCAGCGGAGACGGACACGGGTAGCTGCCCCCGGCATCCTTGGCCATCGCGGAGAGGGCAGTTCCCACCGAGATGGGGCCCCCCGCACACCTGGGCCGTCCGGTGCAGCCTGCTGCTCCCTGGCCGCCAGCCCGAGCCGCGCGTTGCTGTCCATAACAACAGGAGATCGGGTCAGGCACCGGGGAAGGTGACGCCATCGAGGGAGAGTAACCACGAGGTGGATGAGGCTGCTGCTGGGGTCGCCTGGCACACTGGCTCCCAGCGACAGGGTTGTACATGCAGAAAGAGCACACGCTAAAACACGATGGAAACAACAGTGCAGGAAGCACATAAGCCAGTAATATAGTCGTTTATTATCGGAGGCAATAATCACGCACTGGACGCGGCTGTACCTGCTGTACTTTTGTGCATCTGGCCCGCAGTCGGTTTGTTTGCACCTCCCCCATCCCGCACGTGTGAGCAGTGCGTTGTGCTACCTGCTAGAAAGGCTGCAGCGTCGCTAGGTGACAAGAACTTTTCAGCTCTGTTATAATCTTATGGGACGCTTGTCATACTGAGGTCTGTCCACTGAAACGTCGTGGCTTCATCGCGACTCATCACGTGCACTCACTTATGCACGAAACTTTCGAAACACAGTTGAAGGGCACGTAGACGCTAGGGCCTGCCGATGCGCGAAGGACAGCAGAGCTGCCGCGGGCTCAGGGACCGCGCTCCCGCTGCCACTCGCTCTGGAGCCCGGGACCATGGGGTGCAGCCTGGAGGTTAGGACCGTACACTCTGATGCCTGCTTGCCCGAGCTGCATAATCTCTCTGCACCTCCGTGTCCTGGTCTGTGAAGTGGGGGCCGTGGCAGCAACTGCGTTGTCGGGCTGTAGCGAGGATGGGACGTGTCAGGGGTGGACAGCGCCGCCGGGCGCACAGCGAGTGCTGGGTGCGTCGCCGCTCCGAGCTGTCACCGCTGTGGTTTCTGCCGTGTCGTCGTTTCCTCTTGCCCCCCAGGCCTGGCGGCCCGAGAGCGCCGCGCCTTGAGGCCTTGCCCTGCCCAGTGCAGTGGGAGGCCAGCCAGGCACCCATCCAGCCCCGGGGGGAATCGGAAGGCCCTTTGTGACACAGCTGAGGAAGCTGAGGCCCAGACGGGAGCAGGTCACGCAGCTGCGGCGGAGCCGGGGCTCGAGCCCGGGTGCCTCGGTGCCCGAGCAGCTTCTCTCGGGCACGGTCACGCTGCCCGCCGCCTCCTTCCGGGCCTTCGGGCCGACCTGACGACCGGCACGCGGGCTGTGTGGCGAGGCTCTGTGGGGCTGGACGCTCCGGGCGCTGCAGCTGGGTCAGCAGTGAGTGGGCTGGTCAGGCTGCCCCACCCCCACGGCAGGAGCCAAGAGGAGGCCTTCGGGGCCGAGGCCTGGGGCCGGGGCCTTGGACTGGGGGCTCAGGGGCGGCCAGGGCCCTCTCCGGGAGGCTATGTCTCAGGCCACCCCGCTCCATTCTAGGAGACAGTGGGTCCCCAGGAGCTCTCTGCCTTGGCAAGCCCCCCATGAGCCGGTCTCTCACCCAGGCCTTGGGTCCGTGGCCCCCGGCGCAGCCTTCCCCAGTGACTGCGGCCTGGGACGCTTGCTCGCACTCTCACACCGAGTAATCACATCTCCCCTTAATTTGCTGCTTCCCCTGCCCCAGCCTGAGTCTGCTGGCTCCACAGTGACCTTGAACGCATCTCCATCATCCGAGCCTTCGAGGCAGGGCCAGGCTCCCTGTGCTCGCCTCTGTCCCTGCGGTGTGTGCGCGGAGCCCATGCCGCGCCGGCCGAGGGGGAGGCAGAGGTCGCTTCCAATGCTGGGAAGGTGGACTGAAGGTTTTCATTGCAGAGTTGACAATTATATTTTTAAAAAGCAACCCCTAGTGTCTGCACATCAAGTGCTCTGGGAGGGGCGTGGCCAGGTGGCTGCAGGAAGAAGCATAGGGGCCTCCTGCGGGAGGAGGGTCTCCCGGCAGGTTCTCCGAGGGGCCCGTAACCCACGGCAGGCTCAGGCCAGCACCCCAGATCCCAGTTGTCAGGGCGCCCTGAGGTGGCGTGGGCCAGGGTTACTGGGAGAAGAGGTCTTTAAGGATCTGGGTTCTGGCAAAGGGCAGAATTTTCTGGAAGACGGTGCACTGGCGTTGACCTTAGTGTAGCGATCTGGGGGCCGTCTGCCACCTGCCTGAGTGGCGGGCCTTGGGACAGCTGCGTCCCCATCGCTGCCGCTGGGCCCTGCGCCTTGGCCTTCAAACGAAGGCTTAAAATTCCCGGCTAAGGCCTCGTGGGGCTGCTGCCGCTCTTTCACCTCTGCCAACCCCACTCACGCCGGAGGCGGTGTGGGGCTCTGCGGTCGGGGTGGGGGTCTCCAGGGTGGCTGGGGGAAGGGCTCCGGGACACAGGGCCCGGTTATAGAAGACACAGGTTTGATGCCGCAACCCTCTGCATCTCTGCCGTGAGGGAGGGAGAGGAGGGGGCACTAGGGGCAAGGGGCAGGGTGCAGCGACGCCTGTGCCCATGGAGCGGGGGCTCGCGGAGCGCGGAGGCGACGGTGGGCTGGGTTGTGTGGTGCCAGCGGTGGGTAGGTCGATGGTAAGCGGAGTCGCGGTCTCGCACGGCAGATTCTGCCTCTGGCTGGGTCTCTGTCACCTCCTCTGGAAAATGGGGCTTTTCCTAGAGCCTCATTCAAGAGCTGTTGAGAGGATGCAAGGCACCAGGCAGGTGCAGCACTTGGCACAGCTCACACATTTGTTCAGTGAGGAACAGCAGGGAAAAGGTGAGCTCCCTGCCTGGCGGCTCCAGGTGCGGGCTCAGGTGTGGCGACTGTGTTCCTGCGGCTCTGCCCAGGACGACAGCCAGCGACCTGCCTCTCCCATCTGCACCAGCAGGTCCCTCTTAGGTAAGTTGCACAAGTGGGCAGTGGGGCCGTGCCAGGTAGGTCAGAGGTATCTGGGGCCACACCTCACAGCAGCCCTGGGCGTGTGGGGTGGGTCCCCATTCACACCCAGCCCACTGTCTCATTACCTGGAACCCCAGGCGCCGGCTGTGCAGCTCCCACACACACGGCGCCGGAGCTGAGCGAGCACAGGTGATGCGCCCTGGCCCGCCGGCCCCACGGAGGAGACAGGTGCGCCCCGCGGCAGCCAGAGCCTCCTGGCAGGCCCTCATGAGTCCCCTGCGGGGTCTTCCGGCCGGTGGGGCGGGTCTCGGAGGTGGCACGGGCACGCAGACAGAGAAGCGAGGGGCGTGGGGCCGCAGGCAGGGCCCGGAGAGGCAGCGTGGGAGCAGCACCCCAGCTCGGTGGCGGCTGCCGAGAGCCGCGGCCGGTGTGTGCGGAGGGACTTGGAGGGCGTGCGGGCCACAGCCTCCGTGGGGAGCATCCGCCGCTGTGCTGGGAGACGAGCCTCCCTGCTTTGGCCCCCAGACAGAGAGGCAGGACCTGGAAGCAGTGACAAGAGGGCAGGCGGCGGTGGTCAGGAGCCCCGGCAGGCGGTGCGCCCTGGGGACAGAGCCGGGAGCCCGAGACGGCCTCCTCGTGGGGACTGTGTGGGCTTGGGAGGGAGCGAAGGACAGGGGCCCAGCCCGGTGAGTCACAGGCAGAAAGGAGGGTGACAGCCCTCACCAGCCGGGCGTGACTCATGCTGTGTCTCTGTTGCAGGGCACTGCGGTGGCACTGGGCCTCTCTGGGGCAGATGCCGCTCCCCTGGGGGACACCAGGACACACGCTCTGAGGTTTTCTCCCAGGCGAACTTGCGGGGTGCGGCCCCCGCTCGGGGACCATGCCGGAGGTGCTCCTGCTCAGGGCTGCCAGCTCCGCCCTGAGGACCGTGTAAGGAACAAGGGCCCCCCCGGCCCCCTGCTGCCGCTCAGGGCGTATTCCCGGGCCTGGCGCGGCAGCTGAGCCCGCAGACGGGGTCTGTAGGGTTGCAGCCCACTCAGTCACCATCCTACTCTCACCCAAGAGCCTTCGGCCTCTTCTTCCCCAGAAGATCCGTGCGAGTCCACCAGTTACAGTGACGAGAGCCGACCGTCTCCCGGGCGTTTTTCGTGTATCACGTTACGCTCCGCGTAGTTGTAGGTTTAGGAAGAAACGGGAGCCTATAGGCGAGAGGCACCGTGGCTTGTCCACAGGCCCCCAGCTCGTAAAGCCTGTCGAGCCCGGGCAGGCCGACGGGTGAGCCTCAACGCTGTGTTGTTTTAAGAAAGCATTTATGGAACACCCGCTGCGTACAGAGCAGTGGCCTGGCCACTGAGGGCTGAATGGGAAGAAAGGGCAAGCGAGGTAAACGGGAGACAGATCCTCATCCAGGAGGGGTTCGCATGGGAAAGGGGTGCTCCCCTCCGAGTACGTGTCTCACACACAGAACTTGAGAGGGACCAGGTCCAGCCAGCATTGGTTGAGCTCCATGGCGCACCTCGGCGGCACTCGGGGCCGGCGGACGGAGTCGGGTCAGGCTTGGCCCTGCGCTCAGGGAGCTTCCCCAGCCGCAGGGGCCCCGCGCAGGCCACAGCCGAGCGTGCGAGGGCAGTAGGGATGACCCGGGAGGGCTTGCGGACAGAGGGGCTGGACGGCGCTCGGCAGGCTCTGTCTTCCGCGGTTCCCGTCAGCTCCTCCGCCGAGAGCTGCGGGCAGGAGCGGCCCCGGCCAGAGACGGCTGCGGGGGCCGCAGAGCAGGCTGTCCCAGGCTCCTGCGCCTCCCCCGCACCCCCGTCCTCACTCAGCCGCGCCCGTGGGCCGTTGCCGTGCTCCCTGCGCCGCTGGGCAGGCACTACAGAAGTGCCGTGCCTGTGAACGGAGGGTCAGGCACGGGGCCTCCGGCGAGTGTGAGCTGCGGTGAGTGCAGACCTGTCCTCGGCAAGCGGATCCTTTCGGGCGTCCTTCGTCCTCTGAGTGGGAGAGCAGACGTGGGCACGGTGGCCTCCTTGGCCGCCCCCCCAGCCCCCCGCCCCCGCCTCCACGCTGTCATCCTGTGGCCCGGGGCACCCCGCCCGGGATGGCAGCCAGCCCCGTAGCCCTGCACGCAGGAGGGGCCTGCCTGTCCGGAGTGGCAGGCGCCCTGTGCTCATCACGGGACGCGCTCGGGATGGCAGGGGCAGCAGACACACCTCCCCAGGCAGGGTAGCGTCCCTGCCACTGTGCCTTCCAGGACGGCGGCAACAACTGGAAAGGGCCCAGGTGCTCTTGGGGAGTCAGACCAGTAGAGACTGCTCCCCAAACCTCACGCGCTCGCTTCCCTTGGAGGAGAACGTCGTGAGTTCTGCTGTAGAGGCCACGTGCTCTGCGTTGACCGACAGTCCCGCAGGCCGGGCCGTCCAGCGCGGTCTCTCGCTTCCTGTCGCTGCAAAGCCGGAGACGCTTGGTTGCAGGAGGCCGGCCCGCTGGACGCCAGCAGTGTGAGAGCGGCTTTACACACCGGGGGCCTCCAGAGGGGGCACGTGGGGTTCCGAGCCAGGGCAGTGTGCCAGGTGGAACCTCCATCTGAAAGGTTCCCGCAGGGGGAGCCCGCCCTTCACCCGCCGGGGGAATTAGGTGTGGCCTTCTCCTGATCTGGCACAGGCAGAGGGGTCGGACAGGACCCCCCCATGGGCCGTCCGCAAGGGTAAGTGAGGTAGGTGTTCCTGCCACGCGGAGCACAGGCAGGTGGCCGGGGTCCACGCTGTCGTTGGGGGAGGGGAAGGACGGGCAGGGGAGTGCCTGAGCCACAGGAAGAGGGGGCCAGACGCCCCGGGAACGTCCCACAGAGAGAAGGTGCCTCCAGCAGCCCCTCCCCCCCAGGAGCGGAGGGTTCGCATGATGACCAGGACGCTTGGCCTCGGCTTCCTTGGGTGGCAGTCTTTTCGTTTGGTCTTTGTTCAGCTACTTTGAAACTAGAACCAATTTACAGAGGCTTTATTGGGTGAAGAAGTGCTGGCCGTCCCTTTTGATGGTGAAGCTTTACAAACAGGCTTGTCTGTGAGGAAGCAGGGAAGGAGACGGGTGATTCCCGCCAGGGACAGCCTCCGCTAATTTGGGGGTGGCGCCCTGCTGTCGGTGTCAAAGGCCGGTCGGCTCTCCGCCCTCGGTTGCCCTGTGGCCAGCGCTGCCTCCGAGGACGGGCAGAGACGAGCCCAGACGTTACAGCAGACGCGACTCGCAGCGGGGACCCCAGCCAGCCGGGCCCGTGTCTCCTCGTTCTCTGTGGTCGTCTGAGCCCAGAGCTCAGGGGGTTCTTGGTAACGTTATAGTCTTTGCCCCAAAGTGGAGGTGGCTTCTACTTTACAACAAGGACAGAAACAGCAGTACCACTTGGTCCAGAGTCAGCAGGACAAGTCCCACGGCCTTCAGACCTTCCGTTTCCCCTGCCCGGCACAGCAGGCCTCACCCCAGAAGCACGCTTTGTCACCTTTCTGTCCTTCCAGCAGCATCCCCTCAGCCGGTCACCATGGCAACAGAAGGGCGGCTCCAGGCCTGAGGCCGGACCTTGCTCACCAAGTTCCCAAGAAGGGACGGCTTGGGCCCCACTCAGCCCCTTGCTCTCCATCCCTCTCCCTCCATAACCTCCTAATATCTTTTGCTTTAAAACCTATCTCAGGTTCTTAAACAGACTGCCACCAGGTGGGCCCAGGTGTATTTGCAAATTTAGTTTGAACCTATGGTACCTGCAAGAAGTGAGGCCGAATCTCAGAAGCAGGTAACTGGCCCAGCCGCCTGGGAACTGGGCCCCCACCCCCGACAGACAGGTGCCCCCGAGCCCGGTCTGCCCTTAGGGCGGCCGTGACCATACCGCCCCGGGGGGCCGCGCATGCAGAGCTGGCGGCTGGGAGGGGGCCCAGCGTGTGTGATGCGTCCTCACTCCGTCCTGCGGGGCTTGCCGAGCTCTGCCTGCTCATCCACCCGAGCTGGGCTCTGCCCGGGGCGGTGCCGCGGGGCAGGGGGCGGAGTTGACAGGGGAGGCCCAGTAACTACCTGGGCTGAGCTGGTTGGAAGGGGCGTCCAGGGCCACCAAGCCTGGGAGGCAAGGGGTGTCTGGGCCAGCTGTGAGGGCCTCCTGGGGCCCATGCTGTTCTCTCGAGTTGGTGACTAGACAGAGGGCCCGCCCACAGGCACCGTTGAGGCGGAGGCTCCCTCCTGGGCCTGCTCCAGACCCGCGGGAGCCTAGGAACGTGCTCACTCCACTCTGAGTGTCTGGACGTGGCTGTTCTCAGCGCCCGTGGGGAGCGAGGGGTCGGGACGCCTCCCGGGGCTGAGAGCCTGCGCTCCCCCGGGGTGGTGCCCAGGGTCCTCCAAGACCCGACCAGGAGTTCCTTCCCAGACAGGGACGCCGAGCCCAGAGAGAACCACGCACTTGCCCAGAGTCACCCAGCAGAGTCGAGCAGAGCCGGGCTTCGTTTTTTTCTGCAGAGCCCCTAGAACCTGCGGGGAGGGGGTGTGGGGGAGTGGGCTCAGCCCCTGCAACTACCTGCGTCTGGTCGCCGACCCCTGCGGGGAGGCCCGGAGACCAGGGCCGGGAGGCAGGTCTGCCGTCGTCTAAGGGATGTTTCCTCCCCGCCAGCTCCCTGCCTGATGGACACACGCTCTCCAAGGAGTCCCTAAACCATGCTCTGGACTTCTCGTCCCCCGAGAAAGCAAAGGATGCTCTGCCGAACTTCCCAGGTGAGCCCGCTGGGAGCCTGGGCCGGGCGAGGTGGCGCCTAATGGAGTGCAGAACGGGGGGGGGGGGGGGGGGGGCGGTGCCGCTGAGGACAGACTGAGGGTCCAGGCAGAAGCAAGGAGGGCGGGGGCCCCAGCACAGCACTTGGGGGGCGGGGCAGGTGGAATTGCCACCGTCCCCGGGGCCCAGCGTGGCACAGGGGAGGGGGGAATGATTTCTCCTTGTGGAAGCTCGGGACGTGGGCGGGCAGGGACGGGGCTGCTGGGGCCTCGTCGGAGCCGGGACCTCAGCTGGGGTGGCGCCGCTGAGGACGGGAGGCGCCGCGGAGCAGCGAGGCCGTGGCGCTGCCCCCAGAGCACAGGGCGAGGGGCTGCCGGCGGCTTTGCTTCGGAGGCCGACCCAGTCACGGGCTCCGTTCGTGACCTTGCCCGTCAGGTAACCGCACCGTGTTGGTTGTTGTTGGCTGTCCAGCAGCACAGGGGTGCAGCGGCAGCCCACAGCAGTGGACACGGTGCCCGCAGAGGGTCGCTGCCTCCGTGCCCCCTGCTGCCTTTGGGACGGGCGTCGTGGCCGCCCGGTTGCCTGCCCGTGTCGCCGGTTGGGGATGAAGGGCTTCCCCCAGGGGCTGGTGTTCCTGACCGGGAGCCCTCCCAGCTGCACACCACTCAGGGCAGCGGGGCAGTGGCGGGCGGGCGGGAGCTGGCTGTCGGTGGCACGGTTTGAGCTGGTCATGTGCCTCGTAGACTGCCCTGCGTGCCGGGCCTCCCTCATGGTTAGCCGGGCTTAGGTTTGGGGGCGCAGGTGGAGGCACTTGCGGCGGGGCCTGCCAGGAGCCCCGCGCCAGGCGTCTCCGAACGGGGCCGTGACGAAGCCAGAATGGGGCACCAGAGGGGCCCAGCATGCCCTTGGCAGGGAGCCGGCCTGGGGAGTGCTCTTCCCAGGCGTGGACGCTGCCTGTCGTGCCCGTCCCTGGAGATAAAGAAGGAGCTGGGACGAGGAGAGGACAGGCTGGTATCTGCAGGGAGGGGCCTCCTGTGTCCTCCGGCCCTGGCCAGGGCACTGCATGGCAGCCCAGGTCGCTGCGGCAGGTCCATTGACAGCCGGGGCCCTGGCCGTGGTGGACGAACTCGAGGGGAAGGAAGGGAGCCCGTGTGGGGAGAGCTCAGTGTCCTCTGGAGCCCTGGAAAAGCACGAGTGTCCCCAGGGAGGGACAAGCCGTCCTGGCCCGGTGGCCTCCGTAGCTCGGAAGGCTGACACCTGGCGTTCGGCAGCGGTGGGCGCTGGGAGCAGCAGGTCTCGTCGGAGGGGCAGGCGAAGGCCATCCCGTTCACGGGGACCCGGGAAGCTGATGGGGAGAGCCCGCTGGGCGGCGCCTGTCCCTCTATCCTGTGGTCAGAGCCAGGCTGCTGGGGTCCCGCAGTGGACGGGCTTCTTGTCTGCCCTCCGGGGACTCGCGGTCTGAGGGCGGACGGGCCCTGGGTGCGGGGCACCTGCAGGCGGAGGGCGGAAGGCCTGCCGCTGGGGACCTGCGTGACCGGGGTGGGCTTCCCAGAGCAGGAGGACCCCGCCTCTGCGCTGGGGCTGGGCCCCGCGGTCCGCCCCCGGGAGTTCAAGGCTCAGGGCTGGTGATCGGGAGGAAGAGACAGTCCAAGGGGCTGAGGGGGCTTCTCAGCACGATCGCTGTCAGCAGGCGCCCAGCACAGATGCCCCAAGAGACCCCAGGCAAGACCCAGACGGGGCCGTGCAGCCTCCGGCCTGTCGGGGGTGCGGCTGCGGCAAGACCCGGAGTCAGCCTGGCGAGTGCCTGCCTGGGGCTGGGCTCCCTGGCGCCCCAGCCGCTCCAGCGGCCCCTCCGGGCTCTGCGGGGGGTGGGGGGTGCCGGAACTGGAGCAGCCGCCCCTGGGGGGCTCTCGAAGCTGCCCTTCCGCAGAGCACGCTGCACGGCAGTGGTCAAAGGCAGCTCTCTCCGCAGCAGAGGCTGGGAGGACATCCGGGGACTGCAAACAGGGCTGGATCCCTCTCCCCCCGTAGCGGGCGCCCTCACCAGGAGAGCGTGGACCGCGTGCCAGGCTCTGAGGGGCTGACTTGCATTCATTCCTTTTATCTTCACAGCAGCACGGGGTGGGCACTTGGTTGCTGTCATCTGATCGGGGACACCGAGGGGGTCAGGGGTTCGCTCAGAGGCCCGCAGCCCCTGAGGTGGATCTCGTAATGGGCCACGCTGCGTCTGGGGGTCCAGAGGACGTGGCCCCGCAGGCCCCCGTCCTGACCGCCGAGAGGGCAGCCTCTCTGGGAGCTCTTGGAGCCTCACCTTCAGGAACCCAAATTCACCTTGGCCTCCCCGAGTTCACAAGACGCTGGAAGGGTCCCTGAGTCCCGGCCCCCAGAGGCATTCCCAGGGGGCAGCCCCCCCCGAGTCAGGCCCTAGAGCTGCCAGAACCTGACCTCCACACAAAGGCAGCCTTGTGCTGGCCCTGGAGACACATTGCTTTCTAGACCTTTCCAGGCCGAGCGTGAACCCCGCCGGAACGGGCGGGGAAGGATCTGGCAGAGCAGCTGCTGGGGCCGGGCCAGAGGGAGCGTGGCGGGGGCCTGTCCCCTCCCCCACTTTTCCAGCCAGTTCCCACACCCACTGGGAGTTCAGGCCAGCTTGGTCTCCAGCCCAGTGAGGCGGAGGGGTGCACAGGGCCAGCCTTTGTGCCTCGCCTCTGCCCTTTCCCTGGCGTAACAGGCAGTCGATAAGGCACAGGCCAGGGTCAGGCCAAGAGCGGAGGCAGCGAGGGGGTGAGAGCAGAGGGGAGGACGGGCATGCTGGGCCTCGGGAAGGCCCCCGCCCCACTTCCCTTCCTGCGTCTCCCAGGCCCAGGCGGGGGCGCCTGAGCAGGGGGCTGTCCTGGGCTCAGGCGCGCAGGACATGAGCAGGGCCAGGGCACCGGGCGGAGGCGCCGGCCCGGGACCCTGGACACACGGCCACTCGGTCCAGCCCGCTGGGATTGGGCTGGGGCAGAGGCTCCCTTGTCTCCCCCGAGGGTGCGCTGACCCCGGTGCTGGGCCGGGCTCCGTGCGCAGGGCCGGGGAGCCGTCCGCCCGCCTTCGGGGGCCACCGGCCTGGGGCGGTTGGTGGGACAGAGGAAGTTACGCGGAGGAACTCTGGCCAACGTGCCCATCAAAGCGGTAGATGGTTTTTCCTTTTGACCCAGGAAGCCCCCCTGCAGACACCTGCCCTTTCGGGAAGCCTGGGGCCGGGGCTGAGTGTCGGCGGGGCGGTGGCTGGGGAGAGTGCGGGTGCCCCGGCTCCGCCACGGTGAGCGAGAGAGTCGTCACCGGGTCAGAGGTGGCCGACGGGCTGGTGGCTGTTAGGTTTGCCCTAAGTGTGAGCCAGCATTTAAAACTCAGGTGATTACACATAGACGCCTACACTGCAGGTAACTCTTGTTTCCTTTCCAACCGGCGCCACGGCCCAGCCCGACGGCCACCCCCTGGGACGTTCTTGCGATACCCTGCTGCCTCCCCACGGGCCGGGGGCGGGGGGCGGCCACCGCTGCTCTGTGTGGGCGCCGTCCTCGGCAGGGCCGGCACCGGGCCTACCCGTCCTCGGCGACGGGGACCTGAGAGCGAGCCCGAGGCCTGTGCCACTGGGTCGCGCCTGCCCGTCCCAGTCACCTCCCTCGTTCATTATTGATGACCATACATTATTCACTGCGATGTGGGTACATTACCCACCTGGCCCCCAAGGGCATTTTGGGTTTGCGGCCCTCAGTGAATACAGCAGTAACGTGATCCTTTTCCCCGCTTTGGGTAAAAAATTACAGCAACCAAGTACAGCCTCACTCCTTGACCCTGTGTTCCTGCAGCCCGGCCGTGCCGGGGGGCGGACAGGGGCGGGCGCGCCCAGGAGGCCTCCCCTTTTTATCCCACATGCTTCCACGTGGCTTCGGGTGCTCTAGAACAAGTGCCGTTTTGTGATTTCAAAACAAGGTGGTCCGTGTTAAAGGCAAACACTTTTGGCTGAGAAAGGGTTTAGTAACAGACTGTGGAACTTACCTCTGACCCTGGCGAAGGGCGAAGGCTCCCGCTGTCTCCTTCCAGGCTGTTGGGCCTCCTCCTCCAGGCAGCCTCCCGCGTCCCAGCCCCTGGCCTGCCTGCATGGCTGGGACTGAAGGGTGGGCCCCTCCGCTCAGCGGAGGGGCAGGGGTGGCGGGGGCACCGCGCCAGCACGACCCCAGCTGTGGCCTCCCCACCTGCAGAGGAGGCGCTGTGGACCACTCGGGCCGACGGGCGGGTCCGCCTGCGCCTCGACCCCGGCTGCCCTCTGCATCCCCCCTACACTGTGCATCGGATGTTCTGCCAGTCCCTGGAGAAGTACAGTCACCTCCGTGCCCTGGGCTTCAAGCGCCAGGGTGCGTGGGAGCACATCACCTACTCCCAGTACTACCTGCTGGCCCGCAAGGCTGCCAAAGGCTTCCTGAAGGTGAGCGGCCCTGGAGGCCCGCCAGGGGGCACTGGGCCCCCACAGGCCTCCCCCCGCGCCCCCGCCCCCGCCCCCACCCCCACAGAGGGTTTCCCATTTCCCGCGCCCTCAGCAGGTGCCAGGCACTTGTTAGAAGCTTTGCGTTTGTGATCCCCTTCACATCTTGGTGGGCTGGGAAGCCGGGTGCCGGCCCTGGGAGGGAGGGCAAGGGCTGCGGGGTGACGGACCCCCGGGCCTCCTCCTCCAACTGGAGGGGCTCCGAGGTCTGGCGGGGGGGCTTGATGGGAACAGGAGGCCCAATTCCCCGTCGGCTGACCCGGCCCGTCTCCCCGGCTATAGCTCGGCCTGGAGCCGGCGCACAGTGTGGCCATCCTTGGCTTCAACTCCCCGGAGTGGTTCTTCTCGGCAGTGGGCACAGTGTTCGCAGGGTGAGCGCCGGGGTCCGGGCAGAGTCCCGGGGGCGGAGGTGGCAGGGGTTACAGAGAGGCCGCCCCTCCTCCGCATCCCATCGCTGCTCCCCTGAGACGCCCTGCGGCGCTGCTGGCGGAGCCCTGCCCGCTGGGGGCGGGGAAGGGCAGGGGGCTGTCCGAGCCGGGCCGAGCGGCGGGGTGGCCATCTGCAGCTGTCTGACCCCAGGCCTCGGTCCCCGTAGAGGCATTGTCACCGGCGTCTACACGACCAGCTCCCCCGAGGCCTGCCAGTACATCGCCCACGACTGCCGCGCCAACATCATCCTGGTCGACACGCGGAAGCAGCTGGATAAGATCCTGAAGGTCTGAGGGAAGGGGGTGGAGGGCGCGGGGGTTAAGGCCGGGTGTCCTAGGGGGCCTTCAGCTCGCAAAGGGCTTCCCCTCATAGATGGAGGTCGAATCCACACGCCCCCTCCGGCCCCATTTGCAACTGAAGAAAACAGGCACGCAATTAGGAAATGTCCACTCTAGGTAATTCCCCAAATTAAATCTGTTACGACAGTTTCCAAACACAACAAGAAGTGTACAGTGGACCCCACATGTCGATCGTCCAGAGTTAGTAATCCTCAGAGAGATTTATCACCGATTCTTTCTCCTTTTGTGCTAAAACATTCTAAGGCAATTTCCGCATTGTCGTTTCCATCCCGGAAAACTTCCGTGTGCATCTCTTTAAAAAAAAGGAAGATTCTTTTCATAAATAACCACAGTGGCCTTGTCGCATCCAACACGAGTGAGACAGCTCTCTCACGCCCAGTCTGTGCTCTGTCTCTGCACGGCTGGTTCGGGTCGGCTGAGTCCGGATCTAGGCCGCGCCACAAATGCCGCGTGCGGCAGAGTCTCAGTGCCGATCAAAGCCACAGGCCCGAGTGGTCCGGACCCGGGAGCTGGCTAGAAACGCAGCCCGCGGGCCCCACCCGAGACCCACGGCCTCAGAAACCCGGTGCGGGCCGAGCGGGCCACGCCCAGCACCCCCCAGAGAGCTGGCACCGGCTCGCGGGCGGGTGAGAGCCCCGGGAAGCCAGGTCTGCAGGCTTGGTCCTCCAACCACTGGCTGCATGCATTTCAGAGTGAACGCTGCGGGGCAAGAGCCCCCTGCAGGGGGCGCTGCTGACTTCATTTTGCACCAGCTTATCAGGCAGGTGCAGTCAGATGGGCCCACCTGCACAGGTGCTGTAGGTGGCCACGTACTCTGCACTGTGACATTCCCATCAGCCTTTCTCCATTCAGTATCTTTACCTGAATTAACTATTTCATGAGCAGTGGCAAATTGTTAGTTTCCTAATCGTCAGCTAGGATTCTTCTCTGAAGGAAGGACTTTCTCTCATCACCTGGGGCTCTTTGCTACCTGAAATGCCCTTTGGTGCAGAGCAGGCGGGTGTGGCCATCAGTGAGCTTGGGTTTTTACCAATTGGAGACCAGACCGCCCACCAGCAGGAAGATCACGCCTCCCTTGGTTGCGGTGGAACCAAGGCTGCGGCGTCGCTGTGACCGTCCTGTGCATCTTTGAAAGAATGTGCATTCTGCCCTTGTGGACCGAAATGTTCTATAAGTGTTAATAATGTCAAGAAGGTTGATAGCATTACGATGTCAAGCCATCCACATCCCGATTGATTCTGTCTACCTCACTTTCCTGGACTCGGGTCCCTGTTATCTCGAGGCAGTGAGATGCCTGAGTTGTTTTCTCTCCCTCCCTTCCTCCCTCCCCCCTCCCCCCTCCGCCTCTGTGTTCTGCCTGCACAGAGTTCTCTGTTGCAGTTTGTGAACCAGGCCCCAGGCTGCTTGTCCTCTTAAGGGGGATTCTTCCCGGCCCCGGCCCCTGCCCGTCCCCCTTGACTGAAGTCCTCATGATGGGAAAACTATCCCTCAAGGCCGGTGTCCTGCTGGCTCAAATGTCAGAGCTGGGGAGCCGAACGACCTTTCCCACAAAGTGTCTGCCAGGCAGACTGACACCGGGAGACAGGGCTCTTCTCAGGAGGTGACTGTTTCCTAATGACACCCCATTTATTTATCCTGTCAACACAGATCTGGAAAGACCTGCCCCACCTGAAGGCGGTGGTGACGTACCGAGAGCCCCCTGCCGAGAAGATGGCCAGCGTGTACACGGTACGGGCGGGGGCCTGGGCGCCCGGCGGGGCCGGGCCGGGCCGCCCCCCTGACCGGACGGCCTGCTCTCCCCCACCGGCCGCAGATGGAGGAGTTCATGGAGCTGGGGGACCAGGTGCCCGAGGAGGACCTGGACGCCGCCATCAACGCCCAGCAGCCCAACCAGTGCTGTGTGCTCGTCTACACGTCTGGCACCACCGGCAGCCCCAAGGGCGTGATGCTGAGTCAGGACAACGTAGGACCGGCGCCCATCGTGGGGGGACTGGGCTGCCCCGGGTCCGGGTGGTGGCCCGCAGCTCGGGGAGGGGGTGCACACGGGGTGCCCTTCGGTCTGTGTTCCAGACGGAACCCAGCACAGGGAGGGAACCTGTCCCGGGGGCCGGGGGGGTTCTTGCAGAGATGCCCAGGGCACACCCCAGATGTGCCCCCGAGACGTAGCCCCAGCCCCCGGGCACCCGCAGCTGTGAGCGCGTCCGGGGCTGGCAGACACGGCCAGGCCCACCCGCGCTTTCTCTAGATCACGTGGACGGCACGGCACTGCAGCCAGGCGGGCGGGATCCAGCCGTCAGATGTCCAGCAGGAGGTGGTGGTCAGCTACCTGCCCCTCAGCCACATCGCCGGCCAGATCTACGACCTGTGGGCGGCCCTCCAGTGGGGGGCCCAGGTCTGCTTTGCTGAACCGGATGCCCTCCAGGTCAGTCGGCCCTGCGCCTGTGTGGGTGTCCGAGTGTGCGCGCCAGGGCCACCCCCCTGGGTGCTCGGGGGTCCTGGGCGTGCGTTGGGGGCTGCGCCGGCTTCCCGTGCGCCTGTCAATCAGAACTCTTCCAGGTGCAGCCAGCACAGCCTCCAGTGGCTAGAAAAGAAGGGAAACGGATGGCATTACCTAAAGGAAAGTCAAGCAGGAGTAGTTCTGGGCAGCCACAGGGCCATCAAGGACGGGCTGTCTCAGAGGAAGGTCACCCACAGATGGCTGCAGAGGTCCGCTGCCCTGCCCGGTTCCTGCTTCAGCAGCTGCACCTGTTCTTTGGGTCCTCGTTTTAACCACGAGGACTTTCGCGGGAGTGCCCCGCTCTCAGTCCGCGTGTCCCCATCTGGCATCTCATGGGCCCAAGTGGGGTCACATGTCCATTCCTAAACCAGTCACTGCTTAGAGGGACAGCTTGTGACCTTGAGTTCAGCCAAGGAGGAGTCACCGCACAGGGCTTAGGAAGCGTTGGAGCTACACCAGGGTTCTGGCGGCCAAAATGGGCAGGGAGCCTACGGCTGCCGAGGGGCAGCCGACGGCACGCGCTCTGAGGCGCGTGCCGGTGGGCGCACCTGTCCCCAGACCTGTGTGCAGGACGCCTGTGCTGTGTGCGTGGTGGCCCTGGCGCCAGGGCCTCCGGCCCCTGCCGGCCCTGAACCAGCAGGCCTCTCTCTGTCTGGCGGCGCGCAGGGGAGCCTGGTGGACACGCTGCGGGAGGTGCAGCCCACGTCCCACATGGGGGTGCCTCGGGTGTGGGAGAAGATCATGGAGCGCATCCAGCAGGTGGCAGCGCAGTCCAGCTTCATCCGGCGCAAGATGCTGCTGTGGGCCATGTCGGTGATGCTGGAGCAGAACCTCACCTGCCCGGGCAGGTACGGAGGGCTGGGCCTCACCCCAGGATGCGACCGGGTCCGAAGCCCGGGTCCGAAGCCCGTGCGGAGGCCCTGACCGCGGCTGCGCTGTCGCCCCTGTCCTCTCCCCGGGCCCCACGGGCGTTGCCCGTGTTTGGATTCTGTGAGGACTGGCCTGCCTTTGGCTCCCTGGGAACGGCTCCTGACCTCAGCAGGTGGCCACGGAAGAGGCCACAGTGGTGGGGCTTCTCCAGCCTCCAAGTGAGCGCTCAGATCTCTCCTGCCACCTCTCGATTGCTTCTTAAGCTCCCACCCAGTGCTGCGGGAGGGTCGGGGCGCACACCCAGCCCGTTCTGCATGTTCATGGGCAGGGCCAATATTGAAAGCCGTTAGTAACGGGTTCCGTGTTGGCACCAACCAATCAGAACAGAGAACTGGCCCGGCCAGCGTGTCCCCACTGAATGACAGCCACCCTGTTAACGCGCGCGTGTGTTTCCCTGTGGCCCCTTCTCCTCCCACAGCGACCTGAAGCCCTTCACAGCCAGGCTGGCAGACTACCTGGTGCTGGCCAAGGTCCGCCAGGCGCTGGGCTTCGTCAGGTGTCAGAAGAGCTTCTACGGAGCAGCCCCCATGACCATGGAGACGCAGCACTTCTTCCTGGGCCTCAACATCCGCCTGTACTCGGGCTATGGCCTCAGCGAGACCTCGGGCCCTCACTTCATGTCCAGCCCCTTCAACTACCGGCTGTACAGGTGCGCCTGGGGCCGCGCCCAGACGCGCACACGCCCTTGGTCACGCCCCTCTGTGCCCACCTGCTGACTGGGGCCCCCAGGGCTGAGTCCCTGGCCGGGCCTCAGTCTCACGGCAGTGGCCTCTGCCAGTGTCGCCTGGGTCTGGGAAAGCCGATGTGCAGCCCGGGACCCCGGAGCAGGGCTCCGCTGGAGGGGTTCCCCGCGCTGCCCGCTTCGGTGGGGAGGGTGTGATGGGTATCCCGGCACCGCGGATGGCCCAGGTACCACGTGGGCTCAGAGTGGGGGGTAGGCCGGCCTTCTCGTGGGCAGAGAGGACAGTCTGACCTGAGAAGTGAGTTGAAGGGTCATCTGTTGGGCTTGGTCCCTCCTGTCACAGCGCCTGAACCTGTCCTCCTGGGGACCCTCATCCATCCATCCATGGGCCTCCCTCTCAGTCCTGGGTCCCCTGTCACAACAGAAAAAGCCGGGGAGGGAGCATCTTCTGGGAATCCGTGGGGACGGAGAGATTGGGGATCCCCGTGCCTTCGGGGACTGACCTGGGGCCTGAGGAATGGGCCCCCGCTGACCAGGCCTCTGGACCCCCGCCCCCAGCTCCGGCAAGTTGGTACCCGGTTGCCAGATGAAGCTCGTGAACCAGGATGCGGAGGGCACCGGCGAGATCTGCTTGTGGGGCCGCACCGTCTTCATGGGCTACCTGAACATGGAGGAGAAGACGCGCGAGGCCATCGACGCTGACGGCTGGCTGCACACGGGCGACCTCGGCCGCCTGGACGCCGACGGCTTCCTCTACGTCACAGGACGACTGAAAGGTGCGGCGGGGCAGCGGCGGGTGACCCAGCCACCGCCATCTACACCTGCTGCGAGTAGGGCGTGCTTAGGTGCCACCACCTGGACGCACATCATTGTCCTTACCCTTGTCCCCTGCGGGGCAGGTACAGTTATTACCCCAACTCACGGAGGAGGACGCGCCGTGGCCCGCGGACACGCAGCTAGTAGGTGGTGGAGCCAGGGCTCAGACTCCCAGAGAAGCAAGGCAGGCCTTCCCGGAAACTTGAAGGCATCCATGTGTCCTTTTACATGCCAACATGGGTATCATGTAAAGTAGAACACAAATTGGATATAAAGTTTCAAAACATGGGACTTCAAAGAAGTTTCCCATGAAGCACTTGGCTTTCCCAAGGAATAAGCTGGGACCCCCTATAGAGAGGGGCTGTGTGACTTCGTGTGAGTCACCTAACACCCGCCTGGCCGGAGGTCTCGCTCCATTCTGTGCCCCATGTCAACAGAGGACCCGTGCACGGGATGGGACCAGCCCATCTTTCCCGGCTTAGACAGACTCGGGGCGGGAGCACAGCGCAGCGACGTCCGCCCGGCCGTGCTGATGGAAGGCCCCCGCGTTACCGCCCAGCCTGGGCGGAAGCCGTCACCCGCGAGCAGACCAGTGCGCCGAGGCACCTGGCCCTGCTCCCGGGCCCCCAGCACACAGGCGGAGGAAAGAGTGGACCGTGGGCGGCGGGACGGACCCCGGAAAGAGCTCAGAGAAAGCAGAGTTAGAGAGGACGGGAGAGTCACACAGCCTTGTAGGAGGCCGCTGAGCAGGTCCTTGCGGAGCAGGCAGCCTGTTGGGGAGAAGGGTCAAGGGCGTCCCAGGGGACAGGGTGAAGGAGGGGAGAGGCCCCGTGACCGGGTGGGGACCTGTGCCGCCCATACATTGGCTCTGCCCTGTGGCCTTGGACAAGCTCTCCGTGCCTCCATTTCCCTGCCTGAAATGGGAAGAATGCCTGCTTTACAGGCCTATGGTGAGGGGTGAGTGAGTTTTTACACCTCAGCACTTCGCACGGTGCCTGCACGTGGTGCGTACTGTGTAAGTGGCCGGTCACTCGGCAGAGGGGGGGAGGGGTAGGAGGGTCAGTGAGGGCCTGGGTCTGGTCGATGTCAGCGCAGGCCGGGAGCCGAGAGGCGTGTGAGCCCTGGGTGGGCATTTGTCCGCTGGGGACTGCCCTGTCCCCCAGCAGGTGTGAGGGGCTCCTGGGGGGTGCCGCTTCTCCGCTGCGACAGAGGGGCCCCTCCGGCCCCCCCGAATGGCCAAGAGCGCAGCCTGTTGCTCTGGCCTCAGGGCTGTGGCCGAGGCTTGCGTCCGGGTTCATCCGGGACATGGCCTTGCTCCCCAGAACTGATCATCACGTCCGGCGGAGAGAACGTGCCGCCGGTGCCCATCGAGGAGGCCGTGAAGATGGAGCTGCCGATCGTCAGCAGCGCCATGCTGATCGGGGACCAGAGGAAGTTCCTGACCATGCTGCTCACCTTGAAGGTGTGTCTGCGGGTCTGGCCCAGGCAGAAGCCATGTTCCGACAGGACACACCTGGGTATCAGGACTTCGTTCTGGGGTGGGCAGCCCGTGCTCCCCGCCGCCCCCGCAGGCCCGATGAGCAGCCCGCTGCCGCCGCGGTCTCTGCGTCTCCCAGCACAGTCTGCGCAGCAGGGGCATGGCCGCGGGTGCCGGGCGGGGCAGGAGTTGGGGGCCCTGGCCTGGGGTCTGGGTGTCAGACCCCTGCTCCTCTCACCACGGTTGGGGCGGCCGTCACTCCCCAGAACCACGGCTCACACAGTCCCCCTGCTGGACACCCACACTCGCGTGCCTCGGGCCCAGGCCACGTCCCGTGCAGTGAGGCGCGGCGCTGACCCCATCTTTGGTTTGCAGTGCACCCTGGACCCGGACACCTCTGACCCGACCGACCGCCTGACCGAGCAGGCCGTGGAGTTCTGCCAGCGCGTGGGCAGCAGCGCCACCACGGTGTCCGAGATCGTGGGGGGCAGGGATGAGGCCGTGTACCAGGCCATCAAGGAGGGCATCCAGAGGGTGAACAGGCGCGCGGCCGCCCGACCCTACCACATCCAGAAGTGGGCCATTCTCGAGAGGGACTTCTCCATTTCGGGCGGAGAGCTGGGTAGGCTTGCCCTGGTTTCCTTCCCGGGGTCCAGGTGCTGTGCGGGAGGACGGGGCTGCGGCAGGGCCTGGGAGCTGCCTGTCGGGAAGCAGCCGTGGCGAGTGGGGGTCTCTGGTGGCACCTACCTCCTTCCTGCCTTCCTGCGGGAGGGCACTGCTCCAGGCACGGGCTGGGCTGGAGAGCCTGTTTGGTGCACAGGGCGTGTGCTGGAACGTGTTATTTTGGACATATGAGCCTTTGCTTTGACTCTGGGGTCAGTCCCCTGAGATCAGCATGAGCCACATGGCAGACACCAAGACACTGCCGGTGGTTGGGGTGGCGCCCCCCGGCTCGAGGGGCTGAGACCACCGTGACCTTCTGTGATGTCAGCCGACACGGCAGGGACAGTGGAGAAGCCCTCAGGGACTGTGGTCCACAGAGCCGGTGGGACTCTGGTGCGGCCTCAGCTGGGGCTGTGGAGTGGCTCGTGCAGCTTGGGGTGTGTCCATGGCACAGGGGACTGAGTGAGGTGCCCTCGGATCCGTCCACACTGAGCCAGACACGGCGATGCTGAGCTGCCGGCAGGTCCGGAGCGTCAGCCAGACACGTCCTCTCTCAGCAGTTGGTAGAAATGACTCTGACTCTGAGGTCTCCAGTTACGCAGCCGGGAGTGAGTTAGCAGGAAAGGGGCTTTCCGCTGCCCAGCACCTCAAATCCGAGCCTTTCTCGCCCTTACTCTTGAGGGGAAGCAGGGCCTCTCCGCCCGGGCGCCCCCCCACCACAGGAAGTCAGAGCACAGTGTCCAGCAGCGTGTGAGTTTCCACTGAAACGCAGGCGTCACTTGCACATTAGTTATTGTTGTGTAACTAATTACCCCCAAGTTTAGCATCTTAAATCACTAAGCACTTCTCTTAACTCCTGTGGGTCAGAAATCCAGGCAGCTAAGCTGGGTGGTTCTGGCTTGGGGTCTTTCAGGTTGCAGCAAGCGTTGGCTGGGCAGCAGCCACCTGGAGCTCCAGAGGCCTCGCTGCGGCCGCGGGGGGTGCGCTCACCGCGCAGCAGCCGCCGTGCCCCGAAACAGAGGTCCTGAGAGCCCGGGACAGAACCGACCGTCCCACTGTTTTGGTTGCTTGAGTCATCTCTTCATTCAGGAGACAGCACAGAAAATGCATCGAGGTCAGAAATGGGTGCAGGTCAAGGGTAAGGTGGACGTGGCTCGCATCACCACGTCCCTGAGAGAAGCTGGTCTCTTGAAACCGTTCTCTGAAGTGACAGACCACCGCTCTTGTGTTCTGCTGGCACGGTGACCAACGCTGGCGCCACCTGGGTCGCAGGGGTCACATAGGGCCATCTCGGAGGCTGGCGGCTCGTCCGTCTGGCTTCATTCCAGTTCCAGGACTCGGCGAGTCGGCACCCTGACCATGCGCCGCCTCAGGTTTCTCAGGGGCCTCACGCGCTCACGTTTTCCAATCTGTTTTAGGTCCCACCATGAAACTGAAGCGGCTCGTGGTTCTGGAGAAGTACAAAGACATCATCGAGTCCTTCTACGACGAGCAAAAAAAGTAACAAGGGGGTGCCTCCTTCCGCCTCCTGAAGCCGACAGGCCTCCCAGAGCGATGTGATTCGTGGCGTCTTCCATCTGGGCACAAGGACTTCTGGCAGGTCTGTTAGGTCTCGAGTCAGGTATGATTCCGGCATCTGTACTTGCCAGGTCTCCTGCCAGCAACCGCTGATGATTCCAAGAAGCTTCGCGTGTGCATAGTTCTAAGTGTTGCCTTTTGTTCAGGTGGCAGGAGACCAGCTCTCCTTCCAGAGCTGAAGGGCTAACACCGTATGGCTTCAGTTCCAGGTAGATTTAACGGGCTGCCTGCTCGCTGAGGCCCGCCAGTGGCCGGCTGTATGAAGGAGGGAGGGGAAGTCGGCTCTTGTTACTACGGTGCTGCAGGGACCGTGGCTGTAACTCACTCACTCTGGAATGTGCTGGACGGGCCGCCTGCCACTCCACACCCAGGCTCCCCCCACGCACGCGCCTCCTGACTTACGCCTCGTAGGACTGCTGCTGCCTGTTTGTATTTAATGTGTGGTTTGGATATTAAACTTTTTAACAACCGTCAGCAGGTATGTGATTTTTCTTGTCCTGGAGCAGGCGGGACCGGCCCAGACAGTGGCGGGTGTTCGCCCACACGGCTGTGCCGCACAGCCGTCTGCGGGACCGAGGGCCCCTGCAGCAGAGCAGCCGCTCCGAGCGCGCCGCTGAGCCAGGGCCTCGGGAGCGCACGCGTCGCCGTTTTGGAATTCTTTATTCGTGTGAACCCAAGAGTAATTTGCAAATTTCAACAAAACAGAAAGCAACAGCTTAAACAGTAAAATACACATAAGGTTGTAAGTCTGGTTGCAAGCCTTAAAAGAGCCCCCAGGCAGGGACAGCTGTTAAGATGGCCTATGAGCCGGGCGCACCGTGCGAAGCCTGTCTGTGTCGTTACACGACCAGCAAGCAACGGCGTGCGGTGCCTTTGGTTTGGGGCCAAAGGGTGCCTGTGGGTGAAGAGTGACCCAGCGTCTGAAGGTTAAGAAAAGCCATGCCCGCGGCAGAGGGGCGCCTGGAGATCGACGGCCGCGCCCGCACCCCGGCCGCTTCCTGGGGGTGCTGCGGGAGAGGGCGGTGGCCACTGAACTGTGAAATTAATAGCGCGGTCAGGCCTCTCGGCGGGACCGGCTGGGGTGAGACTGCGCTTCATGAGCACGCACGGGTCAGCCGCCGCGCCTGACTGTCAGCTGGGGCCTCCGAGGCTGTTACCCATGATGCCTAGTGTGCGTGCAAAGGAAAGGAAGTTTGGCCCTTCCGTGCATAAAAAGCTCGAGGTAACAAAATAATTCAACAATGTGTTTGTATATGTGTAGCCAATATAGTACCTCTATCTTATTAACAAAAGTTACCTCTCTCATATATTTCTTGGATCTGAAGTCTTTATTCATACTCAGTAATTCATATAAAGGACAAATCAGTCTTAGTTTTCCATATCGTAAAGAAATATACCATAGTCATGGTTTTTGATATGGACTTTCCTAGGAAATTTCTCTAGTGCCCGTTCATTTTTTAAGAACGTCATCTTGTGCTAATATGTCAATATTCTGTTTTATTTCTACTATATTTTTCATAAACTAACAACAATTTTTTCTTTAGAAAGTTAGATGTTTTCTCTTATTAATTCTGTATCATATTTACAGCTGAGGAAAATGATTTTAAATGAAGTGTAAAATGGTTGCCCATGGCAAATGATACAGTCCATGTAGAGTTTAACAAAAACGCACACTCAATAGACATGAATAAATAAAACAAGCACGTGGAAAAGTCCCATGAAAGCAGATGCAGGGACGTCGCCTGCATCCGTCGCAGACTTTGTGAAAAGGCCAGATCGAGAGATGTGCTGTCAGGAAGCAAGGACACCAAGTGCGCGTGGAACGGGGCGTGTTGCCAGGCTTACGTGGCGTCGGCCGCGGTGACGGATGTGGATGCCACCTGTGGAAGCCTTAATCTAAGTCTTTTACTCGGTGACAGATTTCTTGTGTGAAGTCTGAGCATTTTGCATTGCCTCCCAAATCCTTTGTTAAGCTCTGAGAAAAAGGAAAAAGAAAAAGGAAAAATGTATCTCATACTAAACCAAAGCAAGGATATTTCGGTTTCAAGCGCCTGGTGAGATAGGAGCTGAGCAAGACCCGGCCGCTGCGTCCCCTTGAGTTCGGCTCACAGCGGGCCCCACCTCAGCACATCTGCCCGCCCCGGGGGGAAGGGAGAGCCCCAGGAGAGGACGGCTGATCGTGGACATTTAACACCTAACCAGGGGGATCGTAAGTCCCGTGGGGAATTTCTAAAGTTTAAGAAACTTGACATATCTTGATCTGTTTTTGGAGGCTGGGAAACGAACACTGAGGTCACTGCAATCGCTAACTCCTGAACGTCCCTCTGGAGGCGAGGAATTCTCCCGCCGAGCCACTCTGTCTTCCACGAGCTTATCCTCTCTTCACTCCCAAACAGACCTCCCTGTATGTCTCTCGTATCACTGCATCCCGCGCACCTAAAAGAGCCTGCTGTGTAATCTGGCGCCTCTCCGCTGGGCTCTATAGGTTAAATTCACAAATGCAGTGTCAGAATAAAAAACAAACAAAACCATATGCCCTTCCATGGGACTCCTGGGCTGTTGCGCACCCGCTTCGGTTTCCTGTGTCAGCAGCAGCCGCCAGCTCCCCCGTTCTCCCGCTGGCAGAATAACCCGTCGCACCCCTTCTGGGCCACAAGTGCTTACGGAAACAGGGAAGCTTGCTGAGCAAGAGCCAGGTGGGGTGAGAACCCCAGCTCTACCATATGCAGCCGTGAGACCTTTGAGAAATTACTTAATCTCTCTGCCTCAGTTTCCTCATCTGTAAAATGGAATTCATTATAGGATCTACCTCAGAGAGTGATACAGATTTGCTGAGATGACACATACGAAGACCATCCAGTGTAAGGACTTGATGAATAGCAGCCATTTCTGAGTCTTCATATTTCTGATGCACGTGCTACAACGCGTAATACCACAGTGCCACAGCTGTGTCTGTATCTATGGCTGGCTCCGGAGCTCCTGGAGACCGAGACCTCATCTAATTGCTCAGTTTGTTTATTCCTCACACCGTGTAAGGTACACGATAGATGTTTGGTGGGAGGAGAAAAAGACCGCGCGCTCTTCACGGCCTTGGCCGTGGTCACGCTGCCAACCCCGGGACACCTGGGCCTGCACCGGCCCTGACCCCCAACCCCTCTCCCCACGGCTCACTCAGGGCTCCTGGCCCTATCCAGCGAAGCACGGGGAGCCTCCCTTCAGGAACGCACACGTGCGCGCGCGCACCCGGTTCGAGGAGAAAGCCCGTTTGGAATCAGTCAGTGCCCTCCCAGATGAACCTGTGGAAGACACGGCGCGAGGACAGCACCGCTACGGTACCTTCCCATCCTTAATGGTAGCAAAGCAGGCCGCCTCGATCCGTGCGGCGTGGTCAAACAGCCCCATGTGGCGCAGCATCATCACCGCGCTGAGCAGCAGGGCCGTGGGGTTGGCCATGTCCTTGCCGGCGATGTCCGGGGCCGTCCCGTGAACCTGCCTCGGGGAAACGCGGCACAGTCAGGGACATGGGGCTCTCAGCCCTCTTTCCCGACCAGTGGAGCACAGTTACTGCACAGTGGCTGCGTCCCACTCATCAGACACAGGTCTAGAAACAAAGCCGCAGAAAGATACAGGGCAAAAGTAGTTTTTTCAAGAAACTGCAAAACTATGGACCAATTATTTTTTCTGTCAACTTTTGGTGAAATATTTTAATTAAGGAAGTATAAATAATAAGGATACAAGACAAACAGGGAAATGAATGAATCAACCCAGCTTATATTTAAAAAAAGCATCATTTCTTTTGACAACTGGAAAAACTCAAAAGTTTGAACGTATTTGTGCAGATCACCCCTCCTGGGTTCTCCCGCCACCCCGACCCAAGTTCTGCTTTGGGTGTCAGCAGGGTCCTTACCGACTCGAAGATCGCGACCCCATTAGCTCCAATGTTGCCACTTGGTGTCACACCGAGACCTCCAATCAATCCTGCGCACAGGTCGCTGGGGGCAGAGAACGTCAAGAGTGTTGGTTTGAAACACAAATGATCTCACCCAGCGGCCAGACTTCCATCTGTAAGTACTGTCCTCCACTGAAAGGACCCAGGGCTCCCTGGAGAAATGGCCGCTTCCAGGACCAGGTTAGGAAGACTCAGGATGATGCCGGAGCCCATGCCTGTGCCAGAGAGCAAATGACAGCTCAAGGGGATGCCCTGGCCAAGTGCTGACCACCTACGTATCAATATGGACGATGGTGATGGGTATAACCACTGAATAAAAGAAACGAGTCCAGACCCATTGACATAGATATAAACGGGACAAGGAAAAGCTTGTCCCAACGGTAGAATGCCACTAACGAGCGTGAGAAGGAATGACGGACTCAGAAAATCATCATTTGGCCAACATCCTGAGCATGAGTGTGTAAAGAGAGGAAGAGATACAGAAGAAGTGGTAAAATGTTAACATCTGGGGAGTGTGGGTGCTAAGCACACAGGAATTCTGAGCACCATTTCTACTACTTTTTTTTTTTTAAGTCTGAAATTATGTCAGAAGTTATAAAAATGACCACGCATCTACCTAGTGATACAGAAAACACTGAGGTCAATCAATCGACCAGCCAACCAATGAAACACAGGAGGACTGTGCAGCAGGAGCTCATGATCAGGGAGCACTGACCCGGAGCCAAGATGGCACAGAAATAAGGAACAGCCCGCCCACGTGTAATCACAAGACCACCCGTACACTGTTAACAGCCCAGCTCACGTCCTACAGCAAACACAACTCATTTTCAGACATTTGTAAAAAAAAGCTGTCGGTTAATAGGGTATGGCCAGACTTACCTCAGGATGTCTCCATACAAATTGGGCATAACAAGAACATCAAACTGGGATGGATCTTGGACCATCTACAAGAAACACGTTGTGCATTTAGCAATCAAAACCGCATAGCACATGGACACTGCGCACGAGGGAGGAGCAGCTAAGTACGAATACTTACATTCAAACAGACTGTGTCAAGGTACATCTCGTTAAATTTAATATCTTTACAGTTTTCTGCAACTTCCCTGCATTTTTGCAGAAAAAGCCCATCTGACATTCGCCTGTATTGCATCAAATAAAAATTGTTGAAAGCAAAAACTTGCAGAAAGAAAAGCATCGAATCAGAGAAGTAAAGTAAGTTTCAGAAACCAAGATGTGCAATTTCAATTACAGTAAAATTATTTTTTAGGCAGTGGTGTGATCCAACACGAAGCAAGAAACATCTATTATTAAGAAAATGCTAAAATTGCTTTAAAAGGTTACCTTAATTATTTGAATAGTTTTACTATTTTACATGCTCAACACTTTCTTAGGTCAGGAAACCTGTTTCTGTCTCCATTCACGATGGCCTTTACCCAGTGGGCGGAGGAGACCCTGAACGGCTCGAATCCCACCCCCGGGAGGATGAGCACTGTGAGCGCTGACTGTTTCACAGCCCCTGAACATGTGACCGTTTCACAAACACGCCCACTCTGCCATTCCCACCGGGGCCCCCGACTACGGCTTCCTTCTCCGTTATTTCTCCGTCCCTCCTTACACGTCCAGGACCTGGACTCCCACCCCACCCCCCACTCCTAATCTGCTCCAGTCATTCGCCCACTGAGGCGCATAAAAACGGGAGATCAGGACAAGGGAAGCGCCTGATGCTCTCACTGCTGCAGGTTGTTTTTTGGAGACATCAGGAATCAGTGAGCCCGCCGGACAGAAGACAGGACAGCTCGTTGCTCCCCCACAAAGCTCGACAGGGCGCTGGCCCCCCAGGGACTCACATGATGTTGGCTTTGTGCACGGCGGTGACGTTGCTCCGGTGGTTGTTCCGGGCGTACTCAAACGCGAACTCTGCGATACGCCTGCTCGCCTCCTCAGTGATGAGCTTGATGCTCTGCACAACGCCATCCACAATCTGAAAGACAGGAAGTCAAGGCAGGAAGTCCTGCCTTGCCAGAAGCGGGGGCGGCAACATCCCGGCACTGGGCGGTGGCAGCCGTGTCAACAGTGCCATCGGTGGCGGCTGACACGGTGCCAGCGGCCATGGCCGGCATCAGGCGCACGGTGCGCCACTGGGGTTAATGCTGATCCAGCCCCGTGAGCTAGGTGCTAGAAGCCCCGCTGCACAGATGAGGAGAACTGAGGTGGGGAGACGGTCACTCGCCCGAGTGCCGCTGCGCAGTCAGGATTCAAAGTTCAGACACAGGGCGTTGTTCCCAGGCCCGTGCCGTTGCGGCGGCGTCCGTGTGCGCGCCGCGGGCCAGAGGCCCCGGGCCAAGACCAGCCCCCACACCCTGGCCGGAGCGGACTGCCTGGGAGCCGCTTTCACGGGGGGTCCGAGCACCGGCTCGAGTGCGCGGGAAGCAACCTCAGAGCAACAAGTGTTGGAAACGAACATACCACGTGCTCAATCCCACTGTACTCTCCTTCTGTGTTCTCCCGGATGGTGACGATATTTACGTCGTTGTAAGGGGTTTTGTAGCCTTCAATGGAGACACAGGGTCGGACGTTCGCATAAAGGTCGAAGGTTTTACGCAGCAGTAAGTTCATGGATGGGTGGCCAGCTGCTATGGGGGTCTTTAAAGGGCCTGTAATGGAGAAGAATACGCAGATACCAGCATCTCTTCTTTATAAACACAAGCACATAATGTTGACTTGAAATTTCCATTTTTTGGTTTTAATTTCCCATCAGAATTGGACTCAGGGCCCTTCCTTTGGGGGTCGAGTGGCTATGCGACGCGTCTGCCCTGCGTGTTTCGGGGACCAAGGGGCACTGTTCCAAAAAGGAGCGAGTCACTCGCAAGGACAGATGGGGCGCTGTGTTTCTGAGTCAGATGCTCACTGCATCGTGGGCGAGTCCACCCTGGCCGGGCACCCTCGGGCTGCTTTATACACACGCGTGTTCTGTCTCCGACGGGGCCCACCGGTCTGACCAACTGAAGGCAGGGCATCTCCTCCAGGGAGCTTCGGGAGCCCTAACCGAGCACCTGCCGACGGGGGCCCCAGAGGGACATGGTCTCACCCTCACCACCACCCTACGAAGTATCGACTCTCTGGCCGTCACTTAAAGGTGGAGGGAAAAAAACAAACTTCTTCCTGAAAACCAAGAGTGAGACCTTTGTGCAGGCCTCCCAGGCAGTAGGTGGCAGAGATGAGGGTCAGGTTTGGTCTGCCTGTATTCAAGGCTGTCACGCGCCAGGATTTTGAGTCGTGACCTTAAGCATATGTGAGCTGAAATACATTTGACGATGACCAGTAAAACTCAGTGTTTTCCCTGGGGAAAATATGTCCCCAAATGAAAAACGCAGCATCTCACTGTGAGTGAGTGGCTTCGCCGGAGGCCACCTTCATTTAGCTTAAATGCACAACCTTTGAGAAATGGAACCCTGGGCGCGGAAGCCAGTACCGCGCCCCCGTCAGACCTACCTTTCAGGCCCATCTTGTTCTTGTCCATGGACTCCTTGGCCTCTGGAGGGATCATCCACTTCCCTCCCGGTCCTTGGATGGCGGTGACGTTCCGCTCCTCCCACTGAATGGGCGCCTGGGGGCCAGAGCGCAGAGCACCGTGAGCGCGAAACCCTGGACGTGAGTGACCGTCCACCACAATCCCCAACACACATCTTCGCCTTCGGCGGTGACGGGAGCACACGCACACCACACTGGTCCAGAGAGCCCCCGGCGCGTGAGGGCAGGTGTCGTCCTCCGGCTGCCCACAGGGGCTGTGCACAGCGCCCGGCCCGCCCGCCCGCTCCGGTTCCCCGCGGCCCTCGACACGGCTATAATTAGAACATGACCAGCAGCAGAGAAATACGGTCACAGAAATGGTACACAGAACCGGTCCACGGATGAACCTGGAAAACGCTATGCGAAGGGAGGCAAGCCAGTCATAAAAGACTAGATCGTAAGCTTCTATCCATAGGAAGCAGACAGAGCAAACCTGTGGAGACAAAGCTGGTCCGTGGTCGCGGGGGCTGGTGGTGGGGGCGCGGGGGTGGGTAGGGTGGGAGAGACAGGGAATGAGCAGTGGCTGCTGATGAATGTGGGGTTTCTTTCTGGGTGATGAAAATGTTCTAAGAGTAGATTCAGTGAATGTACTAAACACCATTAAGTTGTGCACTTTAAACGGGCGAACTGTACAGTATGTGAATTCTCTCTCAGTAAGCTGTTAAAAAAAGAAAGCTGTATTATATAACCTACGAAGGCAGCAGTTTTAAGGCATAAACCACAGCATCACCCTTTCCCCCCACCCACATCCTTCCGTGCGTGCGCACACGTCTGGCCGCCAGCGCGCCGGGTGTGCGGGATCAGGGCAGAGCAGGGCGTGCTCCAGTGAACAACGCTGGAAGCGATCCTGTTTCAGCTGCACTACGGCGCTACTGGACAAGCACCGCTTCCTGGCAGGAGTTTTATTTAGAAGCTCATGTAGAAAAACAATGTCTGTATGGTTGAAATAAATTGCATTCCTCAACCTACAGCTGTTGGTAGCATAACCACCAGTAATTTCATCTTCCACGTTTATCATCTAGCAGCTACAAATAGCAATAACAAAGAATCCTGTCAAAAAAGGCCCAAGTTTCCTAAATTCCCAAAACAAAATGAAGGCTGGACTGTTAGAATAATACCTCACATGTAATGATAATACCACATCAGAATTTTTTTAACCTTTCAAAATCTGCAACAGTGTTTTGGAATAGTAATTCTGTTCTCTTGGGCAGGAAGGCAGAGCACAGTAGACAGATGACCTGGCCAGGCTGGAAGGCGTAAGCCCAGGCGGGACCGAGATCCACAAAGACCTCGGTTCCACAGAACTGCTGCCAATGCAGCGGCTTAAAACACCAAAGCACTGGCAGCAGCAAACACCGAAGTTCAAGTTAAAATCGTGAAGATTAACAACAGACAGTACCAACTCCATACAAATGCAAACAATTCATCCTCAGAGGTCACGGACTCCAATGGGCTAAGAAACTCCTACCAATTGCTATGTAAGGTATTTTTAAAGTCCACTTACTTTGGCAGCATCAAAAATCTTCATAACTGAGGCTGAAATTTCTGGGCCAATGCCATCTCCTGGAATTAAAGTTACTGTCTGAACCTGAATATAAGAAATCATCAAAGAAGGCAGTAAGAATTGATTTTTTAAGGTTTGAGCACGAATATCATTGACAAAGAAATCCACTTTATCTGTGTTGGGGGCGATTTATTTCAAAGGCTTCAAACAAAACGAAGCCAGCATTTCCAACGTAGAAATAAAAATGTGTAAAGGGAAATGACAGACGATTTAAATTAGTTAAGATAACATTCAGACCCTCTCTCTCCCTTAGAAACTATACATCCCTATGTGGGGACGTTTCCCTACCTGGAGGTTTGGCCCAGACAAGGTCCCTGGCCTTTTCCAGTCCCAGCTGCCTGTGCTACTTTTTTTAAATCCCTGGTTCAAATTTCCCTGGTCTTTTGCCTTCCAGTGATAATCCCTGAGCAGGTGGACTAACTAAATTTTTCTGTACAGCTGAAGAAATCTTTTCAGACGTTAGTTCCTCTTCATATTTCTTTCAAATATACTCCCCTCCCCAGCAGGCTAATATTTTTTAAAAAATGGATAGCCTGAAATCCAAGGAGCAGCAGAGCCAATGAGCATTTCATTAGCTTTCAGAAACACGCCTGCTTCACAGCTTCAAGTGCAGCCACACTCTGCGCCTTTGCATCAGCAGAGCCCAGAACCTCTGGCTGCTTCTTCCTGTTCTCCCAACGTGTCGTGACAAGTATCACCAGAAAGATCTACTTTATTCCACAGAAGAGAAAGTAAATGAAAAAAATATATGCTATAGCCTTACAAAGGCCGGAGGACAATGTGTGATATGGGAGTATAGGAACGATGAAATCCCAGTCAGATTCTGCAAGAAGGCTAAAATAAAAGCAAATAGGAGCCACTGACCCACAGTCTTAGAACGCTCTAAAAATGTGGCAGCTGCTTTTCAGGCACAGAACTCTAATGCTGGGAGTTCTGAAAGCAGCAGATTTCACGAGAAACAGACATGGCTGTGACTGTCTATAAAGACCGCGTAAGGAAAACGTAAGCCTACAGGACTTACAGATGTTTGAGACATTTCTATTTGGCGACCAATCTACTGTTTCTAGGGATGCTCACAAAATAAATTGCAAAGCAGGTTTTGAAGCTTCTCAACAATTTTTTCTCAACTTGTACTAGTTTTGAAGAAAAAACTGTCTTACCAAAATGAGATTGTGAAATAAAGCAACAGCCTCAAGGGAAATTTCTATCTATTTTTAACAAGGCTCCTTCCAGATAGTAATGTTACAGGCTTACATAGTCAGCTGAAATATAATTCTTTTAAATGTGACCTAATAGATTTCTGCATGCTGGCCAATAATTTACATATACAGGGTAAGTATGGCCAATTTTCCCTAATTTTAAATAAATGCAGATAAAGGGTTACATAATGTGTTTGAGCATCTTTCTTGAGAAACTTCTAAAAGGAAAAATTAAAAGATGTAATTATACTCACACCACCAGCAAAACCTCTGGTCACCTGTTTTGGGTTGTGAAATGCCCCAAGCAGCCGAGAGACCTGTATAAATATCAACAAAGAAATGTCATGCACAGAATTAAACCACACAGATTAAGAGGCAGAAATGAAGTCATTTCTACCGGCTGCTCATGCTGCAAGTCTGCAGACATTCAGGAACTTCCAAGTAATATTTTCTCATATATTAGCTCAATGTGGCAGGCTACCCTCAGATCTGAAACTCTAGATACAGTATTCAGATTACCTTTTGCTTTGAGAACTTAAGTACTGTATATTATAAAGGCAATTTTGCGAATGTAAATTGTCAAAAGATTTTGAAGGTAGAATGAAACTTCTTTTTCAGGTCAAACAATGGATTTTCCTCATAAGGTATCTTGGAGGCACGTTCTGCTCCAATCTCTAAAGGGCCAGACTGGTCCCACAGAGGTCAAATGACGGTCAAAGTTCACACGGGAAGTCCCTGTCAGAGGAGAACCTCCCTGTCTTCTGATTCCACAACCCACGGAGCTCCCAACATCTGTGTTTTTTTTCTTATAGATTACACTAAAGGCAAAACAAATTGACTAGTGCCTTGATTATCAACGGTGGTGCTTTAGTCCCTTGTCTGAAGGCTTCATGTACCCACCGCAGTTGAACGAGGTGTTAACGTGTAAGCTCAGTGATTAAGGGATGGACTTCTGTTTAGACAGTGACACAGAAGTTGCTTCCCCCTTCAGGAGCAAATGTCACGTAATAGTTACGGTCACACACACGTCCAGGTCTGAAGGGGTTACATGCAGAACCCGGTTAAGGAATAAAACCGTTACTGATGTCCCAGAACCATGGTCTGCTTGGTGACTGCAAAATAAATCTGTTGGTAATGGCTTAGGAAAGCTTCAGGCATGTGTGCCTTCTGCAGGAACCAGGTGATTTCACTTTATTTAAGCTCCAAACAATTCTATGAGGCAAGTATAGATATTTTATAGACGGACACGTTAAGGCCCAGGGATGCTAAGTAACTTGTTCAGGGTCACACAACCAGTTACACTGCCAGAATTTAAACCGAAGACTCAAACATTCTAGTGTAGAGCTTTTCCTACCAAGTAACAGCATGTGGACCTCACTTTAAACTCAAAACAAAGGAGAACGAGTACCGAAATGTACAGGAAAAAAGTTAGGATTTTTATGGTAGATTTCTAGGGGGCTTTTCTTGACCAGCACCAGGAAACCGGAGAGCCTGTTTCTCCCCCGTGCCCATAATCTGTGGCGTGACCTTGGCCTCAAAGCCGGCAGAATAGGACTAAGAACTGGGAACACCCACCCAGTCGCCTGGGTTCCTCTCCGTCTGACACCGACTTCCTGCGTGCCCTTGAGGATGACCTCTAAGGGCGCGGGTGAGCGCCACCCGCGAACCCAGAAGCCGCAGAGGTCTGAGCCCTGCCCAGCCCTGGCATCCCAGCTGTCAGGATTGCGGAAGCTCTTCAGATCGCAGATCCTCACCAAAAAGGAGGAAGAGCTGATTTCCCTTTACGGGGGCTCAGGTGGCAATTCTAAGGTGTCGGGTGCCTGTGTCCTTCGGAAGGAGCAGAACGTCAGGGGCAGACAGAGAGGCGAGAGCTGGGCAGGGGCGGGGGAACCTGGCAGGAGGCGGCCTGGGGTCCCCCCCGGGACCTCGTCTGCCCAGCGCGCACGGCCCCGCGACAGGACCCGGCCCCGCCAAACGGACCCGAGGAGGCCCGGCCGTCAGCGCGAAGCGGGTCCAACCTCGGATCGTCCGGCTCTGCGCGGGGCCTGGACTCTGGCCTGGGGTACCGCGGGGTGCAGGGCCGCGCGCCCCCTCGTCCTTGTCATCCCCCTCCAGCGCGGCCTTCCAGAACTGCCCGCATGCCGCGCGCGGGTCGCGGAGCCGCCTCCGCACCAAGCCCGCCGGATCCACGCTGCTGCCGCCCGTCCGCCAGCCGGGCGCTCACCTTGGACATCCACGCGGGCCCCGCCATCGCGTCTCTCTTCTCACCTCGGCGACTGAGCAACTCTACTGCGCAGCCGCTAAGCCCGCGCTAGTTCACGCTCCACGGAGGCCACGCCCCCTAGAAGCCCCGCCCCAGGGCGCACCCGGGCGGCTCTCTCCGCCGCTCCCCGGCCGGCCGCGACACGCGCCGCCTGCGCTGGCCAATCGCCGGGCTCACCTCTCGGTGGCGTACACGTCCAGGACCCGGAAGCTGCGCGATTCCGTTCTCCCAGGCTTCTCCGCCTCCTCCATTCATTGATTCACCATTTAAGTAGGATCGTGGCGCTGAGCCTTCTCGTTGCCAGTCACGTCCTACTCTCTGCGTTTTTTGATTATACCCATCTTTCCTCGAGTGGGTGAAGTGGTATCGCACTGCAGTTTTGATTGGCACTTTCCTGAAGGCCAATGTAAATAAAGCCTCTCTTGATCACTGTATTTTAAACGGCAGCCCTTCCTCCCTACCGCCTATGACACTTCCCTGATTTATTTTTCTATAGCACTTATCTCTCTGACGTAGTATGTATATTTCACTTATTATTTGTTTACTGTTTGTCTCCTCCCCAGGGGTAAATTCCAAGAGGGCAGGATTTTTGTTTTGAGGTGCACTGTATTCTCAACGCCTATAGTAGCGGTAACCACGTGACCCCCTGCTCCAGTCAGGGCCCAGATTTAAATCCACTGTTACCAGCTCTGTGACCTTGGGCAAGTCACCTTCTCTGAGACTATTTCTTCATCTGTGAAGTGGGATAATGACACCAAACTCTATAAACTTAAGAGGCGTTTATGGAATAATTTCCAGTAAATGGGCACAGAGCAGATAATCAATGTTTCTTTCCCTCTGTCCATGATCCCTGCAAACAAATGCGCACACTGCCTTCCAGGGGACCAACCTAATGTTTGGGAGCCACAGGAGCACGTGATTTGGAATCAGAATGAGGTTGAGCCTTGCTTTGCTACTTCCTAGTTGGGCGGCGCTGGCCAAGTCACTTTGCCTCTGAGTCCAGCATTTCTCATCTGTAACATGGGAACCGTATCCCTCGACCTTCCTCACAGCATCGTATTAGTTCCGGAGAGCCTCATTCAGGGCACTGGAAATACCGATGAAAAGGGATTTGTTAGGGGAATTTCTAGTTAGGTTGGTGCTTCTGTTTTTCACCTGTGTGACAAAGATCTCCAGAACTGAAAACTCAAGCCTTCTGCAAAAGTTCTGGCTTTTCAACCTGGAAGGCTGGAATTCAAGTGAACAGAGATTAGCAATTGTAAAAGAATGTGCCAAAGTAGGTTCTGAACATGGAACACTGGCCGGTTCACAGGGAAGAAGGAGAACGTTCGTAAAAGTGATGGCGTGGTTTGGAGAGGTTTCAATTTCTCCAACTGTAACAGGGAGAAAGAGGAAGTACAGATTGGGAGCATCTTACAAAGGCCTGTCTCTGCTCTAAAATTCCATGTTCTCTGAATTCCTAGTCACAAATACTGCCTTCTTTCTCATGTCTGGGGTCCCTACCCCATGTGTCCAATATAAACAAAGGATGAGGACGTGGCCTCTGAGTCCAGCCACTTCCCGCCCCTTCCCAGCCATGGGCTCCTGGGCAAGTTACTGCACTGCTCAAGCCCAGTGTCCTCGTTTGTGAGATGGAGATAATGCCTGTAGAATTAATTAGCTGTCCTGAGGTTGGAAATAAGACATGTGTGAGCTGGCCCCTAAAAGGAACTTGGCAGAGATTGCATTTGCATAAAAGCCCCAGAAAAAATACTGGCCTTTGTCACAGTCAGTGTCTGGGCACAGTTAAGTCCTCTAAATCGTATCAAGTCTCACGTCCCTGTCCAAGGATTCAAGGATCAACGAGCAAATCTTGTCCTCCCGTGTAAGAGGCTCAGGGGCCTGACTTGCCCTGCCCTGGCCTGTTCCTAGTGGTGCCTTAGGAGTCAGCCGGAGTGACGCCTCTTTCCCCGCGAGGGACGGGCCGAAGGGCCTGCCCAGGGTCGCGCCCATAGGTCAGGGCTCCCCCGCCCCATGGCTAGCGGCGCCAGGTCCCTCAACTTGTCCCCATGGAGCTCTCGAAAGTGTCTGCGCTAGGCCCCAGCCATGCGCCTGCCCCTCCGCTGCCAGAAGTGTCGGGTTCGCCGCGCCTGCACCAGCAGGAGCGGGACCTACCGCCAACGACCCTGTAGGCCGCGCTGCGCCCTGTAGCGGAGCCTCGGCGCGGTGTCCCCAAGGGACTCGCTTACTTTATCGGCTGCGCCGGCAGACCACGCCCCGCTGCTCGGCCCCGCCCCCCGTAGGCCCCGCCCCACCTCACTCCCAAACCACGCCCACCGCCGCTCACTCCGCCCCGCTCTCAGACCACGCCCCGCCCCGACCACACCCCTCCCGTGGACTGCGCGGCGGGATGCGCTCGGGGCTCGGCGTGCGAGGTGGGAGGCGGCGCCCCGCTGGCCGCGCGCACCATGGGGAACAAGCAGACCATCTTCACTGAGGAGCAGCTGGACAACTACCAGGTGAGCCCGCGCCCCTGCTCGCGTCTTCCCGTCGGGACCGGTTCCCGGGGTCACTCCCGGCCTCTGCCTTCTCTCCGAGCGTGACCTTGGGCGGGCCGCGACTCCTCCGAGCCTCGCCGGGACAGCGAGCCTCTGGAAGCAGAGCCGAGCTGCGTCCTGCCTGGGTTGGGAGTCAGGTGCATCAGCCCCCAAAGGCGGTCTAAGTTGAGGTGTCTTGTTTATCCTGGGGAGTCTTCCTCTGGCCCAGCATGGAAATAATGGAGCAAGAAGGCCAGCCAGTACCAGCCTTACACGATCACCTCCCCGAGCGCCCTGCAGAGCCCCTGGACCCTTCTCGAGGAGCCAGGAGGTCCCAGATGGGAGACCGTGCTGCAGATGAGACCCAAGCTCTGGGGTACCTGCCCCGCCGGGTGGTCTCTCATCCTTCACGGCCCCCATCGCGTACTCCCCCGCGCCCCCCGCCCCACGACTCCCGCAGGCAGAGGCCGTGACTGAGCTGTCACCTGTGTGCAGCGCGCTGAGGTGACATGACACCAGCAGGGTCTCCACCGCCACCCTGCGTCACCACCAGGAATATGTATTTCGGTGTCGGGCTTGAAATGTGGGTCCTCTGCTGCGGGCAGCCCTAAAATGAAGGCCCCTTCCCCTGCTGCGCATGAGGCCCTGGCAAGCGATGGGGACCCACATTCTTGCAGCGCCTGCTGCGTCCCAGGCACTGTACTTCCTGCACTTATGAAACGGTCAGCTCCTCCCATCCCAGGCGGGTGGATTACTGGTCCCATTTTACAGACCGGTCAACAAAGCCATTCAAGGCCCTGTCCCTGGGGGCTCACGTGGGAGTCTGACTCAGGAATCCCAGGCTCACTCTTTTTCTTGGGGGGCTGGGGCTGTGTGCTCTTCGTCGTTTGGAGAGGCAGGCCTCGCCTCCAGGGTGGTCTCCCTCGAGAAAGCGTGGGCCAGGGGAGGACACTAGTGGGAGTGGGAGGCCCATAGGGAAAGGGGCTTAAGCTTTGCTGGAAGGTTCAGAAATACGGCAGAACCGGAGCAGGCCCGGCAGGGCCAGCAGGAGCGTTCCAGGCGGAGGGCGTCGCGTGGGTGAACGCTCAGAGGTGGGCCCAGGTGAGCAGGTAGACACAAGGCTGAGGAGGGAAGAGTAGCCCCCTGGGGGAGGGGGGCCTGGGTTCCCACTCAGACCAGCCTGGCATTGGGTTACCCTTCGCAGCCAGTCTCCGTGTCGAGTTCTGATCCTTTGCCAGAGCCTGGCTGGACCCCGCCAACCGGTGGGGTGGGAGAAACGAGACCTGTGAAACCCAAGAGCCTCACATCTGCCTCCCTCTGACTGTCCAGCCAGCCCCGGGCCAGCCAGGGGGTTGTGGGTGACCCAAGTTACGGCCGCCCCCCTCAAGCCATCTGCAGGGTCTCACGTCACCCCCTCACTGGATGCCAGTGACCCCCACGGTCCCGGTTTCCCCGGTTTCGTCCCCGACCACTCCTCTGCCTTGCAGATCCATCCCCCGGGGCCCCCCCAACCCCAGAGCACTACTGGCCGCCTTCCCCAGGCCCCAGGCTGTGCCTCCAGCGGTTCAGTAAAGAACCGTCCTGCAACTCGGCCGCCCTGGGGGTCCCTCCTGTAGGCACGGCCAGGGCCCCGGCCAGGCCTCCCCAGTCTCAGGCGGACTGAAGATCTACCTGCGGCCTTGCGCTCCCTGCCTTCTGCCGGCTCCAGCCTCCCTCTCCTTCTGCCACAACCCCCTGGTTTCTTCACGCCCCCCTTTATCCCCCTTCCCTCCCTCCTTTCTCTTCCTTTCAACAGACACGCTTAGCATCACCACCATCACACAGGTTTTTGCACGGACAGAGTTGCAGTTTGCTGAGCCTCGGTTTTCCCATCTGTACCCAGGGAAACAGCGCTGGCCCGTAGGCTAGCGAGGAGGATGAAGCAGCACTGGATAGGCAGAGCCCCCGGGGCCAGGCCCCCGGGGATCATGAGCCGTGTGGTGTGGTCCTCCGCCTGGGCTGCACCGGGCAGCCCCCGAGCGGCTTTGAAAACGGCTCCTGTCCTTGCCCTGCCCGGATGCCTCCAGCTGCTCCCTGCCGCCACCTTCTCCCCCCCAGCCAGCCTCTCCATGCCTTCCCGCTGCGACCTTGTCGATTCCTGCGGCTCTGCTGCCAGGAAGGTGCTGACGCGTCCCCCAGCCTGTGCGCCTGGGACTCTCGGTCTCGGGGCACGAGGCCCCCTTCTCGGGGCTGCGCTGGGGCGGTGGCTGTCTCCCAGCTGCTGCCCCTCCGATGCCACAGGCTACTGCAGACAGCGGTACCCACCCCTGCCCCTCAAATGCCCTCCCTCCAGCCTTCGTCCCTGCACCCAGTCCCCGGGGTCGGGTCAGAGCTTCAGGAGGTTCCTGGACCCACTCGGCTGCTGTCCCCAGTGCGCTGGGTGGTCGTGAGTGTTCTGCCCCCGGCGCTGGCCAGGGACGTCCCCGCGGGGCTCTGAGGCGGGAGGAGTGGGCGCTGCTCACCGACTGTGCGTGTTCTCTCTACAGGACTGCACGTTCTTCAATAAGAAAGACATCCTCAAGTAAGTGTGGCCTGTCCGCCCCTCCGAGCGGGGGCAGGGCGGGCGGGCTGAGCCGCAGAAGAGCGTCACCTGTCAGGAGCCAAGGGCCAGAGCCTCCCGCCCGTCCTGGACCCAGATTTCTCTGCCAGGAACTGAGCATCTGCTGGCGTGTACCTGGCTCTGTGGTGGGGGGCCTCAGGCACATCCTCATGTGCTCTTCACGTCACCTTGTCGTTGGGAGAAGCCAGCTTCGTCCCGGTGTGGCCAGTGTCACACAGCCAGGGACTGAAGGCGCGGCCTCGGGCTCCAGGCCCCTTGCTAATGCCCTGCATCCCGGGGCCTCTCAGACTCAGGGTCCCTGTCGGTCAGACCAGGGGGCCCTCGGGGCCCTCTGGCTCGGGCTCTGATGACCTCTGACCCCGGGAGCCTGAGAGGCCTGCAGTGCCCCCACTGCCCTGGGCTGTCCGCAAGCGTCTCCTTCCTTCCCAGCACAGCCTCTCTCTTTGGGGGTTGGGGGGCCGGGCCTGGACAGGGGAGACGGAGGGGGTGGCAGCCTCAGAGCGTCAGGAGCAGACGGCGAGCAGGACACAGAACGCCGGGAGACCTGGCCCGCGCCTGGGCTATCGGGTGGCACTAAAAGCCTCAAGGGCTCGGGATCACTTTCCCTGCAGGTCGGCGGGCAGGCTGGGGCGGGCGCCTGGGGCGCCTTCCCAAGAGGGCCGGGGGTCCCTGCCCCGACCACTCGGCTCGGACAGGCCGCTCTTCCTCCCTGCCCCCTTGGAGGGCCGGGACACCCCGCTTCCACCGCCTCAGAAGGCAGGGTGAGGGGCCCAGCCCCCAGGCCTCGGGCCTCAGCGTCAGCATGGGGCCACGATCCCACCCCCAGAGCCCGGCTGAGCAGCAGGACCACCAGGGAGTGGGGATTGGTCAAGGGGCCCCCGCCCCAGGGCCCCCGCTTCCAAGAGCCGCTGAGCGCTGCCCCTCCCCCCACCTCCCTCCACCGCCACCCAGATGGGTTTCTGGGCGAGCTGCACCCTGAGCGCCAAGCAGGCGGCAAGGAGGAAAGGTGAGCTGCAAGTGCTCCTTAGCAGTGATACCGAGTCAGACTCACAGATAACCATCGGGCGCCTCCCCTGCGTCCCCCCAACCGGCCCGCCCCCCCCCCTCGGTCCAGTAGCTCCAGGGCACAGCCCTCCCACCCCCTGCAGCCCGTTCCTGTAGGTGAGAGCTCAGCACCCGACTCCCCCGCAGCAAGCGGGCGTTGGGGAGAGGCCCACCCAGCAAGCCACCCGGGGTCTTTGCCTTTGTGCTGCTTAGTATCACCTATTTTAATGGCTCTTGATTTTTTTTTTTATTCCATATGTGATATATGACCATAGAAAAATCAGAAAATAAAACCAGCCAAGAGAAGACAAAAGAGGGACCTCTAATCCTCCCCCTCCCATGCTCCAAATAATGACTATTAACCTTTTTCAGGGTATTGAACCTTTTGGAACATCACTTGCCAGGATTTTCCCTTCGTGCGTATTTATCAAAGATTTGGATGGTGGTGGTTCGTGATTTCTTTAAAATTGCTCTTCCTTAGGCACATGGTAAAAATAGATAAGAAAAAAACGACCTCACCACCTCCCTAATGCATTTAGCGGGACATGTCGGTTTTCAGCGTTTCGCCATTATATTAGCACTGCGACGAATGTCCTTGGGACCCTGTGGCTGGGGTTATTTCCTGGCAGGCATTCCCAGCAGAGACTGCTGGATCAGAAGGCATAGGCTTTTGAAGCTTTTGGTTTGCATTGCTAAATCACCCTCCAATGCCTCGAGGCAGCCTGCCCCACCCCCGCAGCAGAGGGGGGGGGCAGGTGCCCAGGCCTGGGGCACGGCTTCGCCCCGCACAGGGCTTCCTCTGCTCCCCCCCAGGCTCCATGCGCGGTTCTACGAGCTGGCCCCCAACCTCGTGCCCATGGACTACAGGAAGAGCCCCATCGTCCACGTGCCCATGAGCCTCATCATCCAGATGCCGGAGCTCCGGGTAGGTGGGGGCCGCCGGTCGCGGCTGCGTGGCCCTGAGCGCACACCCAGCCTCACTGTGCCTCAGCCTCCTTGTCTGGCTGCGGCCTCTCACAGCGCGGTCACCGCGGCACCAGTGCCAGGCTTGGACCCGCACGGAATGCCCTGGGGGTCTTGCCCAAGGGCCGGCTCGGGCTCGGGAGGTCTGGGGACCCAAGGGGGTGTTTTTCTTTTCTCTTTTTTCTTTTTTTTTTACGAGCATGCAAGCCACGTTTATTAGTGCCAAGGTCTTGTTTGTTTGCTTTATTTTACTTTACATATTTTTTCCAAATTAAATTGTTTTTATTATTTATTTCTTTTTTTATAATTAATTTATTTTTTCAACTACATCCGTCTCTGCCTCCCCCTGCCACTTGCCCCCCCGCTTCCGCCCCCCCCAAGGCCGTGTTTTTCTAACGAGCCGCCAGGTGGGGCGGGTGCCTCTGGTCCTCGACCACATCTGTGTTCGACATAAAGATGTCATTCACGAGTCCCTCACCCATCATGCACATGAAGTGGCCTCCACCAACGAAAAAGCTTTTGGGGCACAACTTCTGTTGTGGGGGACTTTGCAAAGAGCCCCTCGCCAGCCCTTGGACGTGTGACTCAGAGGTCACCGTGTGGTATCCACTGGGGCCTGTGCCCGGCTGTGAGCTCAGGCCTGAGGGTCAGTGAGGCCAGTCGTGGCCCCGTGCATCGCCCAGCCTGGCCTGCAGGGGAGGGAGCCCAAGCCCACCGGCACTCAGGCGGGAGCCACACGGTCGTCTCTGAGCCTCCGGGAGGGGTGGCCCTGGGCAACCTGGGACGAGGAAGGAGCTGGCGGCCTCGGGACGGGTCTGGGGAATCCAGGGACTGGGTGGCCGCCGGCCTGGGGTCTGACGGGCTCTCCGACTCCCGCTGCTCGTCCTGCCCAGTTATCCAGCCCTTCGCGGCCCCACTTGGGCCTCCCTGACCCAGCCCGAGCCGAGGGCCACCCGTGCTTGGGGATGCCGTCCCCTCTCACGCATCAAGGCGGGGCCTGCCGCCTGCTCCCGCCTCCTCGGAGCTCGGCCTCCGGGAGCTCGCCCTGGCCCTGCCAGGCTCTCTGCACTCTCCGAAACGATACCACGGGACCCGACGTCACGGCGAGGTCCCACGGGCGCTGGCCTGCTGCACCTTCCACGCTGTAACTCCTCGGTCCTCGCACGCTCATTCCCATTTTACAGATGGGGAAACTGAGGCCCGGGGATTCGGCCCCTTGTCCAGGGTCGCATCGGCTGTAAGCTGTCTGGCCCGGGAGCCCTCCCGGTGGGCCTGCCCCTGGGAGACTGTGTGGTTCTGTCTCCAGGAGAATCCCTTCAAAGAAAGGATAGTGGAGGCCTTCTCTGAGGACGGCGAGGGGAACCTCACCTTCGATGACTTTGTGGACATGTTCTCCGTGCTCTGCGAGTCGGCTCCGCGGGACCTCAAGGCCAACTATGCCTTCAAGATCTACGGTAACGAGGGCCTGCAGCAGAGCTGTGCGCTGGGGGTCTGTGCCATGCGTGGGGTGGGGGCCGTGTGAACACCCAGGCCATCGGGCGGTTCAGCTCCCGTTGGCTCCCGCCTGGGGCACGCCGGGCACACTTAGAAGAATGCCTGCCCCGCAGGGTGGCCTGCACTGGCAGAGCACAAGAGACCTCGGGGGGCCTGGGGGGGCAGGAGGACCAGTGGCGAGTGCCAGGCAGAGGCCGCAGCCCGGACTCGGGATGCAGAAGGTGCAGGGCGGGACCAGGAGGGGGGCCGGGCTGCGGGGCCCGTCAAGGACTTTGGGCCACCAGGGGCCACCGAGGTGTCGGGTGGGGCAGGGCAGCTTTGTGTTCCAGAAGGGTCTGGAGGCCTCGGCCGGGTGGTGAGGCTCCCAGAGGTCCCCAGGGTGCGGGAGGCCAGCCCGGCCCTCCCGTTGGTGCCCCACCAGCCACGAGCCACCAGGGGGCGCTGGCCACCACAAAGTTCTGGCTCTTCTGCAGCCGTGGGAAATGTCTTGGGGACTTGGAGTCTGGTCCCCAGAAGGTCCTCAGACAGGGACACCGAGGCCCAGGGAGGGACCAGAGGCCTCGGAGAGACCTCCTGTCCCCAACGACTTTGAGCAGCCAGGCCCCGGGGCCCCTCAGACTGCTTTTCCCACGTGGTTTCCTGTTAATTTAGAGAACGGGTCTACACGCGTCTGCGCACCCCTCTGTTTGCACGTCCGAGAGAGAACCCGCCCTGCCGCCCAGCCGCGGGCTCTGGTTCCTAAAAAGCTTCTTGAAACCCGGCTGTCACCCCTCCGCCCTCGACCCCGCGGCCCAGCTTCTGGGCAGGGCTGCTGTCTGCGGAGAGGGGCCCCCGGGAAGGGAGGGCCCAGGCTCTGTTGCTCGCCTGGGCTGGGGGGGGGCCCTGGGGAGACGGGGTCCGACCTCTGCCCAGGCTCAGCCCCTTCCTGGACCCCAGTGTCCTCGTATGAGACGGCCACAAACACCCCCATCTCGCCGGCCCGTCCGCCAGCACCGGCCGCCAGGGAGGTGACCTCAGGGAGGTCACTGGTCCTTTCCACGCCTCTTCTTCTCCATCCCTGTCGCGGGCTTCTCACTCCACCCACTGAATAGCTTTCTGGGGAAACTACGTGAGCGGGGGCCTGCCACGCTCACGGCGGCAGTTGGGCCCGGTGTCACCACCGTGACGTCAGGGTTTGGGCCGTGGGGGGGCTGCGTGGGGGCAGCCCTCACGTCTGGGAAGCGCCCCCACCGGGAGGTGACGTGGGAGCCAAGCGTGAAGGCTGAGCGGCTGTCTGCTGGGCTGGCGCATGGGACAGCAGAGGCGTCCCGTGCGAAGACCCGGTTGTTGGGTGGGCAGGGGTCGGAAGGGCGCCGAGGGTGCTCGAGGGGCCTGTTGCCAAGCAGAACGAAGCCGCGCTCCCCGCGCCGTGCGCCTGGCCAGCCACGGGCTCCCTCCGAGGGGCATCTGCGCCTCCCGACCGGCGCGTCGGGCCGGGGCAACGGGGTGCCGTTGAGAAAACGCGGCCTTGGTGTCCGGTCAGAATCCTCCGAGCAGCCCTCTGACCTGGGTCCAGCCCCGCGGCCTCTGTGGGCCTGGGGTTCCTTGGCTTTACAAGGACCACAGAGTCACTGCTGGGCAAGGGCCCAGGTTCCCAGGGAGCCCCAGGTGTCGCTGCTTGACGCGTCTCAGCCACGGTGGGCTGTCACGGGGCTGCGAGCGTCGGACGTGGTGTGCGGAGCTGCCTTGCGGGCGAGCGCCTCGGCCCCTTCCAGCGGCGGACGAGAACCCCGCGTCCCCAGCGTCCGTGTGTGTGTGTGGGGGGGGGGAGTCTGGTGGGGACCCGCTGTGCCCGGCGAGGTCTGAGCGTTCCCGCCCCTCCCCTGCCCAGACTTCAACACTGACAACTTCATCTGCAAGGAGGACCTGGAGATGACCCTGGCCCGGCTCACCAAGTCGGAGCTGGAGGAGGACGAGGTGGTGCTCGTGTGCGACAAGGTCATCGAGGAAGCCGACCTGGACGGCGACGGCAAGCTGGGCTTCTCCGACTTCGAGGACATGATCGCCAAGGCCCCCGACTTCCTCAGGTGCCGCCTGGGGCCGGCGGGGCAGGGTCGGGCCGCGGGCAGGGCCTGGCCTCCCGGGACCCCCCCGGGGCTGCCGCGGGCGGAGGGAGGCTCAGAGGTCCCCCGCCCTGGCCGGTCCCCGGGCCACACCTCCCTCACGGTGCACTCACTGCGCGGCGCGTCCCCCTGAGGAGCTGCCCGGGCCGGCGGGGCCTGGTCGGCCGCGCTGAGGAGCCCTGACCTGCCCGGCCCAGCTCTCACCCTCTCTTGCCCGTTCTCTTTCCAGCACCTTCCACGTCCGGATCTAAGGACGAGGCCGGGTCGCGAGGCCCCGAAGCCCACCGTCCACCTCTGCTGTCTACACAGTTTTGACCTCCGAGCTCCCAGGACAGGAGCGACGGCCTCCGGGGTTGACACCCACGAACATTTTCTTGGCCCTTTGAGCAAAAAAATCCTGAACCAGGGAAGCGGGGACGTGAGGAGCAGGGCCCTCTCGGGCCTCCTGCAGTTTGCCCCCCGGGCCCACAGCCCCTCACAGGCCTTCCCTCTGTCCCCCAACCTCCCCTGCCCTCAGTCCTCCTCCGTCCGAAATGCCCCCCCGGGAGGGGAGGGCAGAGCACATTCCTTCCTTCCCTGCTGGTGGGGGACCGACTGGACCAAGCGCCGCAAACACGCCCTGGGCCCCCAGGGCAAAGAGAAAGAACGAGGATGAGATTTTAACGAGCTATGCAACCCTTCTCCAGCCCCGCAGCCCGCCCTTCCCCTGGGGAGGCACCGGAACGCGGGGCCTTGTGTCTGCCCTCCCCAGCCCTGTGGGGTCCCCACTGGCGTGTGCCGTGCACAACTCTGTGAACCGCTGCTAGTAAAACTCTTGTCTGCCCCCACGCCGTCTGCGTCGGCCAGCGCGGGAAGCGTTCCTGGTCCCTTTGCCCTTGTCCGGGGACCCCCCTGGACCGGGTGGTGCCTTCCCGCTCGGGGCGCAGCTCTTGTTTCAGGGCTTGTGCCTTTGGGAGGAAGACGCGTCTGCGCTCAGATCTCCAAGGGAGCCCGGTGCAGGACACACGCCGGGGGGAGGGATTTGTCCATTTCCTTCGCGACAGCCGTCGTTCCCGGGGACGTGTGTGGGCACGGTGCGCGTCTGGCGCAGGCCGGTGGCCGCACGCAGTGCGGACGGCCCCCCTGGGCGGCGGGGGTGCCCATTTCTCAGCGGGAGGGGCTGCAGGGCCACGAGGCTGCCAAGGGGACGGCTCCCTGCAGCGTGGAATGGACCTGCCCTGCACAGGACGGGGGGGAGGGGCAGCGGTGACCGTCCCGGTGGTCAGTCTGCGGCCGTGGCGAGAGCAGCAAGCTGGCAGTCACTTTCAGGGAGACGGGGGCCTGGCTGGGACCGAACGAAGGGTCCAAGGGGAGGGGACCCAGGCGGAGCCGCCTGACAGGGACACCCTGAGGCTCTGGGAGGCCCCTCCCGCTGCCTCGCGGAGCCTGGTTCCGGTTCCGTCGCCCGCTGGGTGGGTCTGAGGGGCGCCTTCAGGTGAGGGAGGGCCTCCGGGGACCCCCGCAGGGCCCGGCCTCCGGGAGGCCCACGGTGCGGCCGCTGGGAGCCAGGCTGTCAGACCCTTCTGTGCTTCTTGTTCGCGAAGAAGAGCTTCCGGAGCTTGTCAGGCTGCAAGGAGGGAGGGGACGCTGGAGCCTGGGGCGGCTGGGTGGGGCGGGGGAGGCCAGGCCCGGAGGGCCCTGCAGCGTTGCGGGCGGCTGGGGGCCGCGCCCCGGGAAAGGCCAGAGCTGCGCAAGCCCTTGGCCCCGGCGGGAATCCCACCAGCGGCTCCCCCGTTGGGGGTGCAGGGCTCGCCCTCTTCCGGCTCAGGAGACTATGGGGAGGAGGGGGTGGGGGCGAAGGCCAGGCCCCCCGCCCTTGCTGGAGCCCACCTTGTGTGTCTGTTCCGGGCCCTGGCTCTTGGCTGCTGGGATGTGTTCATAGGTGTCGCTGGGCTCCGGGAGCTCGGGGGCCCCTGCGATCCTCGTGTAGGCGCTGTCTGTGGGCCCCGGCAGCTTGCCATGGGGGAGACCGGCCCGAGGAAGGGGGGGCCAGGCGGGGCCGCCCCAGCAGGCCGGGACCTGCTCGTAGGGGCTGCCTTCTTGGTCTGGCAGGTCGCGGGCCGCCTCCAGGGAGTCTGCCCCCTGGAGCAGTGCGTAGGCGTCTGCAGAGCTGTCCTGGGGGCGGGGCTGAGCCCTGGGGCCAGGCCTGGGAGACCCCTGGCTCCGGGTGGCAGCTGAGGTGCCTTGCGCCTCAGAACTGGGGGGCAGGAGGAGGCCCCAGGAAATGGGAGGCCCGGTCGGGCCCTGGCCTGGGCTTCCCGGGGAGAGGGCTGGCCCTGGGCTGTCGGTCCTGTGTTGGCTTCCTTCTGGGGGTCTGCTCAGGGCCTCCTCGCCGGGGGAACAGGCCTGGGGGCCAGCTGGGGGCGGCCCGCACCCGCCAGACGCCGCTGTGTCCGGACCCAGCCGTGCCGGCCGTATCTTCTTCAGGTCGGCATACAGGACGTTGGTGGGACCTCCAAGAGACTGGTCCAGGAGGCAGGCACCCCTCTCCGGGATGGGGGGCACCCTGGCGGGGGGCTGGGGAGAGAGGGACAGAGGGCCTCATAAAGGTCACCCTTCGCTGACAGCCGATAGGTGCACTGAAGCGCTCTCAGGTCAGCTGCAACCCCGTCTTGGCCTCAGTTTACCTGACCCCTGTACGGGGCAGCTTGCACGAGTTCAGGACCCCAGCCAGCAGCCGTGCAGGATCCGAGGACGCCCTCTGTCTAGAGTCAAAGTCTGGGGTCACCAGCTGTCCGTACCACCCAAGTTCCTCCTGCCTCGAGGGTGGTGCCCTGCTCCCTGCCCCCCAGCCCTCAGAACCCGGCCGCTCACTGCTCCCTCCCCCTTCCGGATGCCCCGGGTTAATCACTGGCACCAGCGGCCTGCCAGGCCCTGTCCCGGGTGCCCAGGACGCAGGGGTTGGGAGCGTGCGGTGCCAGCCTGAGAGATGGCAGCGCACCCCTGTCACCGGGCCGCCCGGGCCGGCGGCATCGGCCTGTGAAGCGCATCCAGGGGTACTGTGCTGTCAGGTCCCGGCAGGTGATGAGGAGGGGCAGAGCGGGGGCGGGGGAGGGAGCCCCCGATGGGAGAGGGGGCGTCGGTGCGGCGGAGGGGCCCTTCCCGGGGGCTGGCGAGGGGGCCGCGCAGGCGGCTGCGGGAGGAGAGCTCCAGGCAGAGGGGACAGGGAGAGCAAAGGCCCTGAGGGGGTACACGGCTCGCGGGTCCCTGAAGGTCCAGAGGCCTGTAAGGAGGTGGAGGCGGGGGCGGCAGGGTGCCTGGGGGAGACGTCAGCCTGCGTTGTCAACGCGGGGGTCTGACATCTAGAAAAGCCTCTGAGCCCCTCCCGGGAGCAGCCGTGGAAGAGCATGAGGGGCGGACTCCCAGGCGCCTCCCACCCCAGGGCAGCAGGGTCCCGCGTTCTGCGTCCACTCCCTCCTTCGAGCCCCCCAGCAGCCTCAGCGACGGCAAGCGAGGCTCCGAGAGGCCGTGGGCCTCGCCCCGGATCACCCAGCCAGAAAAGGCCAGGCAAAAATGTGACCCAGTTCGGCTTGTCGCAGGCAGGCCATGGCTCGGACAAGTCCTCCGGGGTCCCCGGCGGGGCCTGCGTGTGGGCGCCCACGCCCTCCTCACCTCCGCGCCCTGCTCCTCCGACAGGTTCCCATCCAGGCTCCTCTTCGTGGGCAGGAAGGAGACCTGGGGCTTCGGAGGGGGGCGGGGGCCGCTGGCCTTTGGGGGGGATCCCGTGGGAGGGACCGTGGCCGGTGGGTCCTCCACGCCCAGACGGGTCTGCTGGAGGCCCAGGGAGATGGCATCGTACAGATCATTGTCCTCCAGCTGGGGGCGGTGGGGACACAGCGGAGTGAGGTCGCGGGCCCGGCCAGCCTCCAGGGCCTGCCGGACGCTGCTGGCGAGGGACTGAGACGTGTCCCCCGGGTCCCCGAGCTTGGGGAGGACACTGCCTCAGTTTCCCCTTTTCAAATGGGGACCCCCATGGTGAGTGGCCCTGCACGGCAATAAATAGGAAAGGAAAGGCCGGTGCCCCGAGGGCCGGACACCCCAGGCCGGGGACGACCCGCCCGCCGCCCTCACCGCGAGGACGAGGGTGCCCACCCGAGGACAGGCGGCAGCCAGGGTCTCCCCGAAGGGCTCAAACTGTGCCTTCTGGTAGTGGCCCACGAGCTCGGCCAGGCTGCCGTGGCTCTGGGTGTCCCCGGAGACCAGGTAGCGCCGGTTTTGGAGCTGGGTGATGACAAAATGCCGGCATCGTTCGCTGCCCCTGCAACACGACAGGCTGGGCTGACCTCTCGGCTCCGCGTGCGCCCTGCCCCTGCCCCTGCCCCGGAGAGCGGGTGGGGCCGCGCAAGGAGCGGACTCAGCTCGGAGCAAAATGTAAAGGGCGCCACAGAAATCAGTAATCCAGGCTAACAATCCCGGGTTTTAGAAGATGAAAATACCGAAAACTCCAGGACAAAAAAAATACCCAAGCCTTGAAGACGAGGTCCAGCCTGCACCGGCAGGAGGCAGCCTGCCCCGCTCCGAGGTGCCCGGCCCCCACCCTACTGCACTGCCCCCTCCCAAGGGTGGCCCCGCCCACACCTTGGTCTCTCACGCCTCTGGCCCTTTGCACCTGCAGTTCCGTCTGTGGAAATGCTTCCTGGACCCCAGCCACGCACCCTTCTCTGCCTAGCAACTCGCCATTCTTCCATCCAGGGCTCGAAGTTCCCCGGTGAAGCCTTCCCTGCCTCCCCCCAGTCACCCCTTTGCCGGCTGGGACTTCATCCCAGTACGTGGCCGGTGCTGCTCAGGAAACGTCAGACGGGAGCGAGGGGTGAGGGAGCCGCGGCCCAGGGAAGGCCAGGCGGCGCGGGCTGGGAGCTCTGCTTGCCTGCGAGGCGGAGTTATAGGCGCCTGAGCCTGCACAGGGCTTCCTCCCTTACCTGTAGGACAAGATGTAGCCGGCGGCCCGGTCACTGAGGCGGATGAGGAAGGAGCCAAGAGCTTTGTCCCTGAGCAGCTGCTCCGCCTGCCTGGGCGGAGGACATGCCATTAGCTGGGGCAGGGAGTCCCTGCTGGCCGTGCCCTAGCAAGATGCCAGCCCTCGGAGCCCGTGCTCAGCCCTTCCGCCGGTCTGCGGTCTGTCTGGGCCCCGCTGCGCGGCTCTGGGTTGGAGCCTTGAGCCCACACGTCCCACCCCCACCGTACAGCCTCGCTGACCCTGGCCACCCGCCAGAATGGCTGTGCAGCAAGAAGGAATCCACGTAGCTGGAGGTTCTCAGGTTTGCGGGGTCCCCGCTCAGGACGACCGTGGACAGTTGTGGGGCGAGAGGCGCTGCTGTGTCCGGAACCCGGTCACAATAGCATGTCCTCGGCAGCCCCAGGCATCTAACTCTGGCTATTTCTAGGTGGCGCCAAGTATGTCGCAGGCACGGCGGGAAATTCCAGCTGCCGTCTGGTTTGTCAGCACACGGACCGGACAGTGGCTGAGCCACGGGCTCACCAAGGACTCGCAGTGCCTGCTGGACACAGGGCCCACGACGCAGTTTGCAGAGCCCAGAGCAAGTGAGATGGGCAGCCCTGGCTTGCAAAGTGAGGACTTCCAAGATAGCAACAGCCGAGCATGAAACGAAGACCAGGCCTCCTGAGCAGAGGGCCCCGAGCGGCGGCACAGCTGCTGGGCCGGGGGGCAGTGGCCGGCTGGACGGCTCGGCCCTTCGCCTCGTGCTTGGGCAGCCGGGAGAACCAGCCCAATCGAGTGCCAACCCCACATGTCGGCCTTGTCTTCTGGGCCACCTGTGCACCCAGGGGACAGTCCCCACTCCAGGCGGTGCTCACAGCGCTGGATCTGGATGCTAAGGGCCACGGCCCCCTAGGCACTCCCCGAGTCTTCAGAGCCGGTCTGAACGCACCCTGTTCCCGCCGCCCCTTCGCGTCCTAGTCTGCACACAGAGCGGGGCCCGGGGCCCAGGGAACCAGGTGCTCCCCACTCTGTTCCCCTGCCCGCCGCCTCCCGGGGCCCCAGACCCCCTTCTCTGCCCCGAAGGGCTGTGCTCAGGGGCAGCCTTACTTGCGGGTGATGAATCCGTGAAACCAGGGGGGCAGGGCTCCATTGTGCAGAATGAGGGGAGCCTGCGTCTCCATGAACCACCTCAGGGCCAGCTCCTGCAGCTTGGCCACGGCCTGGCTGGGCCCCGCCGCCTCGGGCCCCCGGCCCCTGCGGAGCTGCTCTAGGCTGCCCTCCATCCTGGCGAGCGCCGAGGTGGAAGGGAGCCCGGACCCCACACGCCTCTATATTTGCCTGTGCTGCCGCTCATTTGCCTGGGCCCTTGCCCGCCCCAACTGTCAGCCGCACACAGGAGCCCTGTTGTCACCTCTGAGCTGCCCGGAGACACGGGGGGGCGGGGGGCGCCTCCGCAGCCAGAGAGAGGAAGGGCGTCCCTGACCTGCTGCCAGCAGGTGATCACCCCGCTGGGCTTGGCCTCCCTCCCAGAGACCAGCCCTGACTGACGTCCACAGAATGGCCACTGGAAGCAGAGCCTCGGATTTAAATTCGACGTACGGCTCCCTCGTGGAGGCCCCCCGTGTTTTGGGTCAGGGCCCATGAATCCCCCTTTCCTCTCCAGATCTGTTTTCTAGACTCCAGGGTCACCGCACGGGCTACGCGTGACAGCACAACGGTTCAGAACGAGGGAGCATCTAGAGACGTTCACATAAGACAGAGCCGCGTGATGGTGACACAAGGAAGGACGTGGCCGCTTTGGGGCGGCCGGCAGGGCTGAGCCGCAGCTGATGCGGAAGCGTCCGGCCTGGTTCCTGGTGGGAGGGGCGCTCCCTTTGGGGAGATTCATGGAGCGCCCCGCTCACGGTTTGTGCACCTTTACAGGTGTACGTTCTGCTTCAGCAAATCAGGTCACTTAAAAAAAACATGAGGGTGCTGCCGCCGTACCTCACCGGTCCCCACTCTGGCGGACGAGCTAAAGGATGTCGGGCAGAGGGCGGCTTTTCCGGGCTTCAGCGTCGTTCTCTCTGAAACAGGGACAATAGTATGACCTGCTGTTAGGCCCTTAGTGTTGGGAATAATGGCGATCACCTTGGGGACGATGACGATGATGATGATGGTGGGTAGCAGCAACTCTGGGACACGCTGGGTCTTCCCCAGCCGGTAACTGTTGTCATCACTAGTATCGTTGTAAGTTCATCGGGGCCTTCTCGCATCAAACACGCACACGTGTGCGGTGCATGTGATTCAGGGGGAAGGCAGGGTGCGAAGCGCGCCTGGGCCTCGGCCTGCCCAGCACCTCCCCGGCCGGAGGCTCGCGTTCCACCCCTGAACAAGCGTGACGGGGCGTCCCCCTGCCCCACAGGCGGACGGAGCGAAGCTCTGCGGGTCGTGCTGTCCGCACAGGCGCACGGCGGGTGTGTCTGGAGGGCCAGCCACTGCGAACGTCGCTTTTACAGAGAGCGAGCGCCAGCCCAGAGACGCGGGAGGCAGCCGGCGGCCACACGCTTGCTCGCGGGTGTTCCCGCCCCAGGTGTGAGCCAGGGACATGCTGGGGCCAGGAGGGACATCCCGGTCCCACGCTGGGAAGGACTGCGGCTTCCTGAACGGGGACAGGAGGGCGGGCGGCTCCCGTCTGTACCCTCCCCGGGCTCTGACTGAAGTCGGCACGTTGTTCCCCGGCAGGTGCAGGGAGCGAACCTTAGAGTTCACAGCACAGCACCCGTGGCTCCGTCCCCAACAAAAACCACAGCGATTTCCGTGTCCCGTGACAGCCGATGCCGACGTCTTGAGACATCGCTTTTGCTCATCCTTACCTCCAAATTATAGCAATTAGACCCAATGCTGGGTCTTGTTATTTAACATGCGAATAAGACGCACACCGTATTAGTACATCACAAATACTTTGATAGCCCTCTTGCAATATAACACATTTTCACTGTGATACTATGCATCTTATTTTGTACATTTAAAAACGCTGAGAAGGTCGTGGATTTACCAGACGGCAAAGTGGTCAACAACCCAAAAGAGGCTGAGGGAGCAGGGGTCTGCCCCAGAGCTGGGCTGCTGCCAACCCGAAGTCCTGGAAGTATTCAAATGCAAAGAAATGTGTTTCTGTAATTTTCCATGATATGTTCTCTTTCCACCTTCCTTTGAGGTCAGCTACTTTTATGAGTGGAACCTGGTGTTTGCATAAGGAGACAAAGGTTTTATGTACAAGAGGGGGGAGGGCAAAGCCCAGGTCAACTTGGGACACAGGTGACGTTTCTGAAATCAGGCAAATAAAAGGGGGTCTAAATTTACACTCAGAAGGAATGTGGGCGAGGAGGGCGAGGCCCCGCCCTCCTCCACCCCGGGTGCCCTGAGGTGTAGACAGAGGAGTTCAGAGGTTTCAGGCTCTGGAGTCCGATGAATGGGCTTAGAATTCCACTGCGTCTCAGTTTCTTCGTTTGTGAAAACGGGGAGGAGAGCGAGGCAGGATCCAGCAGATAGGGCTCGGGGGCTGGGAGCCGATCCGTGCCCAGCAGCGGCTGGGCTCCGCGGCGCACACGCTGTACACGGCCGCCCAGCTCCAAGCCACCACCGGGCTGGGAAGTCCCCAGCAGTCTCGGTCTCGGCCTCATCAAAACTTCCTGCTCCCGGGTTCTCCTCTCGCAGGGTCACGCTTCTCCTCCAGGACCCGTAGGTGATCGCGGACTGTCCAACGGTTCCTCTCTCTGAGGGTGCTCAGCCTGGCTTGCTCTCTGCGGAGGAGACCCAGGTTTCTCCAGAAAGATGCTCTCAGGCTGTGTCTCTGGGACTCTTTTGACCCCTTGCCGTCACTGAGCGAGCTTGTCCTGCCGTCTGTAGAGCGTGGCTGCTGGGCAGGGGGGGAGATCGATACCCAGAGATGCCCCTCCGAGCCACCTCCCCGCCCCCCACCCCCCGCCAAAACACAGCCGTAATTCACAGGACGGGGGCCAGGCACTGGGGACTTGACAAGGGCCTCTAACACCCTCCTGAGACCTGAACGCCAACCAACAAATCAAGACCCCTGTTAGTATTGGCTCTGAAATCTAAACCTAGAAAAGTACAAAATCAAAATGAGCAAACGTGTAAGTGGGCACACGGCTCGTCACTGGAGCGTGATGCAGGGCGATGATGTAGTTCCGCGTCAGCTTCGTTCGGTGTCCGGGGCGCTTCCATCGTATCTGAAAACAGCCTGGAGGCCAGGCCGCCCTGCCCCGCTCCGCCCTCCAGCCCCCAGGGACACCCAGGCCTCCACCTGTCCCCGCCTGGGTCCCTGGGCCCCGGCGTGGGAGCTCGTCAGCACCTTCGCTCTAAGAAAGAGAACCGCAAGGTGTGTCGATTTGCCTACCGATTTGGTAGGGAAAGGAGGCCGCCTGCAGCGGCGCGGCAGCCGCGCGGAGGGTTCGCGGGCGGAGGGGTCCCGGCGGCTCCGCTCTCCGAGGCCCCGCCCCCTGCCCGGGCGGAGCGCTCCCTGGGCGGCAGAGCCGGTCCGGGCCTTTTCTGAGTTTCAGCATCTCCGAGCGCGAGCGCGGGCAGGGGCCAAGAGCGGGGCCGGGGCTGCTGCTGAACGAGGCAGCTATCGGGCTACTGCGCATCAGGGACTGTGGCAAGTTCTTTGTACTTATTGTCTCATTGAAGCCTCACAACAGTTCTCGGAGGTAAATGCTGTTTTTGTGCCATTCTACAGGTAGGGAAACTGAGGCACAGGGCGGCCAGGTGATCCTACAGCTCCTCCCTTATTTTGGAACCCTCCCCTCCCCTCCAGAGCGCAGCGCAGCCCCCCGCTCGCCCATCCATGCGGGTGAGACGTGTGGAAAGCAAGGTCCCGGCCCAAATTTCCCCTTTTCGGTAAACAGCAGCCACTTCCCGGGGCTGGCCACTTCCTCCTGGTCACCGGGGTTTCTAGAGGATTGAGGGGGCAGGGGCTCACGTGGGCAGGCAGGGCAGGCCCTGCTGCACCAAACACACCCACGTCAGTCACGGGAGGGACACAGACGGGCTGCGCAAAGCTGGCCCCTGACCACAGGACGCTGCCATTTAACCTGAGAGACCTTGAGGACCGTAAAATGCCACGGAGCCATTTAAGAAGGGTTCCAAGGAAATCAGGGCCACCAGAGGCAGCCTCCAGATGTCCACGTGGGAGGGCCTTGAGGGGCGTGATCTGCTCAGACACGGTGCGGGGCGGGAGGAGACTGAAGCTGCATTTGTTTAGAATGTTACAGGAATCATAAAAATTGTCCAAACTGATGATGGGAAGTAGGTTTCAAGGGGACAAGGTGAAGCCCCGTTCCAGCTCCCGGCCCCATGAAGGAGGCGTGAGACATCGCAGGGTTGGTTTTTGAGGCCGCCAGCCTCCCAGGGAGGCCCGGGAGAGGACCGCGGGTGGAGAAGGCATTAGACGCGATCCTGGAGGCTCCATACGAGGCCTCGAAGGCGTGGGCCCCTCTCCTTGACTCCAGCAGCGCGCAGGCGCTCAAGGCCCCCCATCCTCTTGGCTTTATTGTGAAACCAGCCTAATTGCCTCCTGATGTTGTGCCATTCACACAACCTCATGAGTTAACATCTGACGCGGTGTCAAGTCCTAAGGGCTCCTTAAGCAGCAAACCTTATCAAACTGTCATCACAGCATTTTGGCAACACCATATGCCTTCCGGCTTCGCGTGTGCATCTCTGCTCCTTCCTCGGAGACCGTCCCCGCGCGCCCTGGGACCCAACTGCGACCCGCGGGGTCGGCCCTGCAAGCGGCACGCAGAGCAGACAGCGCTGGGCGAATGTGTGCTGACGTCACGCAGCAGAAGGGAGGTCTGGAGGTCAGCTCTGGCGCACGCTGTCTGTAAATATTTACCGAGCGCGCACCCACTGGGCGCCCGGCAATAGGCGCTCCTTTGTGCGCTACCCGTCTGTGAATCGGCCGAGGACAGACCCTTGCAAATCCCGTCTTGTACCCACGCTGCCGAGGGGACACTCCGGTGGGTTTCGAGCCCTGCGCACTCCCGTGTACCCTCACTCCTAGACAGCAGTGCGACAGTGCTGCCCAAGGGGGCAGCGAGGACGGGGGTGCCCCGCCCGGACGTCGCCTGCGGGGCTGCGGAGCGGCGGGATTTGGGCCCTTCGAGGAGCTCCGGGATGGGCGTGGGCGGACTACAAGTCCCAGGCGGCTCTGCGCGCGCAAAGCCGTGGGCGTGGCGGGGGCGGGACTACAAGTCCCAGGCCGCCTTGCGCGCGAGGGCGGGGCGGCCCGGAGGGTGCGGCGGCGGCGGCGGCGGCGGCGGCGGCGGCGGCGGCGGCGGCGGCGGCGCGGGCGAGCGCTCTGCCCGGCTGCCGTGGGCGCGCGGCGGGCGATGCCGGGGCCCGGGGCCCGCGCGGACGAGGGCGGCGGCGGCGAGGGCGCGGGCCTGGGGCGGGAGCCGGCGCGGCTCTGCGGCTACCTGCAGAAGCTGTCGGGCAAGGGCCCGCTGCGGGGCTACCGCAGCCGCTGGTTCGTGTTTGATGCGCGGCGCTGCTACCTCTACTACTTCAAGAGCCCGCAGGACGCGCTGCCGCTCGGCCACCTGGACATCGCCGACGCCTGCTTCAGCTACCAGGGGCCCGACGAGGCGGCCGAGCCGGGCGCCGAGCCGCCCGCGCACTTCCAGGTGCACAGCGCGGGCGCCGTCACGGTGCTCAAGGTGGGAGCCCGCACCCGAGAGCCCGCCCGACCCCCGGCCCACACCCTAGACCCCGCTCCCCAGCCTGCACCTCAGAACCACCCTCTCAGCCCGCACCCGGGGACCGTCCCTGCCCTCGGCCGACTCCCAGCCCAGGGCAGGTCTGCCCATTGAACCCTTTCCTTCCATCTTCCTTTCTCTGAGGCCCGCTGCCTTCCTTTCCCTCCTTCTTCCCGCGAGTCTGTCTCCGTATCTCATGCCTTTTACTTGGTGGCCACTCAGCCCCCTGGCCCCTTACCTCCCCAGCCCCGCTCTGCGGTCCCCCCTCCCCGGCGCCCAGGACTGCAGGCTTGTTGACCTTGGTCAATTGATGGCTCGTCCCCGTGCCTCAGCTGCCTCTTCCCTGGACTGGGGGGGACAGCAGTGGAATCCGTGGGGACGCCCCGGGGGTGTCTGGCCGGCGGTGCCCTGCACAGAGTGGGGCGGGGACTCCCAGCCGAGGTCACACCGCCAGCCAGGGCAGAGCCGTTTTCTTGCTCCTCATTTCGGCTGGAAAGGTGGGACAGGGCTGCTTCTGCCAGCACGAGGGCTTCCTGATTGTAGCGGGAAAAGGAGGTGTGGGAGACAGTGCCGAAGTGGGGGTTGCAGTCCGCAGTGGGGGTGCAGGGGGCCGCATCCCTGAGCCCGGCCCCTGCTGCCGGCCTGCCTGCCTGCCTGGTGGCCGGATGCCGCCGCCCTCACTCCGCCTTCTCATTTCTCTTGCATGTTGTAAGCTGGGCTTTCCCCAGAGCAGCAGGGCTGGGCTGGGACGTATGACAACTTTCTGGAAAGCGGGCCAAGTGCAACGCAGAGGGGGCTGTGCCTAGCTCCCTTGGCCTTGTGAGCACAGCACTGTTCCCGGAACCCGGGAGCCACAGCAGCCGGAGCTGCTCCCCCGGGGCGTTCTTCCAGACTCCCGCATCCCGCCGCGGAGCGGGTGCCGGCGGCCTGCTTCTCCGAAGGCAGCCCAGCAGGGCAGCGGTCGGTGCTGGCTTCCTCAGAGGGCGTTGGGGTCAGCTCGGGCCTGGCCCCCGCCGGTCTGCGTGAAGTGGGGCAGGCCGAAGACACGCTTGTCGCCCTCGGCACAGGGACCGTCCCTGCTGCTCCATGTGCTGCGGTGTTGGCCGAAAGAGAAAACAGTACCTGGGGTCAGATTTCCTCAGATGGCTTTCAGTTTTTTCGTTTAAACTCTCGGAACCGGGGAGATAGCTACGGCAGGGGGGCCACGGGCGCAGGGTCCGGAGTGTGGCGTCGGGCGGCATGAGCTCGGACTTGCAGCCCGAGCCTGCCTCTCACGCGCGCTGGTCGAGTGTGTCCCCGCGCCCTCTCCTGCGGGGGAATCTTACCTTCCCCCATAGGTCGCCGTGAGGTTCTGGTAACTGTCGTGGGAAGTGGCCGGCACCGAGCAGGCATTACGTGGCGGCCGTGGGAAGCTAGTCGTGTCTCAGCGCACACGGGCTGTGTTCACATCATGGCATGTTAGGCAGAGGTGCATGTCCAGGACTGAGAGCTGGAGGCGTGGGCAGGGAGGACTTACATACGTACACCTGACAAGGAAGACCTACTGCGTGACCGCCTGCAGGATGATGCTGTCGCTGTGGGGCATGAAGAGACTGTGCCCGTGTCTCCGCCGCATGGTGACAGGGGGCCTGTGTGCCAGCAGGGGCCCCGGGTCCGGACGGCGGCTCCCGCGTGGGGAGGGAGCCGTGTGAGCGGGACTGAGTGCCCAGGGGCCTCCGCTGTCGTCCTTTGCAGGACTGGGTGGGAGGTGCACCCCTGTTTGTTCTGTTATTTTGTCCATCTTTGGGGGTTCAGAATATTCTTTAAAAAAATGTATTTATTTTTTGGAAAGAGGGGAAGGGAAAGAGAAAGAGGGAGATTGTGGTCCGTTGCCTCTCGCACATCCCCAGCCAGGGACCCGACCCACTACCCAGGCTGGTGCCCTGACCAGGGATCGAACCGGCGACCCTTCGGTGTGCAGGACGATGCCGACGCCCCTGGGCCACACCAGCCAGGGCCAGAGTATTTCTTTTTGAAAAAGAGACTGATTCCCAGGTGGGTTACTGACTGGGCAGGACTGCTTTGGTGTGTAAAGTTGGCGTAGTCGCAGAGCGAGAAAGAATGCCTGTGTCCAGGCAGATGCTTTTTAGAGACAGTGGAGCTGGAAACACAGGGAGATTCTCCAAAGGAAGGGAGCGTCCAGACATAGGTTCAGAGTGGGGTGCATTTTAGGAAGGATGAGTTTTAGGGTGCAGGGGTTCCTTTTGAGAATAACACTTTCTGGTGGTAAAAGTGGAAATTCGCGATCTGTCTTCCTTTCCACCTCTCAGCTCCAAGGGCTGATTAACGCTCCACCTCAGGGCTCCTCGGCCATGGGGGGCCCTGGTTTCCAAGGAGCCCTGTCGTTTCGGGCGGGGGGCCAGGGGGGGGGCCTGCTCAGATTTCAGCGAGTCGCATGTAATTGTGCCGACACCGTTTCTTTTGACAGATGGGTTCAGAAGACAAGAAAAGAAAAATCAGCAATTTGCTTATTGCATTAGCATATGTTTCTCATTTTACAGCGTCTTTCCGCCTTCTCTGGTGAAGCTGTGGTTTTGTTGGGCTTTTACAAAACGTTTTACTGCGCGACTCGTAATGTAAGCCGATACTGGAATTTCTTGGTAAGCGTCTCTGTAACCGAACCTGGGACCTGGTCCAGCGCCTTAATCTGCAGATGTGGGAAGGGAGGCCAGAGCCGGGGCGTGATTGGCCTGCAGTCGGGAGTCCGGACTCAGACCCCCTTTGAAAGTAGAGGCTCTGCGAACCGGGAGCGTCCAAAGGGCCTCAGATGGGAGTGTCTTATCTGTTCTGACACAGGGGCCTTTTCAGACTTTGGAAACCAGTGGTTTCAGATTAGATAAGATGTGGTGGTTTTTCTTCTGCTGCATTCGCTTTGCCCTTTTCATGCAGCAGGAAAGCACGAGGACCGTTTCACCAACCTGCTCGTTACCAGGATGTGTAGGACCGGCTGTGAGGCATCCGGGAGCCGCGGCGGCGGTCAGGCCGAGGCCGGTGCTTCCTGTGGGGGGCGGGGGTGTGGGGGCGCTGGAGGCTTCTCCTCCCCGGGCCTTGCAGGGGCCTGAGGCTTGCAGACGGTCACGGGTGCCTGGCACTTAGGGAAGGGGGCACGCGGCTGACGGGGCCTGAAGCTTGAACGGCTCTGCCCTGCCAGGCCTGTGCAGCGTCTGGAGCAGGGAGCCCGGTGCCCCCCCCTTTCCTGGAGGCAGGGGGCGCTCCAGGGAGCATGTGCGTCGGCTCCCCAGTCACACGTAACCGAACAGTCACGCGTTCCTCTTCTGCAGCCACTTTTGTGGGAAAATGCACATTCTGTGGTGTGGCAACTGCTCTCGGCTTAACGTTAACAGTCATTCGCCTGGGCCCTCGCCGTGTGCTCAGTGCCAGCTGACGTGGCCGACGCGTCGTGGGCACGTGGGCACGTGGCCGCGCGAAGCTGTCCTGCCCTGGGACACCCGCTCAGGGGTCTGGTAGTGTTGTCTGTGAAGGAGATTGACTTTTCCCGGGTCGTTGTGGCCTCCGCAGTAGGAAGTTCCGTAAAGGCCCTACAGCGTGGTGTGCAGTATCACAGTGGCTTCCCGTCTCTCGCTGCTTCTCCCACAGTTCTTGTCCCCGGCAGCCCCCACCCACGCCCTGCCCCCCGGGGTCCGCTGCATGTGCCTGCGCCTCCCAGGACGGTGTCTGGCACAAGGCAGGTGCCCGGGCAGGCGTTTGTTGAACAAGTGACAGAGGATGGTCACCCAGGACTCATTGGTTCCGGTGTGAACTGCACCCCTTGGGAAGCAATCTGCTAGGGTTCTCAAATGTATTAGAGGCCTGTGTCACCCCAGGGCATGGAGGCGGCCGCCATTCAGGGAATGCAAATATCGTGTAACGGCATCGAGGGTCCAAGACGGACGACTCACCCCGACTGCGGTCGGTCCTGTGTCTTCGGGTCCCTGGCGTGTCGTGCCCACAGGCTGGGCCTGAGCACGCTCACGCCAGCGGGCAGGCTGTTGTGCGCGGGGCCGCGCCGTACGGAGCGGAGCTCTCGCTGCCGCTGCACCTGCGTGGCCGCGCGTGGCTGTGGTGCCGAAGCAGCCGTGGGGGTGTCCCGGCGCACCCGGAGTTTTCAGGCATGGGCGCTGAAATTGCACGTGAAGTTTCACATGTCACAAAAGAGCGTTCTGTCCTTTTTTTTTTTTTTTTCTTTACAAACACTTCAAAACGAGACCACCACTTGTGGCGTGCAGGTATATAAAAACAGCGGGCTAGACGGGGCCTCCCTGGAGTTTCTGTGTGGCCGACCGTGCGTCTCGGTCGGGAGCCTTTGCACACGGGCAGTCCCTTCCCCCAGAGGGAAGAGCCTTGCCCTTGAAGAAGTGGCTCCCACGTGGGGGGAGGGCCTGCTGTCTCGGTCAGGAGTTCCCAGTTCTCTCTGAGGTTCCTGCAGCAGGTTTCAGGGAGACCTCAGGGGACACCCGTGCCCCCAGGCCCAGCCCCCAGCGAGGCCGGGTTGGCTCCCACAGGGCGAGGGCCGGGCGGGAACAGCGGGCCGGGCGGCGGGAATGCATCTAGCGAGCGTGTGCTGAGCAGTCTCGCTGGAGAGCAGAGAGGCGGGAACACTCCCGGCACGTGTCAGTGCTGGGCCCTCTGAGGGCGTGAGGCTGAGGTGGCCTCGGTGGAGCCTGCAGGTCTCGTGAGTGACGAGCAGCTCACCCCGCGGCGCTGGAAACTCCAGGTCAGCTGGAGGTTCGGGACGTGGGTGCCCCGGAAGCAGGCCTGGTCCTGCGTGGCGGTCGAGCACCTGATGCTGCAGTCCCACCGGAACACAAGCTCCCTGTGGACAGAGGCCTGCCCGGGGCTCGCCGCGGCGCCCCTGTCCCCACAGGACCGTCAGGCGTGTGCTAGTTGACCGGGGGAGCGTTGGGGCCTCGGGGCCTGGGGCG